TATAACTAGTAAATTCAAGTCATATGGTGTATGATGTAAATGCTGGGCAACCTATAATTGTAGATTTAACAAGTGATTTCTCAATTTTACTTTCAATTTTGTCAAAGTTTTCTGGTCTTTTATCTCGAGTATAATTTATTATATTCAATCAACCCTTGATGGAATACAGATTTGTAGCATATGTTATACTTTTTGGTCATTAAATGGAAGTCATCTTTATTTCTGGTATTATGTAAATGATGGTCGACATTGATGATGTTAAATTAGTTAGAATTGATGGAAATATATTATTTTTTACTTTATAAATGAATATCATTACAAGATATTTGATAAAATTTTTACATTGAGCCATTTTAATTTGCTAAGCATTTGCCTAATTGGAGTATATTTATCTTTATTTAGTATTATTCTCATGCACTTATTTTGTAAAATTTGCGGTCTTTCAAAAATGGAATTATTTGCTAAATATAGAATAGTCGAACAGTACAAGAAATTTGGAAGAATGATGGTATTATAGATAATTTTTCTGCTATATGACATCCAGAAACTCTCGATAAATATCCCACTTTACTACTAATCTTATTTATAACTTTTTCATAATGAATATCAAAAATTAATCGAGAGTCAACAAAACTCCCAGGTATTTAAAATTTTCTACGAATTCAATATCTTCACTATCAATATTCAGTTGAACATTTGTACATTGTTTTTTCCGATTAACAAGGCTTTCGTTTTACTTGCATTTAATTTTAGTCTGTTAGATGCTAACCATTTTGAGACAAGCTTCAAGTCTTCATTTATATAAGAGATACCAGACTGAATATTTTTAGTACTTATATAAATCATAGTGTCATCGGCGAAATTTGAATTTTACATTTTTTGACTATGGCAGGTAAATCATTTATGTATAAAATAAAAAGAAGTGGTCCCAGGATACTGCCCTGTGGAACACCCAACGTATTTTCAATTTTTGATGAAATAGTGTCATTAACTTTTGTAACTTGCATCCTTTTAAACAAATAATTTCGAAACCAATCTAAAACACTTCCTGTTATACCATATGCCTTCAATTTACCTAACAAAATATCTCTATCAATCGTTTCAAATGCCCTCTTCAAATCCAAAAATACTGCTATGACAACTTCTTCTGAGTCTATGGCTCTTCTCCAATTCTCAGTTACCAACTGGAAAGCTGTTTCTGTGGAATATTTTTTCCGAAAGCCTGCTTGCGCCTCCACTAAAATTTTGTTTTCTTCTATAAACTGCATTAATTGGTCATGCACTATGGACTCTAATAATTTTTCAATGTCTGGTAACACATTTACTGGTCTCATATCGCTGCATCTTTTAGAATTTTTTATTTTGGGAACTGGTGTTATTGTAGAGCATTTCAAATTTTCAGGGAAAGAACTGCTTCTCAGTGAACAATTGATCCAATTTAATACAGGATATCCCAAAATTTCGAAACAGTTTTTCAGCACGTTTTTAGTAGTCATTTCGGCACAGTTGTTATTTCATTTTAAACTGTTTACTTTTTTTCTTAGATAATTCAATGATACGCTGTGAAATGTTGAAAGTGTATGCAACATTTCCCCCTGGAAACTGATTTTCATATAGTCAAGTGCAGCATTGGCAGTACCTACATTATCAACAATACTTTCCACAAAATATTCATTTAGTTTGTTTGCAATCACCAAAGAATTTGTTTCGGTACCGTTTTCGAATTGAACTTGATTTACACAATCATGTGGCTTCGAATTGATCAGTCTTTTTAAAGTCTTCCACATCTTTACACTGTCGCACTTATTATCGATTTGTTTATCGTAGAATTTCCTTTTTTCTTCTCTAATTACATATACACATTTATTCCTAAGAGTTTTATCTACCTCCCAATCATCATTTGATTTTGTGAATATACATTTATTGTATTGTTTGTCTCTCAAATTTTGAGCTGCCTTAATATTCTTGTTATACCAGGGTGTATTTTTTGTCGAGCAAATCACTTTTTTATCAGTTGCAAGATCTAAACAAGTTTTTATATTTCCTACTATGTTGTCTTATATTTTTTCCATATTCTCACCAAAATTCCAATAGCAGCCAGCAAGTTCTCGTTCGTTTTTCATACTTAATAGTATTTACGATTTTCTTAATTTTTGTATCAGAAAAATGCCCTACTAAGGGCAGCATTGTCCAACTGTGATCGCCAGCTTTAGGTGTATGTACAGCTTTAATCCCTGCACATTCGAAATTTACAATAACATGATCTAACAAAGTCTCTGATAATGACGTTATTCTGGTACTCTCTTCAATTTTTTGCTTGAACCCAGAGTTGTTTATGGTTTCTTTCAATTTTCTTGTTTTCATGCTTTTACCATAATTTAAATTAAAATCACCTAAAAGTATTATATTGTTTCTAAAATTCCACATTTCTTCGCATTTTTCTTCAAAAAACGTTAAAAATGTATCCGCATCACTGTTTGGTGAACGGTAAAAAGTACAAAGATCATAACGTTTCCCAAATAATTTGAACTGTATATGTGCATACCAGTATGCATAGTCTAAAGTGGTACAATCGAATAATGTGATCTGTATTTTGTGGTAAACATAAATCACTACACCTCCAGTATGTCTGGAGTTGTAGTTGCATCTGTAGGTTCTATAATTAGTAATTTGTAATTCACCATCAGTGATGTCTTCTGTAGCATGTGTTTCGGTAAGACATAATACAAGTGGTTTTCTCCATCTTAAAAACTGTTGAACTTCATCTATATTATTCAGGACTCCTTGTATGTTTAAATGGTATATTGAGTTATATTCATCACTTACAGATTTAGCCACGTCTTGCAAATCTGAGCTTAGTAGTTGCTATTCATTTGCATAATTAATTTTTTCCCTCTCACGTTCAATTTTCCTTTTATATACTTCACAATTTTTGTCAAATGGTCCATGATTAATAGGTAATCCTAGATTAAAATCCTGGTTTGCACTTTTACAATTTGGACAGCATTTGTACATTTCACTGGTACTACAGTTTTCTGTTGAATGTCCTTCTAATCCACAAGTAAGACATCTTCCTGATTTTGTGCAGTATTTAGCTGTGTGGTTAAATCCGGTACATTTATAGCATCGCAAAACATTGATGTACTCGAAAACAGAGCAAACAGACATGTCGATAAAAATAACACCCTGATTCATAATACACTTAAAAGTCACAGCATCCACTTCTAAAATTGCTTGATATTTAGTTTTCATTTTCTTGACTGTAATTACTCTCATATGTGAATTTTCTTGAAAAGATTCATTTTGTGATTTTATAGTATTTATTAGCTCGTCTTCTGCATATTCTTGACAAAATCCAATAACTTTGATTTGTGGTTTTTTACTTATCTCTGAAGTTTTCACTGTATATGTTTTGGCCTGGAAAATATCTTCTTTGACTACAGAACTTAGTACTGTCGATTTACCTTTTATAACCAGAATTTATATAAAAAATGTCCTCAATTCGAAATCAGAACGGTTTGCAACATGGTCGGTTCTATGGCATTTATCTCGGCAATGATGTTGTTTTTGAGTTCTTGGAGGGTGGCTGGTTTGTTGACGTAGACTTTGCTTTTCAAATATCCCCATAAAAAGAAGTCCAAGGGAGTCAAATCGCACGATCTTGGTGGCCATGGCACATTTCCTCTGCGCGAAATCACGCGATCACCGAAGAAGGACTGCAATCGATGGATATTGACGTTGGTTGTGTGGCATGTTGCACCGTCTTGTTGGAAATAAACATCGTCCATATCCATTCCTTCAAGTTGCGGCAAAAAATAGTCCTCTATCATCACGTGATATCGCTCAGAATTGACGGTAACGGCGTCCCCGGCCGCATTTTCGAAAAAGTAAGGTCCGATGATGAATTTTGACCACAATGCACACCACACAGTCACTTTTTGAGGATGCTTCGGCTGCTCTTGATACTCACGGGGATTTTCGTTCGCCCAGATGCGGCAGTTTTGCTTGTTTACCGTCCCATTCAAAGTGAAATGCGCTTCGTCGCTGAACATGATTTTTGATGAAAAATTAGCATCAATTTGGCGGTGTTCAAGAAGCCAATCTGAGAACGTTCGGCGCGAAAAATGGTCGGCCCGACGCAGCTCTTGCGTCAATTGGATCTTGTAGGCGTGTACATTCAAATCCTTGTGGAGAATGCGGAGCAAACTGGTTCTCGAAATGCCCAATTCTTGGGATCGACGCGTTGTTGATTGTTTCGGATCGTCTCTCACACTCTCCTTCACAACAGCAATATTTTCCGGTGTGCGAACGCTCCTTGGCCGGCCAGCGCCTGGCATATTTGCCACAGAACCAGTTGCCTCGCATTTACGCACCGATGGTTGTTTCGTTTGGGCGGTTGTTGCGATCGAAATGTTCACGAAGGGCGCGAAACGTGTTTTTTATTTTTGCACCATTTTTGTAGTGCTCTTGAATAACTTTAATGCGGTCTTCAATCGAATACGACTCCATAGCGATCACTGGTAAACATTCAACTAACAAAATGACATGTCGGTGACAGAAAACAAAGATGGCGTCTATGTCAAATTGACGTTTACTTTCCTGGTGTCCCTATTGGACAACCCTTTATAAAATAATTAAAGAAAGATACAGAAAAATTATGAAAAGATTTTCCATAGTAGAAGCCTCTTGTATCATTTCAACTATCTTATTATAAATCTTAGGAACAATATCCGAAGGATTTTTATTTTTAATCTTAAAGCTTGGATTCAATTATGACCGCCTCGGATGTTTTGATTTCTAGGAGAACCGCTCTTCACGTTGCTGCTGAAGCTGGCAACGTTCCAGCTGTGACAGCTCTCTTAGAGAACCATGCAGATTGTGATGCTGTGGATGTGAATCAGGATAATGCCTTGCATATTGCCGTACGAGAAGGAAGCATCAGTGTTGTTCGTGCTTTATTAACGCAATCCACAATAGATGCGGAAGCTGTGAATTTAAAGGTGTGTCGTAAGTCTCCACGTGGTTTGTGACAGTTTAGAATCATCTCGGCTGTACGTAACGTCACTTTCAGAGGTTATATTGAAAAAAATCTTTCGACGCAGCAAATCATAAATTATTATTCGGAGCATTGGAGAGAATTGGTTTTAGAGGAAACGCATGCTCTTTGATCGAAAATTTCCTATCAAACCGTCTACAATCTAATCTGTCCAGATATCCAGATCATTTAGCAAGGACATCTATATCAAGTGTGCTGTCCCACAAGGAACAGTCTTAGATCCACTGTTATTTAATATACAGGGTGTTTCAGTTTATTGTTGCATAACTAAGATTGGGTAGAACTTTTAAAATTAATGCATAAAGTATATATAAACATGGGTCGAAAAATGCGTGGCTTCCGAAATACATGGTGTTTAAATTTACTTTCTAAAATAGTTTTTTTTTAAATATTTCGAACAATATTTGATGTATAACAGTGAAAATTGGTATACAAGGGTTTGTTGGTATGACAGAACGAACCTTGGGCATCGTTTTACTGTAGCCGCTAGAGGGCGCTCTCTACTGTACCTGTAGTGTATTAAAATGACCGACAAATTTTTCTTAGTGCAATTCTTCGCACTTTTCAACATAAAAAAGCTCTCTTGTGAATTTTCGTTATAGTTAGCCGTTTTTGAGATATTTCGATTTTTAAGGTTCGATGCATTTTTAATTATTTATGATAAAATAACGTTAAAAAGTCAGTATCTCGATAATTTTTAGAAGTAGGCTGTGCCCGCAAATATTTTTGAAATTGAAAGCAGAATAAGGTTAAACGTCAATTAGTTGACAGTTAGTTTTGTTGTCTGTTGAAACCTGAAACGTTTTTTTGCAATTTAGTTTCTTTTACCTGTTTTTTTTAAGTTTTATAAAAATGCCATTTTTATTCTCAAATCAAGAGTTAGCGGATATTCATTTTGTGTATGTCTTTGTAAATGGTAACACAGCAGAAGCAGCCAGAGAATACGCACGAAGATTTCCAAACAGACGACATTCAACTCGCTCAGTATTTGTAAGAGTGCATCGCCAAATAATTGAAAATGGTTTTGGAAATCTCCGAAGGGATCAAAACATGAATGTTCGTCAGCGCAGATTTATCCGTATGATTCTGCGTGAGTTTGATAGAGATCCGACCACAAGTGTTAGGAGAGTTTCTGGTACCTTGGGAATTTCAGCAAGCCATGTTCACCGTGTTCTTAGAAATAACCATAGCCGTCCTTACCATTTGCAACCTGTGCAAGGACTACAGCCAGGGGACGGAGAACGAAGAATCACATTTTGTCAGTGGATTCTTGATAGAACTGATAATAATAGGGAGTTTTTAAGTAACGTTTTATGGACCGATGAGTCATGCTTCACTAGACGTGGAGTGGTAAATTTTCAAAATTATATTATATTTGGTCGCATGAAAATCCGCATGCAGTTTGGGAAAGAAATGTTCAGCATGAATTAGTGTGAACGTGTGGATTGGTATCTACCGTAATCGACTATTTGGACGATACCTTTTGCCTGCAAGGTTAAATGCTGCGACCTTCTTGGAATTTTTAAAGGCTGAACATGCAAATATGTGGAATGATGTTATGTTAGATTTAAGAAGATTGGCATGGTTCCAGCTTGATTGTTGTCCAGCTCATTATTCGAGAATAGTTAGAAACTGGCTGGACGAAAATTATCCAGAAAGATGGATCGGCCGTGGAGGACTAGTCGCCTGGTCTCCACGATCCCCTGACCTAAATCCATTAGATTTCTTTGTGTGGGGATTTCTAAAAGAAAAAGTGTACCAGACCCCCGTAACCACAAGAGATATGCTAATAGACAGAATCAGGAATGCATGTGATGTAATAAGGCCTTATTTGGATAATGCTATACCACGTTCGATCATTCGTAGATGTGAATTGTGTATTGAACAATTGGGTTTACATTTCGAGCAACTGCTTTAGATTTTGTATGTTTGTCCTAACTATCCAATAGCATTTTAGTTGTAAATAATTAATTTAATTTGTTAAAAATAATATTGGGAAATTAAACAAATTAATATTCTGTATTTTGTGTTTATTTAAACGATCATCTTAATTACTTGTAATGCCCAAATCGAAAATGCAAAAAAAATATTATTTTCCCATAAATAATTAGAAATGCATCGAACCCTAAAAATCGAAATATCTCAAAAACGGCTAACTATAACGAAAACTCACAGGAGAGCTTTTTTATGTTGGAAAGAGCGAAGAATCAGTTTTTTTATTCAAAAAGCAAAAAATTGCACTAAGAAAATTTTTTCCGTCATTTTAATACACTACAGGTACAGTAGAGAGCGCCCTCTAGCGGCTACAGTAAAACTATGCCCATGGTTCGTTTTGTCGTACCAAATACCCTTGTATACCAATTTTCACTGTTATACATCAAATATTGTTCGAAATATTTTAGAAAGTAAATTTAAACACGCATTTTTCGACCCATGTTTATATAGACTTTATGAATTAATTTTAAAAGTTCTATCGAATCTTAAAGTTATGCAACAATAAACTGAAACACCCTGTATATTTAAGCGATATTTTCCCCATTAATTGTGTACATGCAAAGGGTACTATGAAAGTTTTGCAATACAGCTTTATTTATGGACTTCGTTCAAAGTAATTTACACCATATTCGATACACTTCTCCATCCGCCAAACCAGTTCTTGAACCAGCTCTGCCAAGTTTCACCCGGGAGTGCGACACACTCGTTGATCCAAGCGCTCAAAAGGTCCTCATCACTTGAAAACCGTTTTCATTTTAGCTTCATTTTCACATGCGGAAACAGTGCAAAGTCACAGGGAGTAAGATCTGGGCTGCAAGGAGGGTGATCAATAAGTCTTAGTCCAGTAGTAGTCAAATACTCGGTGCAGGCTTTGACGCGGAGAGCTGGAGCGTTGTCATGGTGGAGGTTCCAAGTTTCCATTTTTGCCTTTGGCAGCAGGTTTTTCATAGACTGTATGAGTTTAGGCAGGCACTGTTCCTTGTACCACTTAGCTTCTGTGTATCCAAAATGACACGCTCCACAATCCCGATCGATTTCAAAAATACAGCTATCATTCTTTTCTTAACAGATCGAGATTTTCTGACAGTTTTTTTTTATTTCACTTTGTGTATTACATTTTGGAGTTTTTACTAAAAAAAAAAAAATTAAAAAAATCTACGTAATTAATTCCGTTGGGCTAAAACCTGTTTGAGGGACCTGGGGTGATAGAAAAGACCTCCTCTGCCGCCATTTCAATTTGGCAAACGATGCACCAAACACCCTGTATTCTGATATTCAAGATAAGCAAACGCTACACTTTTTCAGAATATTTTGACATATCCGACAAAAGAATTAATTTCGGAATATGTTTCGTTCCAGGGAAGAAATCCGTTGCACGAGCTTTGTAAATACGGGAAAGAAAATGCAGCCGCAATCTGTGAACTTTTCCTGGAGTGCATGCCAGACTATCCAATAAATAAATTAGATGTAAACGTAAGTCAATTTTGTAATTATATTTAAGAGTGCAAAGTGAGCAAATAAACGTTTTCAGGGCAATTCCGCATTGCTGTTAGCCTATATGAATGGAAACGGCAACTTGTGTAGAGTTCTCGTGAAAGCGAATGCCTGTTTAGCATCAGAAAATAATGACAAGATAACGATATTCAATTATCAGGTAAGTTGAAGTTGAACATTATTTGTCTAATATCATATTCATAAATTTTTTATAAATGGTCGATGTTTGTTTTATGGAATTCTAATTTAACAATATACCAAAATAGTTTTTTATATCTAAAAGTTTTGATTCTATAAACAGCGATTTGGAAGGATATATTAAAGGTTTGTTATAACCATCGACTTTGTATAAGTCGTCAACAACCAGAAATGTAAACAAAGGGGTCTATCCTCGTTTTAAAGTCGATGTTTATAACTCTGTAGGATATGTGGCATTCAACTTATATTTGATATAAAATTTTCAATTGAGTTTCATTGAAAATTTGTTTGTAATATCTGAATGTATAAAACACAATTCTAAGTTTCTCTTTATATATTGGATATGTTGATCCCAACGAAGATGGCATTCTAAAACAACTTCGAGATATTTATGATTTAGTTTACTTGATATACAGGGTGTTTCACAAGCATGGGGTCAAACTTGTAGGGGTTATTCAGTGTAACAGTAGAAAACATTTGAGTATAGGGACCCATATCCGGCGCTTGTGTGTTATCGTTAAAAACGATAACAGACATTGTTTTTGTAGCTGCATTCCATATCGCCTTAGTCATGCTATCGTATTTGTGAAGTTTGTAAGAATTTAACAAAAACTAATTGTTGCTAATGGAAAACTTTACCAATCAAGAATTGGCGGATATGCATTTGGCATACGGAGTAACAAGCTGAAATGCACGAGCAGCAGCGCGGTTGTATCAAGAACGTTATCCCGAACGACAGCATCCGGGATACAAAAAGTTTATCGCTATTCATCGGCGGCTCTCCGAGACAGGCATGTTCAAAACCAACATGCATGATACTGGTGTTGCTCGAACCGTAAGAACGGTCGAATTTGAAGAAGAGGTCCTTCAGCGAGTTGCCGACGAACCATCAAGTAGCACCCGTCACATTGCTGAAGATATACATACGAGTAACGTTTCAATGCAGTAAATCCTATTTAGGCAATGCATCGTCTTTCTAAATTTTAACGCGTCTTAGTGCCGTAGTGACACTTTTCCGGACATGGGTCCCTATACTCAAGTGTTTTCTACTGTTACACTGAATAACCCGTAGAAGTTTGATCTCTTAGTTCTGAAACACCTTGTATATTCATTTTGGAGATTTGTTTTCTGATTAAAAGTTGTGAATTGTTGTGTTTTGCTTCAAAAGAACAATCCTCGCTATAATTTCCAGGAACACAAAAATAGAGGATGAGATAGATATGGTTATTGCCCTGACACTGTATTTAAAAAGGGTAGAGCGCGAAATTACAGCAGACGCTCGATAATGTAAACTAATTTAATCCAAGTGCGGTTCACATTATCGAAATGTTTACATTAGCGAACGTGTTTTATATAATATTTCATTTATTCAAAGAAACGTTTAATACATACTATTTATAACAAAATAAACAAATATTCTAGCAGCGATAAGTATTTTTTTAATTAGAAGAAAAATAATTAACAATTTTTGTCTGCGTAAATTTGCGCTTAGCATTGTCTTCCAATGCCTGCGCCCGTAATTTACGAAGAACTAAAATATCCGTGTATGAAACTTTTCTTTCAGCCCAATCTAAAGCTTGGTTAAAAACTTGTATAGCTTGCGCGTCAGTTACTACACTTCTGACTTCAATGGGATCGTTCTCATCATCCTCACTGTCCATATCCTCCTCCTTAGCAGCATCATTCGTCTGCTTATCTTTGTTCCATAAATTAATATCAGCAGGAGTACAAACAATGTTGGGATTCACTGTTTTCAATAAATCAACAGCATCCAATGACACACTAATAACATTATCATTATTGGATCGCAAACGTTCTCTAATTACGCTTAAGGGGACATCGTCTTCTTCATCATCTTCATTATTGGTACAAAAGAGATTGTTCCAACATTTTCGAATATGTTGCTGGTTAAGTTAATTCCAGGCCATATGTAAATTCGAAAACAGCTTCTCGTAATGTTACTTTTTTAAAGCCTCAGATAAGTTTTCAGGATTCTTTGATAAGACAGACGAAAGTAGAAACTTCCTATAGTATAGTTTGGTGAGTCTTATTATATTATGGTCCATCGGTTGAATTAACGGTGTTACGTTGGGCGGCATGTACATGACGAAAATTGACCCATCCCTGCTCCTCAGTTGTTGCTCGGGAGGATGACTTGGTGCATTATCTAATAGTAACAACGCTTTTATTGGAAGCTTCTGTTGTTTTAGGAAACATTTTACCTACAAATTAAAAACACATCTTCAAATTATGAATAGAGCATTTGTGATAATTGATTGTCATACCTGAGGGACAAAGCACCTGTGGAACCATTTCAGGAATATACTGCTAGTCATCCAAGCGGTTTTTGAACAGTCATAATCAACAGGGATATTAACATTTTTAAATGAGCGCGGATTTTTTGCTTTCCCAATTATCAGTGCTTTATTTTGTGTGAACCATTAGCATTAGTGCAGGCTAGAAACGTTATTCGTTGTTTCTCCGGCTTTCTTCCCGGGGCAGATTTTTCAAATGATGCAGCATAGGTTTTCTCTGGTAACATTTTCCAATAAAGGCCACTTTCATCTGCATTGTAAATTTGTTCCATTCTTAAATCTAGCTCGGTAATTGTTTTCATCAATTTTTCTTTGAATGGTTGCACTAGTTGTGGTTGTGCTGATAATTTTTCACCAGATATAGACAGCAGTTGAATTCCATATCTTGTTTTGAAGCGTTGTAGCCAGCCATCACCAGCTACGAAATTTTCAGTTTCTTTCAGTTTTTCATTTAACAGTCTCGCTCTCTGTTTAAGTACTTCGCCACTAACTGGGACATGATTTTCCCGTTGTTTTAAAAACAACTTATACAGGGAATTTTCCATTTTAGGTGCCTTCGCATTTTTTAAAGTTTTTCTTTTTCCCGGACCTCCAAATGTATTGCACGTTCTTTGTAAAATTTGAGTTTTCATACGCTTAATTTTACAGATTGTTGCTTTCGATACTCCATACTTTTTTGCTAACTGTGTCACTTCCGCACCTAGTGCAACTTTGTCTATGATTTTCACTTTCTCACTCAACTTTAAACACTTTCTTTTATAAGATGTGGATGCCATAGTCGTAAAATATATTAACGCGTGCAATGTATTCACTTAAGTTCAAAAATGAAATACATACGTACGTATAAACGTATCCTAAACGATCATACGACTGACCGAGTTTGTCGTATTTTATCGCAGAGGTGAATCCCCTACGCTCTACATCATAAATCGGGGACTCCCCCCGACGCCCGGCATAAATCATCGAGGCTTCAGAATTTTACCGTCGCGCTGTTTCCGTGCGCCGAGAGTTGTTTACGTTATCGAGCGTACACATTGTTTACTTTATTGCGCGTTCCGTTTGATCCTATAGAACGAAGTTTGTGTTTACATTAGCGCAAGTTTTCATTATCCCGTGTTTACGTTATCGAGCGTCTGCTGTATTATGCAGCGTGTTCTTAAATTAAGTGAAAAGTTTCCATTTTCTTTGCCACTGTAGATAAACGGAATCAATGACGATTTAAACAAATGTGTACCTATCTCAGAAAGACAATAGATTTCTGCTCCATTTGGTGGAAAACTTTTTGAATTCGTACGGAAATTGATAAATTTATGAAAGGAAGAAGGAAAATTGGTGGTCCAACGTCCATTTGCCTCTAAAGCTTCAACCACTGTTTATATTGACGTGAATAAAAACCAGATTATAAAGAAAGTATGGTTCTTGATTGCCAACTGGATTCACACAACAAAGTGATTCAGTTAGAATAATGAAAACATCATTTTGACTTAGTCAAACCGTGGCTACAATCAAAACCTTACATCTAATGCCACTAAAATAGAGGTAAAAGAAAAAAGTTATGACGTTCCAAATTCAACCAAAATTTTGCTTGTTGCGTTTATTTTGAACCGGATTGTATTCGGCCTACTGTGTAAAACCCAATTATATTCGCCAGGTACCAAGCAAACAGCTTCTGAACCGCCTCCTGGACCAGTTGAGCCAACCGGCGCCCTGGACCCACACCGATGGATGTCAGGAGTGCGGCAAGGGCTTTTCGATCACAGTGCGCACTCACCATTGCAGGCACTGCGGCCGCGCTTTGTGTTCGCGTTGCTCTCAAATGGAAGTGCCCATCGTAAAGTTCGGCGAACATAAGCCTGTCAGGGTGTGCAAAGTGTGTTTTGATGCGCTCAAAGTTGGTGGTAGTTAAGGATGGACAAAGAAGTAGATAGGGAGATTTTTTAATGCGTTATGTTTTCAGAGGTCTTGAATAGATCAGCGGCGCGTAATTGGGAACCTTGAACGCCAATATGCCATTTTTAGGAAATAAAAAACATGACATTCATATTACACAGGGTGTTCCAGAAGTCGACGTTAAGCTGGAAACGAAGGCCAAGTCATAATAGATATCAGAAAAATATAACAAAAAATATTTTTAAAGTGCACGACTTAGGTTTTTTATATTTTTCTGATAACTATTATGACTTGTCCTGTCCCTCGTTTCCGACTTCTGTATTTTACAGGGTGAGTATTTTGACCTATCCAAAATCTAATGCGCTTAGAGGGGACAAGGTATTTTGGCATAGGACACTAGACGATCGGGCTCAAAAACAACATAAGAACTCTTCAGCATAGCCTTAAAAAGGATTGAAAGTAAACATCCCAAATGAAACTAAGCAAAATAAAAATAAATTGGTGTCAAATAAATGTCGTAATGAAAAAAAAAATCGATACAGAATTATTTATGATATCTAGCCTTATGTCAAAATTCTCATCTCGATCGCCTCTCTATTTATGAACATGAAAGCATCACCTCACTATAATGATGACGAATCAGGTTAAAGGACTAAGACATGTTGCTATTTTAAATAAATGCTAGGAAAGATCCATATTCGTGACAGATATATTATTAGTGGATTAAAAAAATGGTGAGCTGTGTTTCGTCGTCTGTTGTTGTTGATTTCATTACCCATTTAACGATTTTAAATGGCTACTTCATCATTTATTCTAAATTATAATTATGCGCCTAATGCACTGATATAAATAATATGCTTTCTATTTAGTAGAAATATGCAATACATGTTTATATTTTTTCCATAAAGGTATCCATATAAAAGTGGTTACTCAATGATTATTTTCTTTTAGCATAGTAGCTTAATATACAGTGTTTTTCACAAATGTTCTCCCAAACTTCAGGATAGTAAAATTGAAACATTTTAACGTAAAAGTAATAGTTGAAAATTTCAAGTACACCATATTGTAACATGTAACATTTTCTTAAATAAAATGGGGGTAGTGTGATACCTCATTTTGAAGCTGCTTTATAACCCTGATATATAAAATCAGTTCTTTCAAAAATGGCTGACAAACAGGCTCTCAAAGTTGAGCGTTTTTGCACTTTTAATAGTTTATAACATTTATTTGTCAAAACAGTTTTTACGGTCTTCTTCGTTTGGTTATCCGAATGTGCGACAAATTATGGAAATATCCGTTTAAAAAAATTGTCCCAGATTTTATTACATATTCAGCTGGATCCTTCTAAGAAAAGAAGAATGATGTAACCTACTGTAGCGCTTTGATGATTGTTGACTTGAGCAACTCAATCTTCTCATGAGCAACTTTAAAACGAGGTACCATGCGAACCCCGATACTGTTTGAAAAAATGTTCCAAAATGGCGCCCAACTGCTAAAATATGGCTTCTCTGCGTCAATTTCATCACCCCGAATTTCAGTTTGCTAAATTGAGTACGGGGGGCTTTTTGAAATGCACAGTATAAGGTGAGAGATGAGGAATTGAACATTTATTTTTTTTATTGATTTAAATACTTTATAAGCCAATCAATCAGACACTTGTATAGAGTTCAGTTAATAGGTGATTTTGCAATACAAAAGTGAGGTAGAAAAATCTGTGGTTAGTCTGATTTCTGCGACAATCTCGCATGAGGATGTTTTTTGGTAATGCTGAGGATAATGTAACATAAAATATAAGCATAAAAAGATAACTAGGCAACGAAGTATATATTGAAAAATTGGATTCATTTTCTATTTCACTTTTTTGATAAAATATAGTTTCCTTGATACCAGCTGACTAGATCATAATTCTCATATAGGTATTTAATGCATTTTATATTTATTGTTAGTTTGAATATTCAGTAATTCCATTTTAAATAAGAAAACACAGATTTTATGATAGCACTAATTCGATATTGTATTGAATGATTATTATTGTTATTTACAGATTTATTTATTTACATGTTTATAAAATATATATATATATATATATATGTACAAGCATTCCCTATTTTCCCTCTTTTTAGTATGAACCCCAAAAATATTCCTTAAAACCGAATTTGAGTGGCAAAAAGCACAAGGTCATAATAATTATATCCAATGCACATCACACAGTTTAACGCCTTGTATTTTTCAGTTAATTAGTAATCGTAAATTTTGTTGTTATTTCGACCTTTTTATAAAAAAATGGATTTGTGTAGGAATTGTGGATTGGAGAGGAAAAAGAAGCAAATTTGATACAAACTTACTTTGCTTACCTGTACACTTGCAGAATTAATTCTTTCGGTCAGGTTGGTAAAAGTCTGAGATTTCAGACATCGCTCTTTCAAACTATGTTTTGTGGCCTGAATCCGGTCCTGCTCCTATCACCTGACAATCAAGCTGTCACGGAACACACGGTAATGTCATTTATCTGTCAGTGTCAAACGAGTATATGTTTTATGGGGTAATCGCTTTATAGTTTAGTGTTTATATTATCAAAATCATTTTCTGGTAAATGGGAAACGATAAGTAATGATTTTTTCGATTCAATAGTTTTTAATGGTAAAATAATACAGTGATACGAAGGACTTTTACCAATAATAGAATGGCGGATAGACTGACTCAACTACAAGACTGTGTAAATCAGGTAAAACTTCAAATACTTATTCAAAATCCTTACCTAATCGATCTCATTTTCATAAAATAGCAAGCAGAACACTTCTGCAATAGCATCGGAATTCTTCAGCAGTTTGCACCGCCAAGCAAATTCCCAAACTTTGATAGAAGCGGGTCGCAAACACCACAACAGCAACAGACGCAAGAGGACTATGTCCAGCTCTTCACCACATTGATTGCAAGATGTGCAAAAGACATTGATACTCTCATTGAATCTCTTCCAAGTGAGGAAAGCTCCACAGAAATACAGGTAAATTGATATAGTTTTACATAGTAAACAACCATTGCCAAATGAGGACCTAGAACTTTTGAGAATAACTTCTGTTTTAGAGTTATAAATTGTATTTTTTGGGTGCTTTTCACTTTTAGGATCCTACCCGGAATATTAAATGATTTAGTTTAGTAATGAAAGAGAAATGTATGCTTACGATTTAAATTTTTTCTAACCTCAAATCGCAAATTTGAACAATCATTGGTATGGTTGATATGTAGACAGCCTTCCCTCAAGAAGGAAATGATTTCTAGCAACCTGTTTTTACTTCAACTCTAACTAGGAATTGCAATTTAAAGTAGTTTTTTAAAAACAAAAAATTGGACTAAACACTTATTAATTACTTGTAGCTCCAGAGTTTAAGGATACTAGAACAAGAAAACCAAGAAGCTGCAGAACGACTTGAAGCTGTAGTAAGAAATGGTCAGGAATTATTAGAGAAAATTCAGGCAGCACTCAGTGATATTGCCCAAGCTCAATTAGACATGCAGCATTTGACAAAAACTGCTACTGGTAGCAAGGAATAATTTTATCATTGCTGAATTTTACTTTTAAGTTAAAAATATGGTTGTAACTTACTTTTAAGGTATAAGTGAATAAAATAAATATATTACAATTTCCTAAAATAAAGATGATTCTGTTGAGATATTGCTCCTTTTAGATATATTGGCTAGAGGTCCCATTTAATTCAGCACAAATTTAACCTTTAAAAACTATAGCAGATCAGTATTGGCCCCTTCTTGCACTCAAAAAGGTTGAACAAGCTCCAGGCTGTGCCTTGAATTGATCAAAATTATTTCTTTACAAAACTGATCAAAATTATTTAAGTAGACAAACCAATAATGATTGAGCACTTTCTACTTCAAATGATTTACTCCATTTCTTTGCTCTATTCTCTCCTGCCTTGAGCAGCCATACTTGACAAAACAGAATTTTAACTAATGATAAATGACAAATAGGAAAAAAATATGTTTAGATATTAGGACCAACACTGCTATGATGTTGTTTATCTATGTGGATAAAAATACATTTTTACAAACACCACAATTTATTTTCTAAATTAACAAGAGCTACAGTATTACATTTATCAGCAACTTACTTTAATTTGCTCATCAAATCTTTGGTAACACAGTGATCAACAGCATGCAATAAATCAAAAAGTTCTTCTACACAAGTTTCTGTTGTTTGTGATCTGGAGTTGACCCTATCGTTGCAGGCTTGATATTTTTCAGCTAAGTGTTTGCAGTGTTCAGTATCCCTGCATTTCTCCTAAAAAATGGGAAATTAAGTGAACCATTAATAGACGAGCTCATATTATTTGTCCAAGAATGATTACCCTCAAAACGTCCTGCGGATCTACCAGGTCCTCTTCTTCCTGGGCTTTGACCGATGGAAGTTTTGCAAAAAGCTTTTCGAAGAACATTTTTTCGGTATTCTCAAAATTGAAGCCAAAAAACTATTTACGTAATCTTTCGTTTTTCCCTATAAAAAAAATGGTCGAAGGTCACGGAGCAGTGGGAGCAAAGAACATGGAACACTGATTTTCCAGAGCTGGCAAGCTCCTGTTCAAGTTGTGTGTCCTGTAAAAAGAAATTCTGACAGATGTTGGACATACTTATACGTGATTGGTTAGTTGCTTCGCAGCGTCTGTAATGATTGGTTTATTTTGGAAGTGATCTAACATGGCGCTTGTTATTTTAAGTACTAATAATCTACCTCACTCGGCTATCTTCAAGCCTCCCATTCTATGGTACTTTGATAAATCACAAAACAAAAATAATTTCAAAATGTTTGAGAAAGTTGAAAATTTATTTGGAATATTACTCTTTAAGACATGAATATCTCATTTCATAAAATTGTACATAACTCGAAAACACATTTTGAGTTACGCCGTATACTGTTGACGTGTGTTTGACGTTTCTCGGAGGTTAGGAAGTTTAGGGCATTTTGCTGTGTATTTTTACGGGAAAACGTTTTTATAATAGTTGCAACATCAATTTGCGGATAATATATATTAAAGACTTTTTCTCGGGTAATTGTTATGTGTTTTTGGCTATTTCATTATGTTCATCTTTATATTTCTTGAACCGAGTTGATTTATGTTTAGTTAATCATTGATAGTCAAATTTTTTGTTGAGCTGCAAAGAGGTAAAGTATTTCCAATGAAATAGTGTTTTTGGCCTTAATCTGAGAACTATTTTGTTTCAGAATTATGAACGGGACCATCATGGATCGTCATGGGCAAGGAAATCCCAAGCTACGCAACTATAAACTGATGGTAGATCCCTTTTTGGTCAAAGGGGCCACAAAGCTGTACCGCTATGATGGAATTGTTCCAAACGAACCTTCTTACTCCTGTGGGATGCCTAGAGATCCTAGGTCTCATATTCGTATGTGGTCAAGGCTGGAAACATTGGATCTTCCTGTACCTAGGTATGTTTACATGAAAAAATATATGAGTCAAATTTTGGATCAAGTAAATTTTGCTCAATTTGAACATGAAAACATCAGAAAAATATTACAATAGTTTTGAAACCAATAAAAACAACATCTTTGATTATCCTAATGAGCTTGTTCTGTTTCCAAATAACATCTTATGTTTCTTTATTATTAATAACAGAAAAAAACTAGTATTTTGTTTCAGATATATGAGTTTGTTAGCATATGCCTTTTCAACAGGTTTGCACAGTCAAATTAACTTTTGGCAAAATTAATGTAAACATAACCTGACTTTTGTCTGTTTTTTATTTTGCTTATGAATTGAGTAAAAAGATACAAAGCAATATTCTTGGCTAAGATATAAAACAGTATGTAACTAATAGTAGGAAAATTTATCCAATTATGAATTTTTTCATCAAAATTTGCAATTTTTGTTTGTTTCAAATAGTGTTTTTATAAGCTTCATTCAGAGCTTATAAGAAGTAATTTAACACAGAATTGAGCAATGGTATGTTATAAAATTTCAGGCTTTTCAAGAAATTTTGTATCAGAAATAACATATTTTCACTTTAGCATTTTTGAGCACATACAAAACAAGACGAGTAGGATTATCCTATTCCTGCTTAGCTATATTTATAATATTAATGTTGTCAATATGGTCCGTAATATTCAATAAGTTTTGGATTACAATGCCTGGCATTCTTAACCTACAAATTTTATGTTGCTTCCCTTGGAATGAATATATTAAAAGCCCCTTTAATGTGTATATCTTACATGCTTCTATATTGATAAGCTACAATATAAAGTTTAAGATTAACAACTCCCAATCACAATATCAGTATCAAAATGAAGTATTACAAAACATTTCTGAGAAACTGATGCTGTTCTAGTAAATATCCTGAACTTATAATGCATGATTTGCAATGATGTGAAATGTAAACATGTAGATTGAACATTTGTGTGAAAGCTGATGATGAACTTATACCAATATATAGTAAAATCAACTAACCATACCACTTTAACCCAACTAAAGGAGGGGTGTGTGGCTCAAATCTATTTTGATACATAGTAAGAGAAATTGTGAAAAATCAAATCTACAGCATAATTTTTTGTGATATAGAACCATAACACCTTATTTCAGCAGCAGCAAAGATTGGAAGATCTTTTAAATATACTCATATTTTTTTTACTTAAATTTTAAGTTACATAAAATGACAACTCATCAAATCATTAGGCAACATGAAACATAAATGAAGGACTTTCTTATTTTACGCTTTATGGTTCCGTGATGCGAAATTGACAAATGGCAGTTGACATACCATTTTTATAATCAACAGGGTTGGACTTAGCACTATATTTATATTGCCTTACCTTATACCAGGGGTTAAAAGTCTTATGAGCGAACTGCCACTTCAAGGTCATTCTCTCGAGGCAAAATCGAGGTAACTGTATTATCGGCATCACGTGACGTGCTGCTTGCCGGGATTCCTGATTGCCAGGCGTGGCGATTTTTCGGCATAGTGGTGATTTGACAAATTCAAATATATTGATCGACCAGCCAAAGATTGCTAGGGACGAAAGGGGGAAATGCGATGAAAAAACCTTACCATTAGACGATTTTATATGGAGTCATAGGCGGAGATCGGAGAGACTTGAATTATTAATTGAATTTATATTTTATTACAACTGGTAGTATTTGTTGTGAATAAGTATACCAAAAGTTTACTGTAGCTGTTATATATTTAAAATTGGTCAAAGTAGCGACATCTAGTGTCATATGTCGTTACTACTGTGTTTGTCCACTATGTGCATGTCACTCTGTAATGTCAGAGTAGTTGCAATATACCATCATAAGCGTGAACAAGTGTTTTCTTTCATCTCGCTAATCTCGCTTTAAGTTGCGTTTAAGTTCGGGTTGAACTGTGAAAAGTGTGTAAACTCTGTTAAAAACATCAGGTTATGGGCCCAGACCCACAGTAGGACACCCAGCAGCGAAACTTTAGTGAATCGAGACGTTGAAAGAAACTGTCGTGACGCAAGTGTTTCTCACAGAACAAATATGGCCGTCAACTACCTGACGAGTGTGCCAAGGCTTTTAGGCCGTGAGAATTATGATGAATGGGCGTTTGCCGTCGAGAATGTGTTTGTGCTAGAGGGCTTAAACAAATGCATCGAAGGTACCGAGACCGACACAACGACCCTAGCAAAAGCAAAGGCCAAGCTAGTATTAACCATCGATCCATCTTTGTTCCCGCATGTCAAAGATTTAACGACTGCACAAGAAGTATGGACCAGTCTCAAACGTTTATATGATGACAGTGGTTTCATGCGAAAGATTGGACTTTTACGTACACTCATATCGGCAAGATTAGAGAATCATGATAGTATGGAGTCGTACATAAACCAGATTGTTGAGACTTCCCAAAAGTTACGCAGAACAGGTTTCAAAATAGACGAGGAGTGGGTAGGATCATTGCTGCTGGCCGGTCTTCCAGACAAGTACGCACCAATGATCATGGCCGTCGAGCACTCAGGAATCTGCATAACCACAGATTCAATAAAGACCAAGTTATTGGATATGCAGACAGATGGCGCTAGTGGTAATGGAAGTGCAGGTGCATTCTCCGCCAAGAAACCGAGTTTTCGGAAACAGTCGCGAGGTGGCGCTAGTAGGACGAATTTCAAAGGAAAATCAGCTGGTGCTAGCCAAGCGGGAATGTCAACAAACACAGATGATTTCGGGGTTCAATCGAGGTCAAGTTCAAACAGTGGTTTTGGAAATGGACATAATAAAAAGGATCTGAGTAATATTGTGTGTTACAAGTGCAAAAAGACAGGACATTTTATGTCAAAATGCCCTAACAATAACAGACTTGAAGGAGGATTTAGTGCCGTGTTTACAACAGGTGATTTTAAGGTCACAGATTGGTATGTTGATAGTGGTGCCAGCAAGCATTTAACTGCCAATAGCCAGTGGTTAAAAAACAGGAGAAAGCCTGACTTACCTGATATTGTAATGGCTAACAAATCGAAAGTTGTTGTGGAATGTGCAGGTGATGTTGAGATCAAAACAATGACCAATGAACAGCACAAGATTTTACTAGAAGGTGTACAGTATATTCCTGGTTTAACAACTAACTTATTATCAGTAGGCCAGTTAATCAATAATGGAAATAGAGTAAGTTTTCATGAAGAGGGATGCAATATTTACAATAAAGTTGGTGTATCAGTAGCTACTGCTAGTCTACATAACAACGTTTACAAGTTGAACGTTTGTGAGGAGCCAGTGTGTTTTCAAGCTGTAAGTAGCAATTTATGGCATCAACGTTTAGGTCACATTAATGACAGCTACCTGAATAAGACAGCCAAGTTGGTTGATGGTCTTATCTGTAATGGTACAAGCATTGGGAGTTGTGAGGTATGCTGTAGGGGCAAGCAAGCCCGTTTACCTTTTCCCAAAGAAGGCAGTCGAGCACAGCAACTGCTAGAGGTCATTCATAGCGACATTTGTGGTCCTATGGAAACAACATCTATTGGTGGAGCTAAATATTTCCTGACATTTATAGATGATTACAGCAGAATGTGCTTTATATATTTCCTGAAGACAAAAGATGAAACTTTTGATAAGTTTAAGCAATTTAAATCATTAGTTGAGAATCAACAGAATGTTAAGATTAAGATTTTGCGAAGCGATAATGGTGGGGAATTCTGTAATAGAGAAATGGATAGTTTTTTAAAGAATTCAGGCATCATACACCAGACTTCGAGCAGTCACACTCCGCAGCAAAATGGGATGGCTGAGAGGTTCAACCGGACCATTGTGGAGAAGGCTAAGTGTCTTTTATTTGATGAGAGCTTGACCAAGGCATTATGGGCGGAAGCGTGTAATACTGCTTGTTACCTGAAAAACCGTTCAGCATGTTCAAAGCTTTCAATGACACCATATGAGATTTGGACAGGTAAGAAACCAAATCTTAGTCATCTTAGGGTATATGGGAGTACCGCCATGGTTCATGTTCCGAAGGTCAGTAGGAACAAGTGGGACGAGAAGTCAGTGAAGCATGTGCTTGTTGGGTACGATGAAACTACCAAAGGATATAGGTGTTTTAACCCCAGAACAAGGAAAGTCATAGTAAGCCGTGATGTAACAATCATAGAGAAACCAAGTTTGGAAATTCCAAGTACAGTGTTGCCGGATAGTGTTCCAGATAAGCAAAGGGAAGTTCCAGATTCAGTGGGAGAGCAGAATCCCATGTATTCAGATGATGAATCTTCTGAAGATGATGTATACTTCTCGGATGATGATGAATATGTGCCTGAAGGTCAGTGCCATGACTTGTTTGATAATGGTGAACAAGTAACTCCAAGAAGATCCCAAAGACAGATCAAGAAGAAGAATTTTCAAGATTTTGTGACATATTTTGGAGGTGTTAACAGCAAGGGTGAAGTCTATGACTCGAGTATCCCTACATCAGTGACTGAGGCTCTTTCAAGGCCAGATGGGCAGAAGTGGAAAGAAGCTATGTCAGAAGAAATACAGTCATTTATCGATAATGACACTTGGGAATTAGTAGATCCGCCAGAAGTTGGTACAGTGGTGCAGTGCAAGTGGGTATATAAAGTGAAGAGTGATAATGAAAGCCATAACCGGTATAGAGCTAGGCTTGTGGCTAAAGGTTTCACACAGAGAGAGGGTGTGGACTATGTTGAAACCTTCGCCCCAGTGGTAAGGCACTCAACTTTTCGTTTATTGCTTGCTTTGTCTGTTAGGCTAGATCTAAAAATTTTACACTTGGATGTGAAAACAGCTTTCTTGAATGGTATTCTGAAAGAAAATGTATTTATGCAGCAACCTGAAGGTTTTGTCATTAAAGATAAAGAAAATAAAGTGTATAGATTGAAGAAAGCAGTTTATGGATTAAAACAATCTAGTCGTGCTTGGAACGAAAAAGTCGACCAAGTTTTGTCAAAAATTGGTTATTCTAAGTCCAAATATGAGCCTTGTTTGTACATTAAAAGGAATAACAGTAATTTGTTAACCATTGTTGCTCTCTATGTTGACGATTTTTTCTGTTTTTCGTCTGATGACAATGAAATGAAGTTTCTTGAAGGTCATTTAAACTCAAAGTTTAAAATTAAGAATTTAGGAGAGGCAAAACAATGTTTAGGTATAAGAATTACTAGGGATTATTCGAAAAATTGTTTGTCAATTGATCAAGAATTGTATATTAATGAACTTTTATGTCGTTTTGGTATGTCAGATAGCAAAGTAGTAAGTACTCCGCTTGACAGTAGTATCAACTTGAGCGATATCAGTGGTGAAATTTGTGATCCAAAAGTTCCATATCAAGAGCTTATTGGAAGTTTAATGTACCTTTCGGTAATGACCAGACCTGATATTTCTCATGCTGTGAGCTTATTAAGTCAGTATAATAACTCATACACTAAAGTTCATTGGCAATCTGCAAAGCGTTTACTTCGTTATTTAAAGGGTACAAAGAGCTTGTCTATGAAATTTTTTAAGGATAATTTAAATTTGACAGGTTTTGCAGATGCAGATTGGGGGTCCAATAAGCAAGACAGAAAGTCATTTACTGGTTATGTATTTAAATATTCAGGGGGTTCAGTTTCATGGAAAAGCTGTAAACAACGTACTGTTGCTTTGTCGACAACTGAGGCAGAGTATATGGCTCTAAGCGAGGCAGCAAAAGAGGCCATATATCTGAGGAATTTGTTGAGCGAGTTAACTGGAAAATTGGATTGTATTGAGATTCATAATGATAATCAAAGTGCTCAGAAGCTTGCTAGCAATCCAATGTTCCATGATAGGTCAAAGCACATAGATATAAGGTACCATTTCTTGCGAGATATTGTGTTAGAAGGTAAAGTGAAATTAATGTATACACCTACTAACGAAATGGTTGCAGATGTTTTAACGAAACCATTACAAAATGTTAAGAATTCAAAGTTTGTAAAGGGTTTAGGTTTAAGTTAAGTTGTGCATGACAGATATTTTAAAAGGTTTTAGAGAACCATTAGTAAACTTTTGTTAAGTGGGAGTGTTGTGAATAAGTATACCAAAAGTTTACTGTAGCTGTTATATATTTAAAATTGGTCAAAGTAGCGACATCTAGTGTCATATGTCGTTACTACTGTGTTTGTCCACTATGTGCATGTCACTCTGTAATGTCAGAGTAGTTGCAATATACCATCATAAGCGTGAACAAGTGTTTTCTTTCATCTCGCTAATCTCGCTTTAAGTTGCGTTTAAGTTCGGGTTGAACTGTGAAAAGTGTGTAAACTCTGTTAAAAACATCAGTATTAATATTTTTTTGCGATTCATAATGACGTGATACCAAACATACATTATAAGAAATAAATATACACAAACACTGAATATTGAGAACAAAATAAATATATTTTTTAGGCAACAAGTAATATTCCTATGTACGCATTATGATTGAACAGCAAAACAAATTATGCATTCTTCTAAAATAGAATACAACAAGTCAAAAATATCTGACTGAATAGAAAAATATAGGAAAACAAAAAGTAATTTCTTGATGAAATAACCCATAAACAACACATAGAATTAGACTTTCTACTGAGATACTAAAAGCCACAAACCAATAGTATAATAAATGAATATCTAAAAATTCTAAAAGGTAGCCAATCTAGTATAGTTTCAATCCTGATTAGAGTCATGATCACTGTCTGAGGAACTGTCATTGCTATCACTTTCACCTCCTATGTTGATTATTATTTCTTCCTGTATTTCTTGAATGAGACTGTCTTTTTCCCAATATTCATCTTCAATTTTTATAACATGTCCAATAACCTTTTGCCAGTCACTGGCACTTACTGAAGCGATGGCCTTATTAGAAATTTCATCTAGTTTTTTTATAGTAAATTCGCCGCTTGTATTATGGCTTCTAATGAAAAATTTTACTTGTGCCCAAATCATCTCTATGGGATTAAACTGACACATATAGGGTGGCGTTCGAAGTGGGGTGTGTCCGAAACTTCTTATTAAATTATCTATCTTATAATTTTTCTCATCAGATGGTGGCCTATGTAGACAAGCTATTTCATAAAGCTCCATTTTTTTAGCATTAGGATCATGCTCTATACCTTTTTTGCTCAACCACGTGATGATGTCTCTTTTTAGAGAAGATCTAGTTGGAGGCTTGTCTTCCAAAGCTGAATGGTAAGGTGCATTATCCATTATTATAATACTATTAGGAGGAATGTTAGGAAATAGTTTTTCAGTAAGCCACTTCGTGAAATTTTCTTGGTTCATTTGACCGTGATAATCACCAGTGGCACAGCCAGCCTTGAAAATGAGACAGGCTCCAGGAACAAAACCATCTTGCGAACCCGCATGAACAATTATAAGTCGTCCTGGAAATGAATAAATAGCCTCATTTTAGTGTTATTTTAAGTTTGCCAACACCTTTTTGAATCACTATGTATAAAAAACATATTTTTGAGAAAAAAATACTTGCAAGGGATTATGTATTCAATTAGACAAATTAAATGAGCACTTATTAAGAATATTCCAAAATTGAGAAAAATGTATAATAAGCAAAATCGAGGTGAAAGAAACTTTATTACCTGTAGAACTTATATTGCTCAGGACACCCATAATTTCTTCGCTTTGCCAGCATTTCTTGAAAGTGAGGTCATTATCAACCCAAGTTTCGTCCAAATAAATAATATGCCTTCCTTCTTCCCGGAACTTTTTAATAGACCTAAGATACTTGTATCGCCAATGTAAAATACTGGGTCTTTCCATTAGTAATTTCCTTTTGTTGTGGCATTTACGCCAGTAAAATCCTTTTGCTTTTAAAAGCAGCCTCAACGATTCTTTACCAAATGGAAATTCCATTTCTTCCTTCAGTTTGATTAGAAGTTTACTACAAGTAGGTACCACTTTAAAATCACAGTAAAATTTTTCTATCATTCTCCGAATAATGGAAAAATCGACTCCATCAATTTTTTGGATCACAGAAGGGCGTGATCTCTTTTTCCGGGAGAAGCTAAAGGCTGTGTGGAGGTTGCATTTTGCCTGTCTTTATCTTCTTTTCTAATTTTACTTATAGTTCGTTCACTAACACCCGTATAATATGCCGCCCTTGCATTTCTAGCTACCAGTGGATAAACGAAAGTATTGTTAGCCGCTTCTGCATCGCAAGCACGTATCACGTTTGCTATTATTTCCCTTGCCTGGCTGTGAATAACTTTCCCATGCTTGAATTCCATTATCACCACTAAACAGTAAATTATATTTTCAAAGTATTTGCCAACTGCCTACGCCTATGGGAGTAGGTTTATAAATGACCGTGCCATCGGCACGTTATTCTAGTTTCAGATAAGATAAGAGTTTTGGACCAATCAGCGACCGGATGTTTACCTGCGGCCTGGGTTTTCCAGCTACATTGCCAAATTCAGCGGAACAATTCTATATCTTAAATATGTTAATATGTATGGACCGCATTTTATGTAGAACATCTGACAACTTCGCAATTTTTTGTCCGCATTCTTTCGGCTTGCAATCTTTCGCTGGTCCAACATTACAGCTTGGCGATTAGTTACTGTAATGGCGCCCAATATCCAGCAAACTGGAAATTGAGGCTGTTGCATCTTGTGGAATTTCCGATTTCACTGTTTTTTCTCTTAAAACTTTTAGAGGGTAGTCTGATAGATTATTTAGAAACAAAAAAAGTGTGGATGAAGCACGCTTTTCATGAAAAAGTTTTTCCCAAAACATTGTATTTTTAGCTGTTCTTTCCATCATTATTTCCACCCACATCTATCTGCCTATGACGTAGACATCTGTGCATATGTCATATATGGGAGGCGCTTGCCTGCGGTGTTGCCGGATTGGGCTCCGCATTTAGGGAAAAATATGAAAAAGTTGAACAAGCAACAGTAGCAAAATAAAAGGCGATTTCTAATAAGTATAAATCAAAAAATAACAGTAGTAAGCGAAAAAATGATAAATTATAAATAATTATAAAAAAACAAAAAATAAAAACAGTAGTAAAACAAAAACTAATTCCATGTAATTATAAAAATCAAAAAATAACAAACAGCAGTAAAATAAAAAGTAGCAAAACAAAAAAAAACAACTCCATGTTGAATAGAAAGTAATTCTAAATGACAACGCAAAACAAAAAGTAAAAACAGTAGTAAAACGAAGAACAATTCAATTCCATCCAAATTGCTTTTTATTTTACTGTTTGTTATTTTTTTTTTATAATTAAATGGAATTGTTTTTTGTTTTACTGCTGTTTGTTGTTTTTTGTTTTATACTTAGTAAGAATCACATTTAATCCTACTACTGTTGTTTGTTTCAGTTTTTTGTTTCTGTGTTTCATTAATATAAATGTATAGAAATTTCCCACTTTTCATATTTTTCCCTAAATACGGAGTCCTATCCGGCAACACCGCAGGCAAGCGCCTCTCATATATGACATACCCACAGACGTCAGCGTCATAAGGTAGATGGCGGTGGAAATAATGGGAGAAATAACTGCTAAAAAATACAGTGTTTTGGGAAAAAAATTTCATGAAAGGCGTGCTTCATCCACACGTTTTATGATGTAAAATAATTTATTAGACTACCCTCTATAAGTTTCAAGTGAAAAAACAGTGAAATCAGAAGTTCTTCAAGACGCAACAGTACCGATTTTTAACATTTCTGACGCCAATCAATTTGTGATCAATTTTTGCTGATATGTGTATACAGGGAAAACCAAATTTGTCGGACGACTTGAGTTCAATGTGTACGAGAGAGAAGCGTGAGCAGTGTGTGTCAACACGTTAGAAAGAGATAGAAGCCGGCTGAAGAGCGGAGGTCATCACCACATTGCCTAGCAGCGGTGACGCAGAAAATATTTAATTCAAGGAACTGGTCTAACGTAATGACGACAAGGCAGATTACCGCGTCCGCGTTGATAGGCAAAGCCGGCTTCTATCTCTTTCTAACATATGAGTCTATAGATACTTCTCTCTCGAACACATTGAACTCAAGCCGTCAGACAAATTTGGTTTTTAGTGGACATTCATGAAACATTAAAGGAGGACCAGCGGAAGTTCTGTTCTCTAAGCACAATGACGCTTATGGTCAAATGTCACGTCATGGTGTCGTGTTCCGAGCATATCAACGACATCACATCCTAACACTTTTGACACATTGTTGTTTGATGTACGATTATTACAATTTTTGTACGATAACCAGGAGAAGAGAGAGAGTCACCCCCCCCCCCCAATCTCAGGCATAATAAGCGTTAATGTCCTTTAAGGTGTTAGAGCCTGATGCGTTATTCTCCCTATGTTCTAATTTGACGCTAAGGACCGTAAATGCTTACTTAACGCCCTAGATACATAAATAACTACTGTTTTGTGTCAATTTGTGTGATGCTATTAACAAAGTTGAATAATTGTAGAGATTCTGTATTAAATATTGAGTACCATAAATGTTTAAATCCATCATCACTATCGTATTTTAACAATCTACGTTTGATTTCGTATTTATTATCTCTTTCAGATTCAAAATTGATGTAAACTACGTTGGTGCGCCTCCCTCAATTGAGGTGACCATTTTCCATCTGAATGACAACATTGACAAACAGTTCTTGCGCGATATGCTGCTGAAGTTTGGTGAGATAGAAGAACTGTTCATCTACTATCATCCCATCACCAACAAACATCTGGGTATTGGAAGAGTTGTGTTCGAGTGCGTGAAAAGCGCTAAGGCGTGCGTGGAAAAGCTGAACAATACCAGTGTTATGGGAAAGATACTCGACGTTTTCTTGGATCCTTTTGGCGAGAAGGTATGTGCGACTCCCTGTTTCTCCCAATTTTTGTGTCTGCCCTGATAAAACCATGGTTCAAAGGCAGTTTATGTTGAAGTGTTAAAAGAGGAGCTCAAATGCAAATTCTTTGGCGTAATGGGGTATCTTGTCATTTTCCTCGTGTATCAAAAAAAACCCTTAACGCACAATGCTCATGCCTCTTATTGCTGAATATATTTATTTATGTGGTTATTTCACAAAGTGTGACGGTGGCAGATTTTCTGTATTAGTATACTAAGCGACATATAAATCTGAACACCCAGTTTAAATGGTTTTATTTCAATAAAATTTTGTATAAGTACTTAATGAAGCATATTAAGTAAATGATTGCACTGCTTTAAAGCCCTTTGACCTTTAATAATGTGTGGATGCACCCTGGGGTTCTAGAACTTCGTGGATATAACGCTGCGCGTTCATGTTACCTCTGATAAAGATTAAAGGTGACCTGGAACCATAAGCTATAGCACCCCAAACCATAACTCCAACAGTGTGATGAACATGTCTTTCAACAAAAAACTGTGGATTCCTCCTTTCACCACGTCGCCTTCTAACCCTGGCACGACCATCGTGCATCCCTAAACAAAATCGAGACTCGTCACTAAAGACAATACTGTTCCATTCCTGATCCCAGAGTGACCGTTGTCTGCACCACTCAAGGCGATTACGTCGGTGTTCTCGAGTTAAAGGGAGGACCCAGTGTGGCCGGTATGAAAACAAGCCAAAACTTGTCATTCGTCGGTAAACACTTCGCATGCCAATAGGTCTTCCGTGTTCTGCAAACCATTCATTTGCAATGGACCTGGTAGTGGAGAAACGGTCCCTTAAGGCCAATAATCTTAGGCGGCGATCTTCACGGTCTGTTGTTCTACGGCGGCGTCCAGTGCCCCTTGCTCTTTGCGTACGGCCTTCTCGAAGCCATGCCTGACAACACCTAACCACAGTGTCTACACTTCTTTGCACTCTAACTGCAATTGCCCGAAAAGAAAGTCCAGCTTCCCGAAGTCCCACTATACGGCCCCTATCAAACTCACTAAGTTGACGAAATCGTACAGGTCTCCGTACTCTAGGCATCGTAACCGATCGTAAAGGATGTCAAGAACCAAAATCCGCCAACGTTGATTCTTCACTGCGGCTGAAATATTCTTTTTTAGAGCGTTTGTGAATTAAAAAAATCAGCATAAAAACCGGAATGTCCAACTGATAAGGCTGAAAATTTTTCCACTTGTTATTTACAGTAAGATAAATACATTCACCAACTTTTATTAAAATAAAACCATTTAAACTGGGTGTTCGGATTTATATGTCACTTAGTATATTATGTCACTAGTCCTGTTTCTCAGACCCAGATTCTGTGTAACTCACATCTTCCACTTTTTGATATTCCCAATTTTCATAGTTTTCCGTGACAACTGCGACGATGTCAGGACACTAGACCACTTTTTAATTCTCTTGCGTTGTTTTTTCCATTTGAAATGGTACTCACGCCCACACCCTATTTCTATGCTGCTCCATCTTAGCGATTATGAACCTGACTGAAACAAACATACCCGCACACACCAGTGAATTCCGCAAACGCGATTGGGGAATCACCGGCAGCGAATCTAATGACGCAAACGCCGAAAGGGGAACTACCGGCGGCTATTTCGGATCTTGCACCGATTTCCCGAACAACTTCGGTTAAAACGGAGAAATTATTGTATGCGATCCGTTTCGAATTATCGCGATTCGGAAAATCGGGGTTCTACTGTAGTTCGTTTTATGACCTGTTACCTTCTCAGGCTACTCACCGTTGATGATGACACGATTTTATTCCAGTGCAAGAAAAAATTCGAGGACGTCACCGTCGAAAAGAAACCTCCTCCTGCTCCCATGGACACGACGCCTGTCAAAACGTCCAAGACGGATGATAAATCAAAAACCACCGAAGACAAACCGTACGATCCGGGCGACAACGATTTCGACGATCGCGATCACTACAAGAACAAAACCAATGACAAGGACCACGCGGACGAGTACGAAAGCAAGAAGTCCAGAGATAGGGAGCGTGACAGAGACAGGGACAGAGAACGCGACAGAGATCGGGATAGGTACAGTGGCGGCGGGAGGAGTTATAGGAGCGGTGATTTTCCGACGCCAAGTGGGTCAGATTTGGGGTATGGGACGGCGCCCAGTGAGTTTTCGGCTAGTTTTAGTTCTGCGGGCACCACACCTCTCTCGTAAGTATTCCTTAACCCTACAGGTTTTATGGTAATCGGTATTTTTTATTCTCTGACAAAAATAGTAGCAGAAAGTCGCCACTAATATCTACTTCCAACAGGCTAAATGTAGGACCATAATGCGATTTGATTAATCTCCCTGTTGTGTTGGAAAATTAAATCGAAATGGAAATCAGATTAAAATAAAGTGAGATTTTGTCAAAAGTGTGCTTAATGAATGCTTTGCAAGAATATTATTCATAAAATTATAAAAAGTTTATGATTACTGGAAGTGAAAATGATTTGTTAGACTACACAAGATCAAGAAACCAATCTGTAGCAGTTCCACGAGATGAAAAGGAAAATTATTACAATGCCAAAATTGATCAGGGTAAAAATAATAGCAAACATATGTGGAAAACGTTGAAAAACATTGTTTCTTGTATTAGAAAAAGTACATTATCTAAAATGAAACTCGACGATGGGGTAATAACAAATGTAGAAATAATAGCAGATTGCATGAATACCTATTTCATAGAAAATGTCAACGATATTGTAATATCAATTATTGACGGGGATCCCAACCAGTGTCCCATTAGCTCAGATTATAATGCATCATCCACTGAGTTTAGAACAATAAACATTAATCGTCTCAAGATTATATCAAATTTGTGTATGTATTGGTACTGAAGTCAGTACCACATGTACAACGTCAATATCTTAACCAACTTAGATTAAAAAATTATAATTTCAATACCCTGTACCGCGATAAGAAGGCATTTTTATTTTTTTAACCTTTAAATATAGTAGTAGTAGTAGAAAGATTTATTTAGCACATTTGGCTACATAAACAGAATAATTGTAAACAACTTAGAACTAGTAAATGCAAGCCATATGGTGTATGATGTAAATGCTGGGCAACCTATAATTGTAGATTTAACAAGTGATTTCTCAATTTTACTTTAAATTTTGTCAACGTTTTCTGGTCTTTCATCTCCGAGTATAATTTATTATATTCAATCAACCCTTGATGGAATACAGATTTGTAGCATATGTTATACTTTTTGATCATTAAATGGAAGTCATCTTTATTTCTGGTATTATGTAAATGATGGTCGACATTTGATGATGTTAAATTAGTTAGACTTGATGAAAATATATTATTTTTTACTTTATAAATGAATATCATTAAAAGATATTTGATAAATTGTTTTATATTGTGCCATTTTAATTTGCTAAGCATTTGCCTAATTGGAGTATATTTATCGTTATTTAGTATTATTCTCATGCATTTATTTTGTAAAATTTGCAGTCTTTCAAAAATGGAATTATTTGCTAAATATAGATAGTCGAACAGTACAAGAAATTTGGAAGAATGATGGTATTATAGATAATTTTTCTGCTATATGAACACAGACATCCAGAAACTCTCGATAAATATTCCACTTTACTACTAATCTTATTTATAACTTTTTCATAATGAATATCAAAAATTAATCGAGAGTCAACAAAAACCCCCAGGTATTTAAAATTTTCTACGAATTCAATATCTTCACCATCAATATTCAGTTGAACATTTGTACATTGTTTTTTTCCGATTAACAAGGCTTTCGTTTTACTTGCATTTAATTTTAGTCTGTTAGATGCTAACCATTTTGAGACAAGCTTCAAGTCTTCATTTATATGAGATATACCAGTCTGAATATTTTTATCTATAAAATAAAAAGAAGTGGTCCCACGATACTGCTCTGTGGAACACCCAACGTATTTTCAATTTTTGATGAAATAGTCTCATTAACTTTTGTAACTTGCATCCTTTTAGACAAATAATTTCTAAACCAATCTAAAACACTTCCTGTTATACCATATGCCTTCAATTTACCTAACAAAATATCTCTATCACTCGTTTCAAATGCTCTCTTCAAATCCAAAAAATACTGTTATGACAACTTCTTCTGAGTCTATGGCTCTTGTCCAATTCTCAGTTACCAACTGGAAAGCTGTTTCTGTGGAATATTTTTTTCGAAAGCCTGCTTGCGCCTCCACTAAAATTTTGTTTTCTTTTATAAACTGCATTAATTGGTCATGCACTATGGACTTTTTCAATGTCTGGTAACACATTTACTGGTCTCATATCGCTGCATCTTTTAGAATTTTTTATTTTGGGAACTGGTGTTATTGTAGAGCATTTCAAATTTGCAGGAAAAGAACTGCTTCTCAGTGAACAATTGATCCAATTTTATACAGGTTATCCCAACATTTCGAAACAGTTTTTCATCACGTTTTTAGTAGTGATTTCGGCACAGTTGTTATTTGATTTTAAACTGTTTACTTTTTTCTTAGATAATTCAACGATACGCTGTGAAAATTTGAAAGTGTATGCAACATTTCCCCCTGGAAACTGATTTTCATATAGTCAGGTGCAGCATTGGCAGTACCCACAATATCAACAATACTTTCCACAAAATATCCATTCATGCTCACGTTTTTTTTTCCAGGTACGAGTTCCACGGCCATGCATTGATCTCAACCGGCGGCAGCCACTCTTACCCGCCTCCGCCAACCGCCGCGCCTCCCGGCTTCGGCACGCCCACCAGCTACCATCACCCCGGCCACCACGCGCCTCCCCCTGCAGTCGCTGTCGCCGCCCCGCACCATCCCCACCACGCGCCGCCGATCGGAGCCCCGCCACCGACGCCGGTCTGGCCAATGGCCGCGCCGGCCACGCCCCAATGGCCGTGGGAACGTTCGCCGGTCGGACCGCCTCCTGCCGTTGCGCCGGGGCAGGCGAAATGGCCGCCGCTACCGGACGACGCGCGGCATCCGTCCAGGAGTAGCGGCGGTAAGGAGAGGGAGCGAGATAAGGATAAGAAGAGGAGTGGGAGCGGTAGCGGAAGTAGGTATAGCAGCAGAAAGGAGAGGGATCGAGAGAAGGAGAGAGAAAAAGAGAAGGTGAGTTGCATGATATGATTGTTTGAAACATTTTTGTAATCGATCCCAAATTGTAAAGTTATCAAGACCGAATAAATTAAATAATGGGTGATTTTTTTGCTAGTATCTTTTTGGCAACACTGTTTTTGACAGATGACGCGTGAATCGTGTCTTGTGTTATTGTCAAACTTGTTCAGTTTGGTCTATAATTTAACCATGAATCGACTTACGAACGAACAACGCTTGCAAATTATTGAATTTTACTATCAAAATTCACGCTCGGTTAAGAGAGTGCATCGAGCACTGCTTCCAATTTATGGGCAATTTGGTCTGCCTACTGAGGGAGCTACTCGGAAGCTTGTGACTAAATTTCGAACCCAGTTTACATTATTGGACATTAAACCACCAACACGCAGACGTACAGTGAGGACTGAAGAAAATATTGCGGCTGTATCTGCCAGTGTTAGTGATGACAGTGAAATGTCGATTCGCCGCCGTTCGCAGCAATTGGGCCTCTGTTACTCCACTACGTGGAAAATTTTGCGACAGGATTTGGGTGTAAAACCTTATGAGATACAGCTGGTGCAAGAATTGAAGCCACACGACCTCCCACAACGTTTCCCATTTGGTGAATGAGCGCTGGCAAAGTTGGAGGAAGATCCACATTTTTATCGAACAATTGTGTTCAGCGACGAAGCTCATTTCTGATTGAATGGGTACGTTAACAAGCAAAATTGCCGCATCTGGAGTGAAGACCAGCCAGAAGCATTGCAAGAGCTACCAATGCATCCCGAAAAAATCACTGGTGTGGATTATGGGCCGGTGGCATCATCGGGCCGTACTTCTTCAAAGACGACAATGGCCGAACGTAACTGTGAATGGCGAACGCTACCGTGCGATGATAACAAACTTTTTTTTGCCCAAAATGGAAGAGCTGGATTTGGCTGACATGTGGTTTCAACAAGACGGTGCCACATGCCACACCGCACACGAAACAATGGCCCTTTTGAGAGGCGATTCCGGTGAACAGTTTATTTCACGTTTGGGGCCCGTCAATTGGCCGCCTAGATCGTGTGATTTAACGCCGTTGGACTATTTCTTGTGGGGCCATGTTAAGGCTAATGTCTACAGGGATAAACCAGCAACGATTGACGCACTGGAAGCCAATATTGAAGCATTTATTCGTGAGATACCGGCCGATATGTTGGAGAGAGTGTGCCAAAATTGGACCTTGCGCATGGGCCGTCTAAAGCGGAGCCGCGGCCAACATTTACATGAAATAATCTTTAAAAATTAAATTATATCGACCGTTCTATCGACTCAAATCAAGATTTAATCGTTTTTTCAAATTTCACCATCAAATCCGTGGGACAGATCATTGACTTAAATTAGATTTTACTAATCATGAAGGCAAATTACTTACTCAACTAGCAAAGATTTTCTTTATTATAAGAATAGTTAGTAGAATGTAGGGAAAAGCGCAGCCTGAAGCCGTTACTTTACCTTATTTGAAACTAGATTGATATGTCTGTTTCCAAAATTGTTTAAAAAAGTGCCTATTCTACGAAAACGAACTATTAGATATATAACTAAAACTTTTCAATATGTAAACCATCTGTGCGTTCTACAGTGCGCCTACTTAATAAGCATACAGTAGCGGACAAAAGTTTGGACACAAATATTAACTTTATTATGAACTATTTAATTTACATAAATTCAAATTGTGAAGGAACAGATAATATAAATATTAGTCTACCTTGACTCCCGCACTAATACAAGATTTATCTTATCAATATTCAAATTCTCTGAAAATCAAAACACGCGTTTTTTTAAATAGCACAGTTTCATCACATTTCAGTTTTGCCGTATTTATTCGTTCTGCGATACTCTGATATTGCGTGCGGTAAAGTTCAACATCAGTGAGAATGACAAAAGTAAAATGATTTTTAAAGGATTGAAGAGACCAAGTAATTGAATCATTTAGAAGTGGTGTCAGAAATGTTGACATTTCTCAAAGATTAAAAATGAACAAAGGGCCGATTTCGAAAATGATAAGTAAATATCAAGAATACGGATCAACAGCAAGCAAATTTAACTTGTTTGTCCGCTGTATATGTAATTATGTTATGGTGTAGTTTGAAATGAACTTTGTCATTAAGAATATTGTATTCTTCATCCAATAAATCATATTTATCTATCTATCTAAGACTGTTTCTTTTGCCTTTTCAGCCCACCGACGAAGAGAGCAACCAACTGGACCTGGACACGCGTATCGCCCTGCTACTAAAAGAAAAAGGTTGCGGCGGCATGGCACCTCCCTTCCTCGCCCTGAGCGCGGACTCCGACGACGAATCAAAAACGCTGGACACGAAGTCCCTAATTCCTCCTCCTGCCGCGATTCCCGCGTCGGCGCTAGTGGTCAGCGACTTCGAAGATGACGACGACGACAGGTCGAGCGTGTCGCTGAGCGAAATGCCCATCAATCCGCCGTGTCCGGAGGATGACATCGATGTGCCGCCGAGGGAGGATCACAATCCGCCGTTGTCGGATCCGCCGTCGCCGTTTTTGTCCAAGGAGATTTATCTGGAGTGGCATCAGAGGGGCATCGAACAGGTGAGAGGAATTGAAAGAAAACTCAGTGAACTTTCACCAGATCACTTTGAACATTTATTGTGAATTTAATAATACATTATTTCTTTTTTTTTGCATAGGCCGTTGTTGCTCGACAACGTGAAGCTCTGGAAACTACAGCACTGCTGAAAAAGGTTCATATAGAGATGAATAAAATAGGCAGTGACATATCGTCAAGTGAAGATGAACTACTCACTGGAGGAAACAATTATAGTCCAATAGGCACATCTGATTCCAAGGCGTTTAAGGTATGTTTTCGTTCTATTCCATATTGGCTCAAATGGTGTAAGATATGTTCGAAATAAAGTGGCATCAACGGAGAAAGTACTTTTAGAGTAACTCAAGAAATTAAACCTGGAAGGGAACACAGATACAGATATATTGGAAAATAATAATAATAATAATAATAATATTTATTCACTCAATGTACAAAGATAACAAACAATATGAGTAAATAAATACAGGGTGTCCGCAAAGTTGGGGTTTTCCTTTACTCGACGTGTAGATCTTGAAAACATAAGCAATTTTTCTTAGTACCATATACACCAATGTCTTAAGGGAACCGAGATAAAGGGCTCTGCAACATCAAAAATATCTGAATACCGTCCTGTAGCCGCGACTCGCGACATCCCCAACTGGTACTAGGACACTAGCTCAACCCGACGACAGAACTGGGTCGGGGGTCGGGGTCAGTGTGTCAGGTCAGTATGCAACCTTCAACCGACGGTTACGGTCACGCGTGTAGAGGTAAACGAACCCGTATAATCGATTGCGTTTCAAAAAACAACAAGCACTAGAGACGTGGCTAGAGAAGTGCAAGTATCAAAAACTAAAGTGTGGCAAACGTTGCGTGAAGAGGGGCTGTATCCGTTTCACGTCCAACGTGTACAAGCCCTTCAACCTGACGATTTTCCAGCAAGAGTGCGGTTTTGTGAGTGGTTGTTGCATCAACATGACAATAATCCGGACTTTTTGAAGTGCATATTGGTGACAGACGAATCTACGTTCACGCGTAATGGGGTGAATAACTTTCGCAACACTCATGTCAGTAGAAAATCCGCAACGCTGTCCGACGGGCACATTTTCAACAAACATTTTCGGTGAATCTTTGGGCTGGCATGGTGAACGGTATGCTCATTGGACCATTTATTCTCTCAAATCGATTGGACGGGATGCAATACCTAGACTTTTTACGCAACATTTTGCCTTCCTTGTTAGAAGATGTGCCATTAAGTGTAAGACAATCAATGTGGTTTCTGCACGATGGTCATATGTGTTACCTCTGTTCGTGGTCTACTGGTTTGCACCACCGCCGGCGTCTGCTCGGTAGCGCATCAGCTGATTTCATTTTCTGTTGGAGCGGTATGATTTCGGGCAGAGACGTACTTAGCCCTTCTCGTCAACTGGAGAGTGAGTACTTTTTTCTTTATTTTTTTTACTTGGTCGCCCTCGTTTCACTACACATTACCTTTGTTATTTCAAGGGTAGTTGTTTCTGAAAAGGAAAACCCCAACTTTGCGAACACCCTGTATAAAATCAAAACAGGCCCAATACAAGGCATCGCCTGTACATGGACCAATAATTTTAGTTGCAACTGTAGAATGCAAATGACAAAAAAGGACAAAAATTAGCTACAGTTGATTATGTATTTACTTGATGTTCGTATTTATGAGCTTATGAATTTCAGTCCTAGATATAGAATGTAGCCACTTTTTTAAATTTCTTTTGAAACAATTTCCGAAACGTAAATCTTTTAAGTCTTTAGATATAATTTCATAAAATTTTGGCGCTAAATAGAGATATGACCACTGCATTATAGATTTATGTTCGTACACATTATCCTTTCTTTGCTTCACGAAGGATTTGAAGAAGTACAATTTTTTTATTGTTCAACTATTTTGTTTACAGCAAATGAAAACATATTTTGAAGATTACCAAGTCTACAAAACAAAGCTAAGATAATCATTTGTTTTACATTCAACCACTTTATATATATATATATATATATATATATATATAGCACATAAACATTTGGACACTGATTTAGAACTGTTAAATAGTGATATTAAAAAAATTATGAATTGGTTAAACGTCAATAAACTTAAATTAAACACTAATAAAACAAAATGTATGTTAATAGGGAAGCATTTAAGTGACAATACAATTAGGCTAATGATTAATGATGAAAAAATTGAATTAGTCGAGTCATTTAAATATCTTGGTATATATGTGGATAGTAAGGCTACTATTTCACGAACATTATGAATACATTATTTCAAAAATATCGAAAAAGATGAATTACCTCTATAGAGTTTCCTATAATCTTAGTATGTATTCCAAAAACATTGTGTATAACACTACAATTCTTCCCCATTTTTTATATTGTTCAACCATGTTGTTTACAGCAAATGAAAACATAACGGGTGATTTTTTAAGAGGTATAGGATTTGATTGTCAAAAAATTTGAAAAAACGATTAAATCTGTATTTGTGTCGATAGAACGGTCGATATAATTTAATGTTTAAAGATTATTTCATGTAAATGTTGGCCGCGGCTCCGCTTTAGATGGCAAATGCGCAAGGTCCAATTTTGGCACACTCTCTCCAACATATCGGCCGGTATCTCACGAATAAATGCTTCAATATTGGCTTCCAGTGCGTCAATCGTTCCTGGTTTATCCCTCTAGACATTAGCCTTAACATGGCCCCACAAGAAATAGTCCAACGGCGTTAAATCACACGATCTAGGCGGCCAATTGACGGGCCCCAAACGTGAGATAAACTGTTCACCGAACTCGCCTCTCAATAGGGCCCTTGTTTCGTGTGCGTTGTGGCATGTGGCACCGTCTTGTTGAAATCACATGTCAGCCAAGTCCAGCTCTTCCATTTTGGGCAAAAAAAAGTTTGTTATCATCGCACGGTAGCGCTCGCCATTCACAGTTACGTTCCGGCCATTGTCGTCTTTGATGATGCCACCGGCCCATAATCCACACCAAACAGTGATTTTTTCGGGATGCATTGGTAGCTCTTGCAATGCTTCTGGCTGGTCTTCACTCCAGATGCGGCAATTTTGCTTCTTAACGTACCCATTCAACCAGAAATGAGCTTCGTCGCTGAACACAATTTTTCGATAAAAATGTGGATCTTCCTCCAACTTTGCCAGCGCCCATTCACCAAATTGGAAACGTTGTGGGAGGTCGTGTGGCTTCAATTCTTGCACCAGCTGTATCTTATAAGGTTGTACACCCAAATCTTGTCGCAAAATTTTCCACGTAGTGGAGTAACAGAGGCCCAATTGCTGCGAACGGCGGCGAATCGACATTTCACGGTCATCACTAACACTGGCGGATACAGCCGCAATATTTTCTTCAGTCATCACTCTACGTCTGCGTGTTGGTGGTTTAATGTCCAATAATGTAAACTGGGTTCGAAATTTAGTCACAAGCTTCCGAATAGCTCCCTCAGTAGGCCGACCAAATTGCCCATAAATTGGAAGCAGTGCTCGATGCACTCATTATACAAAATTGACATTGTAGCATTAATGCTAAATAAATCTTCAACAACAACATTACAAGAAATTGATTCAAAAATATATAAATATTAATAAATCTTCAACAAAATTTTGCCCAGTTGGTTACGATGCTATACAAATTTGCTTGAATTGTTCAATGCCATTTGAATGTTATTTAAGCAAAACCGATTTCTAACTTTGAGGGTGTGCTTTTACGAAGGGGTGGACACTTTTCATAGGAGCTTTTGGCATAATGTATTGAATTTGATTTTCAGTCAAAGGAGGACGACAGGATGTCGTTGTCGTCGCTAAGCAGCAACGACACGAAAATTGAGGAGGTGCAACCGGACCCGCCGCCTCAACCACCCTCTCAGCCTCCTCCTCAACCGCCTCTGCCCCCTCCGACGCCTCAAACTGCCGTGCCGCCACCGCTGCCTCCTATACCAAGCTTGTACCCGGGGCACGCTTACCCAGGGTTACCTCACTTTCCTGGTGAGTACCAAACAATCATAATGTATGGCGTACGAACAAAATTTTAGCAATAAACTTTGATACGACTCATTTCGTACCATTCACTAGTTACTATGATTCCTTGCTCAACTATGAAACATTATGGTTTAAAATAGATACCCGCTATATGACTATCAAGTCAAGATTGCACAAGGTTTACCTTTATGCAAATGTGCTTCAAACCGTCAAAGTTTTCATTTTTAAGATATTTGAAGGACTAGTAGTCCGATTTGAATGAAAATTGGAACACATGTTTTACTAGACGTTCAATGTTTGATTTTACGAAAGGTGAAAACTACCTCCAATCTTACATAAATTATAGCAGAATTTCTTGGCAACTTTCTGACTAGTCTGATTTTTTTTATTTAGCAGATTTTTACTTCATCTTTTGTCTTCTATGCAAGATAAATGTATGTCTCGATGTTTAATGGTATATTTTTTATTTCAAAGCTGCATTGTTAGGATCACCAGGAAACCTGCTAGTAAGAGGTCAGTGCAACATTGAATCACTTCTTAAATATTTGTCATTGAACCCTCTAATCGCATACATTGCATAAGCATGTTATGAAAAATTGATTTCTTTTTAATGAATATAATAATCTATTTTTTCTTTTCTTTTGTTTTTAATAATGATAATATTTAGTGAAGTACAGGGTGCGTCATCTATTACTTTTTTTTCTATTTGAAAAATCAACACGCTTTTTACGAGGTGAAATCGAATTTTTTTATTGATAAATGGAGGTGGGTTTATGCCATTTATGTATGAAAAATAACATCAGTCATGTTACGACCGCGGCTTCGTTTACAGGCCAACATCCGATCATCAAAATTTTCAATGACTTTTCCCAGAATAATCGGGTCTATGGCAATTTCAGTCCGAATATTGCGCTTTAGGTCTTGAATTGTCCGGGGACCATACGCATACATTTTTCCTTTCAAAAATCCTCAAAGAAAATAGTCAAGAGGTGTTAAATCGCACGATCTCGGGGGCCAACTGAGATATGAATTTCGTGAAATTATGCGGTCTTGAAATTTCGTGTGCAATAAGGCGATTGTTTGGCGAGATGTGTAAGCCGTTGCTCCGTCTTGATGAAACGAAAGATCTTCGGCACCAATACGATACAATTGTGGCCACAAAAAGTCTGTTAACATGCCGCAATAACGTGCCCCGTTGACGGTAATGGCCTTTTCTTCGGCATCTTCAAAGAAGAATGGTCCAACGATGCCACCAGCCCATAATCCGCACCAGTCACTTTTTCAGGATGGAGAAGTTGCTCATGATATTGGTGTGGATATTCAGCCTCCCAGAATCTGAAATTTTCCTTATTTACGTACCCATTGAGGTGAAAATGAGCCTCATCAGAAAAGAGCACGCTGCTGTTTATGGTCTACCGGCTTCAATTCTTGTGTTAGTTGGATTTTGTATGGATGGAGGTGTAAATCAATGTGTAAAATCCGACGTAAAGTGGTCTCACTAATTCCCAATTGTTGCGAACGGTGCCTAGTCGAGGTGGTTGGATCCTCTCGCACACTTTCACTCACTGTTTTCACGAGTACAAGCTGGACGAGCATGTTGTTATGGTCCACGACCTTCAGCTGAACCAGTTTCTGTAGGGCGTCCATGTCGGCCAAAACTAGTGCGAAGTTTGCGAAATATATTTTTTATATTTCGACCGTTTTCGTAATAAGTTTGGACAACCAAAATGCGTTGTTGTGTTGTAAACGAATCCATGACTATAAATGACATACCTTTGACAGTTCATTTATGCATACTGCATGACTTTTGACTCGCATGGTAACACATAAACTTATAGGTAAAAAAAAGTAATAGATGGCGCACCCATGCGTCAGGTAATGAAATCTAAGTAGTCCTAACTGATGGTACATTTTCATATGCATGCACTATAATCTTGAAAAGTGCATCGCAGAAACAAACATATTATCTACTTATTACCATAAAACAAGCTTCTAAACATTAACGTTATTTTTTAAGCCGCTATATTGCATGGAACTATCAGAGGTAAGACCCGAACTAACAGTGGCATGTTGTTGAAAACTGATATTATTGCTATGCAAGGAACTGTTTAAAATGTAGAAGTACCCCAAAATTGATACATCCTTGTAAGAGTTATTGAATATAGTTTGTGATTTATCCCCGTATTTTTTACTGCGCGTTTATGTTTTCCTTTTTTTTTTTTGGTGTAAATTCCGGCAACACTATCGAGATTGTCAGAATGCTTATAAATAATTGAAGAGTCATTTTGATGATTAATTTGCTGTAACTGGATCAAAATTGACATTATTTTAGCCCTGTTTCAAGAGCATTATGAATACATTGATTCAAAAATATAAAAAAAGATAAATTACTTCTATAGAGTTTCCCATAATCTCAGTATCTATTCCAAAAAAAAAATGTGTATAACACTAGATTTTTCCCCATTTTTCAAATTGTTCAACCATTTTGTTTACAGCAAAGATAACATATTTTCAAAATATCAAATTCTACAAATAGTATGTTAACCTTTTCAGTTGATCCGGATTTCATGAATCTGTTCTTCTTGACCGTACTTTTCGTTTTCTTTTACTTGTTCTTTTTTGTTTTTATAGTAAAAAATAAGTTGATCTAAATGTGATGTCCGACACAAGTTCGGTGTTCGTCATGCTTGCCACTTGAGAACACGCTGACGCACCCGCAAACGTGCGGATTGCGACATTTGCGTCATCAAAAACAAAAAGGTTTGGAGCTTGCGGCAAGTGTGGAAAATAAAAATATTATGATTTAGCAGGCTTCCCTGGAACGCCTTTTACATCATACCCCCCACCGCCGTTCGGATACCCCCCAGCTGCGACGAACTGGCCTACGGCGGCAGCACCCTTCCCCTTTGCTCAGCCAGCAGCACCACACCTTTACATGCCGCCGACACAGCAATTCGCCCAGTTCCCCCCGTTGCATCACGTACCAGGGGCGCACTATCTGCCAACCTATCAGGTACAAATTCACATGCATCCATAAAAAATGCGCAGACTCGTTCACTTTTCCTTTCTCTTCAAAATGACGCACGGAAATGTGAACAAAACAAAATGTTTGCTTACAGGGAACTCTTCAGATGAAAATACTATAAGTCAAATAACTAAAATTGGCAATACACTAACAAGCATTAAAAAATTGAGTCCATTGAAACATTTAAATATTTGAATTTCGCATAGTCTAAGTGCTTATTATAACGAGCAAGTCAGTATTTCAAAAGGGATTGTACGAATTTAATAAATTAAGTAATGATATCAAGATGTGTGCCACTTTCAGAATGCTTAAAGGGAAATTGAAAAAATATCTCATGGAACACCAAAATGCATAGTAATGATATTTTGTATAAAAATATGTAGACTTGTAGACATATCATGGTATATACTGTGTAACTTTGATATTGTAGCATTAATGCTAAATAAATCTACAACAACATACAGACAAACTGAAAAATGTATGTAAGTTGAATTGAGGCGCAACTGAAGTTTAAAAGGAAAGGGAAAGCTTACGAATGTGGACATTTTAAAAAGTTTCTTAACATCATTTTTCTGGTTTAAAACCACAATAAATATCCAGATAAAACGCTATAGGTTAAAAAACTGTCTCAGGATGTAGTTTCATGAACAACTTTATCATCATTTATAATAGATAAATATGCTTTATTGTCTGAAGAATACAATCATTCTTAATGACAAAGCTAACTTAGAACTAAACAAAATTACATACAAGGAGGCGCATCGAAAACGAAACAGACGCATTTACTGGCAGCTCAGTTTTTTTTTTGGAAAAACGCTCAGATCCGTCGATTTTGTTTTCGAGGGGGACACAAGTTTGGCAAAAAATCACGTTAACACGTGCAGCCCCCTGGGCGGGGTGACACCAACCCTAAAATCTTAAATGGAAAGGGGGGTCGAGTGATACCTTATTTTAAAGGTCTTTCAATTCCCTTTATAATGATGTAAAATACATGAGCTTCACTAGTTTTGAAGATTTAATGATTTAAAGCTTAAAGTGGACTTTAATAGATACATCCGATTAGTTTGTACTACTTTCAAAAGAAATTTGACTAAAAGAATTTACTTAATAAGTAAATGCTTTTCTTCACTACGCTCATGGTTTGTTCATCATTTTGTTGTTGAAAATAGCTATTGGAGCGTTTTTTTGAGGCAAAAAAGTTATCTCTTGAAGAAAGATAAGGAAATATCTCGTACTTATTTTAAATAGGAATTTAGTACATAGTTTGCGATTGATTTGACCAAACTTTTTTGCTAAAATAACTTGTAACGCTTTATTACATAAATTAACCATGGTATATTCCACAGCAGAAAGAGTTGAAATTATCGAAATATTTTTCGGAAATAATCAGTGCGCTAATAGAACAGCAGAAATATTTAATGAGCGACATGAGAACAGTAACGTCCATCGAAAATTGTTCTAGAACTTGTAGCTAAATTTGGGAAAACTGGGTCAGTCGCCAATAAAAAACGCAACATTGAAAATCCCATAAGGAACGAAGCAATAGAATTGGGGGTTTTAGGGCAAGTTTATGTAGATCCTACGTTAAGTACTCGCAAACTGGAGACTGAGTGTGGTGTTAGTCGACGTACTGTTCAACGGATTCTAAAGGCCCATAGTTTTCATCCGTATAAAATTCACCTGGTAGAAGAACTTAATGAAGACGATTTTCATCGGCGATTACAATTTTGTGAAGATATGAGTGAACGTATTATAAACGATGAACATTTTCTATTCAACACTTGCTTTTCGACGAATGTTCCTTTTTCTTAAATGGCGTAGTAAATCGTCATAACTGCCGATATTGGTCCGATTCTACTCCCAGAATTTATCATGAGGTTCATACACAGCAGCCACAAAAATTAAATGTTTGGACTGGTATTTTTGGCGATCATTTAGTTGGTCCTTTTTTCTTACCTGGAAATTTGACCGGTGAAATGTATTTGGAATCACTGGAAGACGCCATAGATCCTGCATTAACAGCCATAATTGAAAACCAGAATGATCGGCGGTACATTGCGAATAGGTTGATGTTCCAACAGGATGGTGCCCCACCACATTACGCATTACGTGTTCGACAATATTTAGATCAGACGTTTCCAGATCGATGGATTGGTAGAAGAGGTGCCATTGAATGACCCCCAAGATCGCCAGATTTATCACCTTTGGATTTCTTTATGTGGGGTCATTCAAAAAGCAAAATCTATGCTACTCAGCCAACATCATTAGAAGACCTGCGACAAAGAATTGTGAATGAGTGCCTTCAAATTACTCCTCAAATATTGCAAAATGTGCGGCAACGTTTTAAGCAACATCTTTAATATTGCATGGAGTGTCATGGTGGCCATTTTCAACATTTACTTGCCTAACAGGTCAGTTCATTCTTCATTTTTAAATTACTTTGCTGCCAAATGTATTGATCTCCACTAATGATGATGTATTAGTTTTATTTAAGCTTTAAATCAATAAATCTTCAAAACTACTGAACTGAAGTACATTAATTGAAAGACCTTTAAAATAAGGTATCACTCGACCCCACTTTCCATTTAAGATTTTGGGGGTGGTGTCACCCCCGCTTAGGGGGCTGCACGTGATAACGTGATTTTTTGCCAAACTTGTATCCCCCTCGAAAACAAAATCGACGGGTCTGAGCGTTTTTCAAAAAAAAAACAGCTGCCAGTAAATGCGTCTGTTTCGTTTTCGATGCGCGACCCTGTATGTGGATCGCAAGTAAATTATTTGTAGCTCTTATACATGGTTTACAAATTAGGAAGTTTTGAGTTCACTCTGAAATATCTTTAAATTGTTGATTCTTTTGGTATAATCAGGGAGGGACGTGTAAATGTTCAGTCCATTATAAATTATTGAGTATTTAAGATTGTTGATTTAGGTACTACTAATTCACGATCTTGTTTTCGTCTAATAGCATAAGTTAATTTATCAAATTTAGATTTATTTTTAATAACAAGAGTTGATGTTTCGAAAATGAACAATGATCCGACAGTTATTATTTTGAGATTTAAAATAAAGGCTTACATGTAGCTGTAGGGTGGCTTTTAGTTATATATCTAATATTATATATTATATTTTGGGAACAGACACACCAAAAGGGAATGCTATATCTCAGTCTACTTTCAAACAAGGCAGAGCCTCAGGCTGTGCTTTTCCCTATGTTCTAATTAATTGTTCTTATAATAAAGGAAATCTTTGCTATTGAGTAAGCAATTGGTGTACATGATTAGTAAAATTTAATTTATGATCAAACATTTGATGGTTTTTGTTTCATCATTATTCAAATTTATAAAATCCTACTAACATTTACAATCATGTAATTGTTATCACAGTGATTGATCACTGTCAATTTTTGGCCGAATTTCATTTTTATTTGTGCCGACGTTTCTTCATACTTACTATAAATATCAGACCGATTGAATCGCTGTTTTCAGAACACTTTGCTTATTGATTAATTTCATATTTTATTTGCGACTAAATACCTAACAAGTTGCTTGCAATTGAACAACAAAAGTTGCGACTAATTATAGGTGGCTGTGGCAGTTGCTAAGCGCCCAGAAGATGACAAGAATGATCCGCATGCAGTTACGATAAACTCAGCGGTGACACAAGTCACGCAAGAACTCAAAACCATACTGAAAAAAGACTTCAACAAGAAGATGATTGAAATGACTGCTTTCGGTAAATTTGAGGCATGGTAAGTGTATCCAGCGCTAGAACTAAAAAAAAATTAATAAAATAGTCAGGTGAATTGTAAACTACAAAATATCCAGAAAACTGGCTTGACTGATTTTTGGTATGAGCGTGTGTAATTATAGTTATAAGTCGAAAATTCGTAAATCGGCGTTTTAGTGGACGCTATCAGGACACCTGTATCTACCATCATTACGGGTATTTTTTATGGATAAAATACAATTCTAAAAAAATTAAGCGAGCAAGAAAAAATCATTTTAAAGCTTTAAGATTTTTTAACTGAAAAATCATACGAATCAGACAGCAGGTTTTTCCAGCTCGAATACCCTGTTTTTAAAATCTCGATGCGATCATTTGGCTCGGAAATATCTGAATTTGAATGGAAAAGGACCCGTTGGTCATCGACCCCTGATATCTCAATAACTAGCGATTGCACATAGAATGTAAAGGTGTTTCTGAAAACTCTTATGTATGCCAAGATTTAATTGTAATCGTTGAGGATTTTTTTTGTTTTCTTAGCATTGATTTTAAAGACGTCAAAAAAGTTACTTTTCACATTGTTTTGGAAAATCGACCGCAGTTTTGGAAGTGCTAATGAGAAGGCTAATGTTTTTTGGTTTTTTATACCTCAATGTAACCCTAATAACCCCGTACGACGGCACATAAATCCATTGTACGGTTTCTGCTGACCGATTGGTACCAATATTTGAAAGAAATCAAAGGAGCAACATTTTTGTATCAAAACATCCTGTAATCTGGTTGAACATGGAAAAATCAGTTTTCTTCTTTTGTTGTCACTATTGGATGTCTGCAAAACCTTCAGTTTAAAATAAAGCAACTGGAAATATTTTATTTTTCATTCATGGAGTATTCCAAAATACAAAAACTCTGACCTAAACCCGCCTTTGCGTCCCCTAAAAAAATATTTCCTAAATCCGTCACTGGCCAGTATTTTTATTTTTTGGCATATTCCATGAATAGAAGAATTAAATTTTTCCAGTTGCTCTTAATATATACTAAGTGACATATAAATCCGAACACCCAGTTTAAATGGTTTTATTTTAATAAAATTTTGTATAAGTACTTAATGAAGCATAATAAGTAAATGATAAAAATTTCAAAATGATTGCACTGCTTTAAAGCCCTTTGACCTTTAATAATGTGTGGATGCACCCTGATGTGCTACGCATTCTCCAACGCGTCTAGGCATGCCTCTGATCAGGTGGTCAATGTCCTCCTGTGGTATCTCATTCCAGGCAATCACCAACTCCTCTCGAAGTGCTTCTAGAGTCTGAGGAGGACGTTGCAAATTGAGCAATCTCCTACCCATCATATCCCACATGTGCTCAGTTGGGGATAAGTCGGGAGATCTTGGTGACATCATTATGTTGAAAGAAGTCTATTGTGACTCTTGCAACATGTGGTCGGGCATTATCTTGTTGGAAAGTTGGATCTCCCAGGGAGTCAAGATAGGGTAAAAGATGGGGTTCTAGAACTTCGTGGATATAACGCTGCGCATTCATGTTACCTCTGATGAAGATTAAAGGTGACTTGGAACCATAAGCTATAGCACCCCAAACCATAACTCCAACAGTGTGATGAACATGTCTTTCAACAAAAAACTGTGGATTCCTCCTTTCACCACGTCGCCTTCTAACCCTGGCACGACCATCGTGCATGCCTAAACAAAATCGAGACTCGTCACTAAAGACAATACTGTTCCATTCCTGATCCCAGAGTGACCGTTGTCTGCACCACTCAAGGCGATTACGTCGGTGTTCTCGAGTTAAAGGGAGGACCCAGTGTGGCCGGTATGAAAACAAGCCAAAACTTCTCATTCGTCGGTAAACACTTCGCATGCCAATAGGTCTTCCGTGTTCTGCAAACCATTCATTTGCAATGGACCTGGTAGTGGAGAAACGGTCCCTTAAGGCCAATAATCTTAGGCGGCGATCTTCACGGTATGTTGTTCTACGGCGGCGTCCAGTGCCCCTTGCTCTTTGCGTACGGCCTTCTCGAAGCCATGCCTGACAACACCTAAACACAGTGTCTACACTTCTTTGCACTCTAACTGCAATTGCCCGAAAAGAAAGTCCAGCTTCCCGAAGTCCCACTATACGGCCCCTATCAAACTCACTAGGTTGACGAAATCGTACAGGTCTCCGTACGCTAGGCATCGTAACCGATCGTAAAGGATGTCAAGAACCAAAATTCGCCAACGTTGATTCTTTACTGCGGCTGAAATATTCATTTTTAGAGCTGAACATTTTTTCACTTGTTATTTACAGTAAGATAAATACATTCACCAACATTTATTAAAATAAAACCATTTAAACTGGGTGTTCGGATTTATATGTCACTTCCATTTAATGACCAAAAAGTATAACATATGCTACAAATCTGTATTCCATCAAGGGTTGATTGAATATAATAAATTATACTCGGAGATAAAAGACCAGAAAACTTTGTCAAAATTTAAAGTAAAATTGAGAAATCACTTGTTAAATCTACAATTATAGGTTGCCCAGCATTTACATCATACATCATATGGATTGAATTTACTAGTTCTAAGTTGTTTACAATTGTTCTGTTTATGTAGCCAAATGTGCTAAATAAATCTTTCTACTACTACTACTACTACTACTAGTATATTTTGCGCTATCTGTTAGAATTGCCTGAACACCGTTGCTCCTAAAATTTTTTGGCTGAAAAATCTGAAAACTAGAATCTTTAAGCTTCAGATAGGACCATTTTTCACCGAGTAAAGATTGGCGAAAAATATGAATTTTTTTCTTGCTCCCTTAATTTGTCCGAGTAGTGTACATAACATGTTTTCTTAATTCAGCTGTATTTTATTTAGGTTAATATCCTTGTAAATGGCTACGAGTTTGCAAATAAATTTTTAGGTGGGAAGAAGAGAGCACCAAGGGAAGCAAACCAAAAGACAAAGAAGAACAGGAAAAACCTGTGATATCGAAAGATAACATCAATATCCTGCTGGAATCGAATAGGGAGAGCTTGTATAGTAGTCTTAACACAGAGCCGATAGGGTTAGGTCTAGGTCTACGAGCTGCTTTACCCAAAATGCCCAGTTTCCGGAGGAAAAAGCTGCCGTCTCCTGTGCCTGAGGATGAGGTGAAAATAATATACTTTATATTTTGCTTGAATAATTTATTTGGAATAATGTCTTGATGATTTTATAATTTGGGGTCGATTTTTTAAATATGTTTAAAACCAATTGATTTACACTGTCAAAAGCTTTGTAAAAATTGCAAGAACCTACCGAAATTTGCTTAACGTTTAAATTTGAGTATAAATATTTTTTGTTTTTGAAATCCAAATTGATTGTCACTTATAATTACTGCTTGTTTGTTAGTGCTTTATTGTTTTTGATTTTATACAGGGTGTCCCAGAAGTCGACGTCAAGCCGAAACCGGGTGATAGGCAAAGTCATAACAGCTATCAGAAAAATATTTAAAAAAATTTTATACATGTGTTTTGAAAATTATAGGTCTTTGAAAAAGATATAGAAATTTCACACCCTACGGCAGTGTGTCAACTCCTGTTACTACAAATATTAACTTTTTTTGGATTTTATTTTTACAATGTAATGATGAATAATGCATCTTCAAACTGGTGTCTCAAGCTTACTGCCAACTTTTCTCGTTCAGGAAAAATTGACACTTGTTTCCCAACCAAGTATTCCAAAGTAAAACTTTGCTCAACTTTAACTGGATGTACTGGAAAAAAATGTACTACGAGAGTTTGGCAAGTAACCTTAAAAGTTGGTGCATTTAATAAGGATTCCAAAATGGTATAACACTTAGAAGATTACTCGTTAACTTATGCACAATTTTTATTTGAAGAAAAACTGATGAAAATTTTTCAAAATTTCCTAATTAAACAGCGATTATGAAAACGCAAAGGACCCTTAAGGATAACTGTTTGCACAACAGTGGGCGTCAAAATGCTGCTGATGATGATTTACCTTTACAGCAAATGCTCAAACTGGTTTCCTTCAGCCGCAATACACGCTCGACATCTTCTTAAAAAAGATCGGGTTATTAAACGAGCGAATCCACGGTTATTAACAAACTCAGCTGCTTCCAATAGTCTTTGCCGTAGCCCAGCTACATTTTGAATCGGCTTGAAATACACTTTTTCTTTTACAGTTCCCCAGTAAAAAAAATCTAAAGGATTCAAATCAGGTGATCGGGCTGGCCACGGTATTGTACCAGACCGCCTTATCCATCTGCCTGGAAAGTTTTGATCGAGATACTCTCTCACTGAGAGTGCATAGTGCGCTGGGCAGCCATCATGCTGAAACCACATGTCCCTGTAAATACTCACTGGCACGTCCTCCAATAAATTTTCTAAATGATTTTGCAAAAAACCTAAATAAATCTCAGCAGTCAAAGTCTCTGGGGACTCGAACGGACCGATTATTTTACCATTTAAAATTCCTGTCCAATGGTTTATCTTGAAGCGATATTGAGATTTATCTTCTCTCATCAAATGTGGGTTTGCTACGTGCCACTCGTGTAAGTTATGCAGGTTCATGTACCCATCTTTCTTAAATATTATTTTAAATATTTTTCTGATAGCTGTTATGACTTTGCCTATCACCCGGTTTCGGCTTGACGTCGACTTCTGGGACACCCTGTATAATAAAATCAAGTTAGTCCCTTCTATAATATTCTGTATTATTAAAAAAATAATTTTTGTCTCTTGAACATCATTGGTGGCTTTTTCATTTACTTTGTTACTCAGGACGATACGCAGAAAGGCTCTGACAACGAAGAAATCATCCACCATTCAGACTCCGAGTCGACGCAACGCGAACCACCTCTAGAACGCGAACGCAAACTGTCAACGAGCAGCACGAGCAGCTCGTCGTCGAGCTCGTTCAGCTCGGACAGCGAGAGCGAGAGTTCGGACGAGAGCAGTTCCGAGTCGGAGACGGAAACGGAAACGAAGACGGTGGAAAGGGAGAAGAGCAGGAGTCCGAAGCCGCAGCAGGTGGAGCCGGCGGTGGGGTCACCTCCGCCGTCGGTGGAGATGAATGAAGAGAGCGTTTCGCCGATGAGGGATGGGATCGAGGCCAGAAACAAGACGCCGGAGCCGATGCAGGTGAGGTGTCGTCTTGGTACTTTGCAACCATTCTGGAAACTCCTTTTTCGATTCTTGGTTATACAGGGTGTTTGGTGCATCGTTTGCCAAATTGAAATGGTGGACAGAGGAGGTCTTTTTCTATCACCCCAGGTTCCTCAAACATCCTTTAGCCTAACGGAATTAATTATGTAGATTTTTTAATTTTTTTTTAGCAAAAACTCCAAAATGTAATACACAAAGTGAAAAAAAAAATAAAGAGTATGTCCACCTAATGATTAATTTATCTCAATGGGTGATGTTGTACCAATCTTACAAAATCAACATTACTTGCCAGCAGCATGTAGTTTTTTATTTATAAACTCACAAAGGGTTACAAAGAAGAACAAAAAAATGTAAGTCTGAATTTTGAATTTCTGTAAAAAAAAAGCGTTCACGCTCTTAGAATTCTTTTAAAAACTACTCTAGTTTATCCCGATTCTAACGGTATGCCACAAGTCACAAAAAAGTTTAACTAACTTATTGAATTTGCAAATTTTGTGTACAGGGGAAGGAAAATAAAAAAACGTGTAAAATCAAATTTCAGTCATTTATTTTTTCTGTTTCACATATCTTGTTGTCCTCTATTGCGTATGCACGCACGACACCTTTGTCTTATCTCGACACTTGTCGTACGTAGGTGAATTTCTTGCCGAATCGTACCAAACGCCTCTTCTATTCTTCGGATCAACTCCACCCTTGTTCCAACTTCTGTCGCGTAGACGAGTGCCTTTGCACGCCTCTAGATGTAAAAATCCAATGGAGTTAGGTCTGGGGAGCGTGCAGGCCATGGAATAGGACCATCTCGTCCAATCCACGCATTCGGAAAAACATCATTTAGATGCTCCCGCACAATTAGCCTCCAGTGTGCGGGACAGCCATCATGTTGGAACACAATTCGTCTGTCGCCATTGAAAATTGGCGCCTCATTCACCAATTCGGGCAACTTATTTTGCAGAAATTGTAGATAACACTGGACAACAAATTTTAGTTTTTTCTTGTGGGAAAAGTGCACTTCTTTGTTAATTTTGGGGCGCTGAATCCAAAAATGACAATTAAATAAAAAAATTAGTTGCGGTTTAGAAAAAAACTTTTTATTTTTAAGGATATATTAAAAAAAGTAACAAGATTCATATACTTATAAGAATCACTATATGCGCTGTCTTTTTGCTGTTCTTTTATGGATTGTTTCTGGAGCATCTCTACCAAGAGTCCAACAGTAGTCTGCCAGCATGGAAGGATTCCACTTTCCCTGGTACCTTTTTTCCGTTGTTGAAATATCCTGATGAAAACGTTCGCCGTGATCATCACTTACGGCTCCGCAATTGTCAGGAAAAAAGTTCAGGTGTGAGTGTAGGAAATGTATCTTAAGAGACATATTACAGCCCATCTTTTGATACGATGACAGCATATTTTTGACAAGGGTTTTATAGTTGTCAGCTTTTCTATTTCCCAAGAAATTAGTGACCACCAGACGGAAATCATTCCAAGCAGTTTTTTCAATACCTGTTAAAGTGTTTTCAAACTGTGTATCTTTCAAAATATTTCGAATCTGTGGCCCAACAAAAATACCTTCTTTAACCTTTGCCTCACTTAGTCTTGGAAATTTCTGACGCAGGTATTGAAAAGCTGACCCATCTCTATCTAATGCCTTGACAAAGTTTTTCATTAGGCCCAACTTGATATGCAGTGGTGGTAATAAATTTTGTTTCGAATCTACTAAAAAATATAACGCATCATGAAAAATTTGAAAGAACGCGAATACAAAATTCAATTTATCTGGCACCAACTGATCCGCTTGAAGTAAATAATATTATTTGCCAACTAAAGCTAAATAAATCGCCAGGCCTTGACGGTATAACATCATACACGCTCAAACAAATCAGTAACAACATTTTAAGTGTCTTATCGTACCTCATCAATACTTGCATAGACAAAGCTATATTCCCTGATGCACTAAAAACAGCACTAGTAAAGCCACTACACAAATCTGGAGAAAAGACACAAATTTCCAATTATAGACCAATCTCACTACTAAGCATTTTCTCAAAGATTTTTGAAAAAGTTTTGAAGGCCCGTTTTACTAATTTTATTGCTAAATATAGACTTCTATCTAAGCAGCAATATGGTTTCCAAGAAGGAAAATCCACACAAGATGCAATTGCAGTTTTGATGGAAAACGTGTATACCAGTCTAGACTTAGGAAACCCATCGGCCTGTGTCTTTATAGATTTAAAGAAGGCATTTGATACAGTTGAACACAAAGATTTACTAACTACTTTGGAGAATCTAGGATTTCGTGGCAAAACACATACTTTACTCAAAAGCTACCTTTCAGATAGGAATCAATGTGTAAAAGTTAATAATTCCATCAGCGACTTGCATCATGTAACATACGGTATCCCACAAGGTACAGTCTTAGGACCTATCCTGTTCAACCTATATGTAAATGATCTTTTTAACCTACACACACACGGTAAAATTATCGGGTTCGCAGATGATACGGCTGTTTTTTATAGCGAAAAATCTTGGGATATCTTAAAGACTCTCATTGAAGAGGATTTCAGAGTCATTATAAGCTTCTTCAATAATAAAATATTAACAATCAATTATCAAAAAACTTTATATCTGACTTTTTCATGTGATTATAGGAACAGTCCGACATTCACTAACATACACATCAAATTACCACCCATAGATGAAGTAGTGGTCCTAAAGCCAGCAAATCATATAAAATACCTAGGAATCATAATAGACAGCCACCTAAAATGGGACAAACAAATAGAAAGCTTAACGAAGAGATTAAGATGTCTTATACCAAAATTTAAATTTTTTAGGGAAATTCTTTCTGATAAAGACTTATGCACCATATACAAAACGTTAGTACAACCGTTGTTAACTTATGGAATTTTGGCATGGGGACCGGTGATGAATAAATACTACAGGAAACTAGAAATAACTCAGAAATGGATTCTTAAAATCATGTTCCGCAAAACTAACACCTATCCAACCGATATGATATATAAGGTATCCAAGATATGTGATTGTAGGCAACTCTATTTTGAGAGTGTGTTCACATATATTACAAAACATAAGCATTTATTAAATTTCCTCCCACATGACCATCACACCAGATCCAAAGATCATTCAGTACGCATACCAAAGCTTAAAAAGACCATAGGTCAGAGGAGTTTCACTTTCCTAGGACCAAAAATATATAACTTAATCCCCCCTCAGATAAAAGATATTAAAAATACAGAGGTTATGAAAAGGCATCTACGACTGTGGATTTTGGACCAGCACAGACTCAAGATTCATCAAGCGATTGATATCAAAAATATCTACTACTACTGAAAGCGGAAATCTCTAGATATTTGAAAGTTCAAAATGAAAAAAAAAATGTATAAATCAAACTGATTTGAATTCTTACCTCCTGAATTATTGCATTTTATGACTTATTTTTGTTCTTGTCTATTCACCTAATATTGCCCTTTGTTTCAATGTTGTCTCTATCCCGATTGCATCTACGTCCCGATTTTGCGTCTCCGTCCCGATTGTGTCTTTTTAAAAATTTTACCAGGACTTGTCTAATGAATTTTATATACATATATTTTTTATGTTTTTTTTTTTAGTCTTAAGTTATTTATACATGAGCTCATGCCCAAGCACAAGTTTCTGCGAAACTTTTTTGGGTCCATTCGTTTATTGTATAATATTGTCTTTCATCTACTACTGCTATACTTTTTCTTTTGCAATAAACTTTATTATTATTATTATTATTATTATTAATGGCATATGCTGTACATTTTTTTGACCTGGCTCTAGGAATTGACGAACAGGCCAGTTTTGTCTGGTGTAATGAAGTCCTTTGTCCGACTGTCCCATTCACACAAAAAACAGCAAAACTTTGTGTAGCCTAGCTGCAGCCCAAGTAAAAGTGCAACAACTTTTAAATCGCCACAATCGCCATTGGTGCTCATCGTATTTTATGCATGTCAATAGGTACTTCATATTGTCATATGATTCTTTCATGTGAACTGCATACCCTACAGGAAGAGATGGTAAAATATTTCCAATATGCAATAATACTGCCTTTAAACTCAATGTTGAACTGTCTATAAACAATCTCCATTCTTCTGGGTTATAGTTTATATTTAAAGCCGCCAGTAAGCCGTTAATGTTACTGCAGAAAACCAAGTTATTCTCCATATTGAAAAATGGTTCTAAGTCTTTGTGGCGTTTACGAAAAACTGCCTTACATTTTGGAAGTTCTAAATCTCTTACAAGATCATTTAATTCTGACTGTGTTATTTTGTGCGGTTGGTGGCATGACGTGCTCGGTATAAAATCAGGATCTCTTGACGTTGATGGCATATCTTCTTCCTGACGAATCACTCGATCGCCATGATCTGATTCGTTTTCTGATTCGCAAGTGTAGCATTCTGGGGGTTTTGGAATAGGATTTTCGTCACTGTGAGGCACAGGTCTCATCGCAGATGGTATGTTTGGGTAGTTAATAACCGATTTTTTTTTCTTGGACATACCTGTGGCTTGTCCAACACAAGGTACCATGCAAAAGTAACAATCATTAATATGATTTGTAGGCTCTCTCCAAACCATTGGGACAGCAAAGCGCATAGACCGTTTTTTGCCATTTAACCAGCTCCTCAGACTTGAAGCACATGTATTACAGCAGATGTGGGGTGCCCACTGTTTGTCTTGATCACCTAGTTTACAACCGAAATAAAGCTGATATGCCTTTGTTATTAGTGGAGTAATAGACCGTCTCTGAGACGCAAAAGTCACATCACCACACACGTAACAAAACTGATCTGGATTGTTTACACACTTTCGAGACATCCTGCATGAACGCTGTCAGCCAACTGAGGAAAAAATGGCTAATATAAAACAATATAATGTACACGTATGTCTAACGTAACACAATCATGCCGATTACATCATCTTTCCTTGCCGAATATAAAAATGTAGCACGTGCATTCTTGTGAATTACAGTATATTAACACTGTCACAGCAGGAACACATATAATTACCGTATCTCTAAAGCTTGAACTAATATTGAAAAAATAAGTTTCATTCCGGTTTTAGCACATTAAAAATAGTAATATTTTGTTGATTTTATTTAGGATATTTTTTGGCTGTTGATCAGTGTAATTATCTCCGTTAAGACGATCTGGCAAATAATGTGGCCCAATCACATGATTGCCAATTACTTCTGCCCAAACATTCACACTGAATCTTCTCTAAAAAGAGCTTGGCCTCTTCACTCTCTGTACAGGAGTGTAGTGGAGGGCATGTTTATTATTCTGGCGAAGTAAAGTAAAAAAATACTTCCCAGTGATGGAACTACATTTCGGATGTTTTGAGTAGGATCTTCCTCGACAAGTGCCAAAATCCTCTCAATGATGTCAACATTGTGTCGCACTACGACACCTCGTGGTACATTATTGCTCACAGTGCCGGTTTCTCGTAAGCGTCGTTAGGTGTTTTGGAATGAGTGGCGAGTAGGTACACGCCTGTTATGTTAGGATAGCGCTCTTCGTAGATTCTTTGCACTGCTCGTGCAACACAGTTGGCTTGTCCGTACACCAACAACATGTCTGCATACTCTTCATTTGTAAATGCAGCCATCATCAGAACAAAACTCAACGAAAACTGACAAAACAACAACAGTCACAGGTCGCGGCACTACGTAGGAGCAACAAAAGCGTTAGGCAGCCAGCAGGGACGAACCTCGAAAGATGGACCCACGTCGTCCCTGTCGGTTAGCCGCTCAACTAGTAAAAGAGACAGACAGATGATACTGCTCCGCTGTGTACGAGGGATACAAAACTTTTTACCTGAGTTACGTTGTACGTGTAAATTACACAACAGAAACAAAAATTCATTGTTATTATCCGACCACAAAATTTGCAAATTCAAGAAATTATTTCAACTTTTTTGTGACTGGTGGCATACCGTTAGAATCGGGATAAACTAGAGTAGTTTTTAAAAGAATTCTAAGAACGTGAACGCTTTTAGTTTTTTTTACAAAAATTCAAAATTGAGACTTACATTTTTTTGTTCTTCTTTGTAACCCTTTGTGAGTTTATAAATAAAAAACTACACGCTGCTGGCAAGTAATGTTGATTTTGTAAGATTGGTACATCACCCATTAAGATAAATTAATGATTAGGTGGACATACTTTTTATGTTTTTTTTATTTCACTTTGTGTATTACATTTTGGAGTTTTTACTAAAAAAAATTAAAAAATCTACATAATTAATGCAATTGGGCTAAAAACTGTTTGAGGGACCTGAGGTGATAGAAAAAGACTTCCCCTGTCCGCCATTTCAATTTGGCAAACGTTGCATCAAACACCCTGTAGGATTGTGAATATTTCTCTGTTTTACCCCTGAACTCATCTCACATTTTAATTAAATATATTTATTTTGAAAACAGACAGGTTTCGGTTTTTTTATTGCTTGTCCGGTGTGCTTTCGTAATCATAGGCAACCCAAATCTACGCCTCTGTGTGCGTATGCATATGTAGCCTGTATACCTCGTGTAAATCAGCTTAAATAACTGTTGAATATTTTAATTAATTACACTGGTCAACACTGGTTTTGCCACACGAACTTTGACAGCTAATTTTGTTTTATCAGTCTACCCTCATTATTACATGACGGCTGTCATATGTCTATTAGCCTCATATTTGTTGTGATACGGTAATACTCATAACTAGTACTACGGCAGTAAATTAACAGAATCGCTTACAAGTAAATCCTTATAAAAATATTTGTTGTTGAATTTGAACACTTTTTTGTGATTTATTAACCATGTGAATATGTCGAGGAAGTGTAATAATGATCCTAACTCTTTTTGTTATGTCTGCGGAGAACTAACATTAAAAAAACAACGACGAAATTTTACGAATCTTGTGTTGGAGTGTTATCACCAATGTTTTGGTTTTTCTGTCGCCCATCAAGACAAATCCTGGGCCCCTCATGTCTGTTGCATAACGTGTGTGAAAAATTTAACTGACCGGAAGAAAGGTGCACGACCTATGCCGTTTGCTGTACCCATGATATGGACTGAACAGCGAGATCACGTTTCAGATTGCTATTTTTGTCTCACAGACATAAAAGGTATAAATTACAAGAAAAAAACCACAGTTATTTACCCTAACTTATCTTCAGCTATAAGACCAGTCTCTCATTGTAAAAAATTGAAAGAACTAATACCAGTTGCAACTACTTCTGTTGAGAACAATTCACAACCGTCCACTTCAGGTGAATGTGTTGACGAGGACGATGACTTTGAGTTAAAAGGAATTGTAAACCAGCCACATTTGATAACTCCAGGAGACCTAAATGATTTGGTTCGGGATTTAAATTTGTCAAAAAAGCAGTCAGAACTATTAGGATCACGTCTAAAAGAATAGAATTTGCTACATCATAATACAAAAGTTAGCTATTTTCGAAACCGTGATCAACACTTCAGAACGTATTTTTTCTCAGGATGGAGATTTGGTGTTTTGCAATAACATAAATGAGATTATGAAAATGTTGGACATAGATTTTGATCTCTCTCAGTGGCGTTTATTCATTGATTCTTCGAAAGCAAGTCTAAAAGCAGTGTTATTGCATAATGGAAATAAGCTTCCGTCTGTACCTCTGGCCCATGCTGCAAATATGAAAGAAACCTATGAAAATATGAAACTTTTACTTGAAAAAATAAATTACAGTACATATTCCTTCAAAATTTGCGGCGATCTTAAAGTTGTTGCACTATTACTTGGACTTCAGCTGGGTTATACAAAGTTTTGCTGCTTTTTATGTGAATGGGATAGCCGAGACAGAACTAATCACTATATAAAAAAAACCTGGCCTACGCGTGCATCGTTAGTTCCTGGGCAAAAAAACGTAAAGTATTTACCCCTTGTACAGCCAAATAATGTGCTTCTACCACCATTGCATATCAAATTAGGATTAATAAAAAATTTTGTGAAGGCAATGGATCGCAATGGGAGTGGATTTTTGTATCTAAAAGAAAAATTCCCTAAAATAAGTGATGCAAAGATAAAAGAGGGTATTTTTGTTGGCCCTCAGATTAGGGAGTTAATAAAAGATACAAGAATTTAAGAAAAATTAAGCGATTTAGAAACATCTGCATGGAAGGCTTTTAAAAATGTTGTTTCAAATTTTTTGGGTAACCACAAGAGTGACAGCTACAGAGAGTTGGTTAGCGAGCTATTATTGTCATATCAAGCATTGGGTTGCAACATGTCACTTAAGGTCCATTTTTTAGACTCGCACCTGGATTTTTTTCCTGACAATTTAGGGGCTGTCAGCGACGAGCACGGTGAGAGGTTCCATCAGGACATTTCTAATATGGAAAAGCGGTACCAGGGCAAATGGAGCCCAAATATGTTAGCAGATTACTGCTGAACAATTAAAAGGGACCAACCAGAAGCTAAATATTCAAGAAAATCTTAGATTATTAAGTCATTTATAAAAAAAAATAACTTTTGATTTACGAGATCGTGTGTTTTTTCTTAATATTTTAAATTACTCAATAGAATAAAATCCTTGTCTAGCAAATTTTTTTAACTGTTTATTTTTTCTTACAATCACCAATTAAGGTAAAAAATATCAAAAAAGTCCGTGTGGCACGACAAAGTTAAAATTTTGTTGACCAGTGTTATTATTTTTTTAGATCGACTCCGACGACTTGGCACCCGCCGCGCACCAACAAGTCTCCGAACCGGCTAGGAAACCTCTGTTGGACATGTGTGACAGTGATAGTGACTTGAGTGACACGGAACGTTTGATCCTGGAACGACGGCGGCTGAACACCGAGTACATGGAACAGATCGAGAAAGAACGGCAGGAAGAGGAGCGTAGGCGCGTGATGGAGCTGACGGAGAAGAAGGAGGACGAGAGAGAAAGGAGGAGCGTGTCTTCTGAAAGGACGATATCCGTTAACGGAGATGAGGAGAATGACGAGAAGGATGTTATGAGCAAATCGCTGGAGGAGTTGGAGGCGGAAAGGGATGCGTTGCTACAACAGGTAATTATTATTATTATCGTTGGGTCATTTCAAGTTTTTCCTGGTACGAGGGATGTCTTTTAAGTTTTGCATATGGAAATAAAACAACACGGTAGGTAGTTTTAAATGACTTTATTGTTTTTCGAAGTATTCTCCGCGAAGATTAATACACATCTGCATGCGCTCGTACCAATCTTCGAAGCACTTATTCCACTCGTTTGCTGGCAGATCCAAAACGGCATTTTTGAATGCGTCAACTGCTTCTTCTGGTGACTGGAACCTTTGACCACGCAGTCTGTTTTTAATTTTCGGGAAAGGAAAGAAATCGTTAGGACTTAGATCGGGACTATATGGAGGATGGTCCAATAATTCCACGTTTTCTTCCGTTAGATACTGCCTTGTTTTTTGGGCTGTGTGCGAGCTTGCATTGTCTTGGTGGAGGATGATTCTTCTTTCGGCGTTGATTTTTCGAAGCTCGGTGATGACTTTTGGCAAACAAATGGTGGTGTACCAATCCACAGTAACAGTTCTTTGCTCATTAAGAGGAATTGTTGCAACACAAATGTCGCGACCATCTTTTTCGAAACACTTCGAGAACGGATGGCTATTGTTAGCTTTTCTTCACCTTGGAACACCCAAACAGCTGACTCGTTTATTTTCTGGTTCATAACAGTAAATCCACGATTCATCACCACTAACAATGCTGTACACATTTTTTGAGTTTTCGGAAATGAAACGGTCAAGCGTTTTTTGACACCAATTAACCCTGGCTGCTTTCTGTTCTTCAGTCAACAGGTGGGGTATCCAACGAGAAACTAATTTTCTTACTACTAATTCTTCATGTATTTTTTTAAATTGACGTCTTTGAGATCTTCAAGGACGCCTCACTCTCGCGATATGTCACATGTCTTTCTTCAATGATGAGTTTGCGCACAGCATTGACGTTTTCCTGGGTGGCTGCCGTTTTTGGTGCACCCACCCTGGGATCGTCGCTAAGACTCACCCGTCCACGTTTGAATTCTCCATACCAACGGGAAATTGTCGACTGATGTGGCGCTTCGTTGCCGAAAATAGACAGTAACTCAGCAAGGCATTCTTGTCGCGATAATTGTCTCTGAAAGTTGTAATAAATTATGGCGCGAAAATGTTCTCGGTTGAGTTCCATTTTTCTAATGACTTGATGACACTTCACTGTAGTGAGAACACTGCACGTATTGTTGTGAAACTTTGAATTTAAGTTTACTAAATAGTGAGGTTAAGATTCAGTACTGACGTTCGATCCGCGCGGCCTACTATGTTTCTATTAAGGTTCGTCTATTCTTGTGGTGTAATATAGCTGCTTTTTGTAGTAATAGTCTAATAATTATAAAGTCTGAATTTACTGATGCCAGTTACACCAATTTTTGTGGGAAAACAAAGAATGAGAAAACCCGTTTTTTGGAATTCAATCGACAGTGTTGTCAGGAAAGAAAAAACTTTCCAAATAAAATTTTTAGGAAGTTCTTTGACCTACAGAATGAGACCACACGTAAAAATATACTGCTAATAGTAAAAATGTTATGGCCGAAAACCGAGGCAAAATGCAGGTTTTGGCACTTGTTACTGATGCTAGGATAATTGTAAAAATTGTAGTCGATTGGTCAAGTAGTTTTTGAGAATTCATAATTGCTTATCCCAAAACACCTGTCTTTCGGCCATCACTACTAGTTTACTGAGCAATATACAGTGATCGTTCATAGGGCATTTTATAGCAAAATACACGAATTTACCTTGCCGACGTGAATCACAAACCATTCGGAAAGATAAATGTTATTTTTATGCGTTTTTTTCTTCTAAACAAATTCAAACATTTCGTATATGTGAGTAACTGAACAGATTCGGTACGATCTTCGAAAAACATACGTTATTCTCTCATACTCTCGTGTATACATATTTAGAGCTGAAAGCTGAAATTTTTACACAGTCACAGATGAGCCTTCAATTTTATAAAAAAAATATTCCATACTGAAATGCGCTGAACTGTTTATAAAGTTAGCATGCAAACTGAAGACAATATATTATGTTTCAAACTGTCTTAGATTAGTTAGTATGTCGCATGTGCTAAATGGCTGCATTATTGATGACTGCATGACCTTGTCAAATAAGTAGGTCACGTAATCCAGTTTCTTTACGAAGAAATATAATTCCCTAGACTTTTTTTTATAAAAGTATTAATAAAGTATACGTCCGTTTTCGAAATCTCGTTCGATTAGAACGACTGCGAGTTCAAAATGTTGGAAAATGAACTCGAAAAAACTAAAAAACAATAGACAAAATAAAAATTAGGCTAAATGCTCGATTAGTCATTATCAAGTACTGGAGAAATAAATGTATCTATTCGCCTTTCGCTATTGAAAGCCCATTTTGTAAAATAGGTGCGTAATCCTGAACCCCCTGGTGTGATGGACCTAGACGACCGCTTGGATAGAACTGATAGCGAATTACAAAAGTCCAAGCAGATGGATTCCGACGAGGAGAACTTGGAAGAGAGGAGGAAGAAAGCTAAGAAGATAGATATTAACGGAGATACAATATTGTCGAAGAAAATCATGGAGAGCGAGGGTGAGAGCAGTCCTTGTAGTCAGGTAAGAGTTTGTGATTAAGCTTGAATGAATTGGCATTGTAATACTAGGCGTTAATAACTTTTCGTGCAAGCGTGTCTATCTTTGAAAGTTTGTCTTACATTTCTCGAAAATGGATTTAAATTTGGATAAAATGGATGGAGGGAGAATTTTTGTATATGTTAATGTATGATAACATGAAAAAAAAACAAATTGATTCTATAGGGTGCGTCATCTATTACTTTTTTTCTATTTGAAAAATCAACACGCTTTTTACGAGGTGAAATCGAATTTTTTTTATTGATAAATGAAGGTTGGTTTATGCCATTTATGTATGAAAAATAACATCAGTCATGTGACCACCGCGGCTGCGTTTACAGGTCAACATCCGAACATCAAAATTTTCAAAGACTTTTCCCAGAATAATCAGGTCTATGGCCGCAATTTCAGTCCGAATATTGCGCTTTAGGTCTTGAATTGTCCGGGGACCATTCGCATACAGTTTTCCTTCCAAAAATCCCCAAAGGAAATAGTCAGGAGGTGTTAAATCGCACGATCTCTGAATTTCGTGAAATTATGCGGTCTTGAAATTCCGTGTGCAATAAGGCGATTGTTTGACGAGATGTGTGAGTAGTTGCTCCGTCTTGATGAAACCAAAGATCGTCGGCACCAATACGATCCAATTGTGGCCACAAAAAGTCTGTTAACATGCCGCGATAACGTTCCCCGTTGACGGTAATGGCCTTTTCTTCGGCATCTTCAAAGAAGAATGGTCCAACGATGCCACCAGTCCATAATCCGCACCAAACAGTCACTTGTTCAGGATGGAGAGGTTGTTCATGATATTGGTGTGGATTTTCAGCCCCCCAGAATCTGCAATTTTGCTTATTTACGTACCCGTTGGGGTGAAAATGAGCCTCATCAGAAAAGAGCACTTTGGCCGAAAATCCGTCTTCTCTTTCCAGCATCCAATTAACAAAAACACGCCGTTGTTGATGGTCTGCCGGCTTCAGTTCTTGTGTTAGTTGGATTTTGTATGGATGGAGGTGTAAATCAATGTGTAAAATCCGGCGTAAAGTGGTCTCACTAATTCCCAATTGTTGCGAACGGTGCCTAGTCGAGGTGGTTGGATCTTCACGCACACTTTCACTCACTGCGGCTATGTTTTCACGAGTACGAGCTGGACGAGCATGTTGGTATGGTCTACGACCTTCAGCTGAACCAGTTTCCTCAAAACGATTAACAATCCAACGAATTCCAGGCTCTGCAGGGCGTCCGTGTCGGCCAAAAGTAGTGCGAAGTTTGCGGAAAGTATTTTTTATATTTCGACCGTTTTCGTAATAAGTTTGGATAACCAAAATGCGTTGTTGTGTTGTAAACGAATCCACATGACTTACATGGTAACACATAAACTTATAGGTAAAAAAATTAATAGATGGCGCACCCAGTACTTGACAACTGTGTTTTGGAGCTTTTCGTTCGGATGCATAAAAGTTTTTTATCGTCATTAAAGAATAGTCGAGCTGACATATTTTTTAATTACATAACTTCATGAGACTTTACGAGTGGCTTTGAGAAAATAACACCTATATTTGGGTATTCTAGTAACAAAACAATTTTTCGCTAAACGTAGAATTCTGGACCCATATGACGTTTTATTTTTATATTTCCTCGCGCTCAATTTACCTTTGACTTTTCCTGACAATTCCCTGTACATTCAATTGTCCTGAATTTCACCAATCGCCTGAGATTTATTTATTTATTGGCATAGACATTCTACATTAATAAACTCCATAAGGAGATACATAGTGAAAAACCTGAAGAGAGGGGGGATTAATCCCTCTGTGCTCAGGAACCATGAAAATTATAAAGCGATTTATGGTTTCTTATTTTGCTTACAGGTTACCATAGAGCACTCGTATTGCATGCAGAGACCAGAAAAGGAGAATATCGAAGTGAACCGAGATCTGAGCGGCCCAGAAGTGATGAACCATCAGAATTACGTATCAGATGACCTGGGTAAACTTAAGAAGCCAGTTAAACAGCCGAAGCCTAGAAAGCCAAAAGAACATAAGAAACTCAAAGAACTGCAGAACACCATCAGATACGATAATCAATACGGAGTGCGGAATTTCGCGTATCCAGATCACAGCTCAGTTCGGCATAAAGTTCGGGATCAGATATCCGAGTTTGCCGTTCTGTATGAGTTTCTAACAAAAGGTAACGTTCCTCTGAATTTGTGATATTTTAGTACTTCTTTTGCGGTCCCATTGAAATAAGATATGCTGAATTTTCATTCATCAGTTTTTTTGCATAGATTTTTTGAGATTGAAGCTGTTTAACCGCACTTTTTTCGCTAGCACGTTTCAGTATTCCTGCATGAAAGAGCACTGAAACTTTCCGTATTTACCATTGAACGCTACAGCCAATAGAATTTAATTTTAGTTCCGGATGCTGATAGAATGTGAAAATACATTTTATGTCAAACTGTCAATGCCAGAGACGTAGGATCACGTTTTAAGTACGTGAGAAATTTTGTCACTATAAAATATTACGTAACAGCTTTTATGCGAGTTTAGTTTTTCTTCGACATTCAATTTTGAAATCACCTTGTATGACATATAGAACGGAGACTCAAATGATGATTCATTTGGAAATTTTTAGAAATCAGTGCAACTCGCTTATGATCGACTCGGCGGGACTGTGACAAATAGGCTATTATACGCGGATGACCATCTTAAAAGAAACACCTTTTTTTTTAATGAACAAACAGCAGAAACAACATATTAAAAGCTTAAAATGTGTTTGTTTAACTTGTATTACATAAATAAAGATACATACATACAAAAGTTATACGTAATTTTGACATTTGCATTTTTTTCAGAATCTGATACACATACTGTGTAGACGTATGTGTAAAAACCGTAAATTATTTGGTAAAAAAGCTAGTAATTTTCATTTGAACAAATTGTTTTTTTGTATAATTATTTAGAACAGCAAGTTGAATTTGGTAAGTGTGGCTGTACTGTCTTTTTGCTGAAAATAACCTTTTTCACGCAGTCTAATGCCTCCTTAGTTGTCCCTGGAAGCTCTTCTTAATCGTTGTTTTCTAGTTCGTCTTCCTGTTCGTTATCAACGGATCCTTAATTAACCAAATTGGAGTCTGACAATTCCTTTGCTGCTATTAAATTATTGTCAACATTTACATACTCATTAAATTTGTCTATATTCAGTAAACTATTAATTTTCAGTAAATCACTTGATGGGATTTCATCTTCTGGATTAAAATCGTTGACTATTTCAGTTATGTTTTCACTAAAACAACATGACAAAAGCAATTACGGAGTAACCAATTCCCATGCAGTAGTAAGCAATTTATAGCATCTAAAATGGTGACAGGTTTGGTAATCTTGTCATCTTCTTGAAGCTCCATAATTTTCATCAACGTATGTTTTCGATACATTTGGTTAAGACTCCAAATGACACCCTGGTCCGTTGATTGCAGAAGTGATGTCACATTGGGTGGAAAACATTGCAGGTTGATGTTATTAAGTGAAATATTTTTGGATGGGCGGGGCAGTTATCAACCAAGAGCAAAATTTTACGATTTTTCTTAACAAGTTCAGCATCCCACTTTATTAAATATTCTTCAAAAATTGATGAAGTCATCCAAGCCTTATTATTTCCAACATAATCGACGAGAATTGTTTTAGCATTTTTGAAACCCCTGGTTCAATTCATTGCAGCACTGCCATTGAATATCAAAAAAATTAGAACATGTATTTTTATTCATTCACTTACCTATTATCAATAGTTTCCGTTTTTCAGTACCAGAAGCATTAGCACAAGTCATAACAGTCATTCCCTTCATTGCAAGTTTCACCTTTTAATTTATGATTTTTATCTGGTAGCATTCTATAAAATATCCCGGTTTCATCTGCATTGAATATGTTATCATCTGAATAATCATTGGATATCACGGGCCAAAGTTGAGAAATCCGGTCATTGGTAACGTCAACTGAAGCTGACTCTCCACTCATTTTTCCAAAAACAATCTTATGTCTTTTCTTAAACCTGTCTAGCCAACCGGAACTACATTTGAAGTAATCTCCAATCAATTTCCAAAATTCTTCAGCCTTTATTTGTAGCATAGGTCTACTTATTGGAAAATTATTAGCGCGCTTTTGTTGAAACTATTTAAACAGCTTTTCATCTTTCTTGGGGATGCAGCGAGCAGGTTTTCGTGTAAAATGAATGCACATTTCGCACTTTTCGACATGTTTATAACTCTAATAAATACAGTATAACACTGGTGGCCAAGTTCGAATGCAAACTGCGAAGCGAAACCGCCGTAAACGATGACATCAGCTAATTCTGCTTCGGGAAACTACCAAAATAGCTCGCATAAAATAGTCGGCTATAAGCGACTGTCTATTTTAAGCGAGTCTAGAATATCCGTAGCGCCAATTCAAATGCTCCGCAAAATTTTATACCATCGATTATTTTTGATAGAACGTACCTGTTTTTTGTAACGGTATCATTATGCTGTTGTATATTTCTCCAATATGCTGAATCTAACTGAGCTCTGTTGTTAACAGTCCCCAATAAAGCCAATTCCATCGAATTATGAAGATGTGTTTTAGAGTTTTCATGCTTCTTAATTTTTTCACTCAGGTGCACTAAATCTGTAACACCTACCTCCGTCCAAGCTTTGTCACCGCCGAAAAGTATGCAAGGAAAGCAGAAAAGGACATTCTTCCTGTTGCACCCACAAATCCAGTCATTTCTGGTGTAAATCTCCCTGCTGAAATGCCGTGTCTAGCCCTTGCCCCGACTAATGCCCTGTGTTTCTATAAATATGTCCGGCAGCGGTCGACCTGACACCTTCAGCTCAATTTTTTCTTCAAATATGTGTTTTCAGAATCGTTTCACGCTGATAAGCCTGTAAACCACACATTGTCTTGAACTACCCTTCTAATACACAGCCACAGTCAGTGAGTGAGTCACTAGTCACTCAACGTAACAGCCAAAATACCTAAATAAATTCAAATTTTAAGCCACGTCACGCTACAAGATCAATATGCCAATGCCGAGGACCGAGCACCGACCGACCAATCAGATATCGTACTTCGCATTAGATCTGCACGGATCTGTATAAATTGCAGCACATGGTTATGCTTAAATCGCGCATTTGATTTTGTAGAGAGAGACAAAAGCAAACGCGTGCGGCTTGTGTCGAAGTAGTGCACAGACCCTTTTCAAGTGGCCGGACGAAAATGACAAGTACACAATTGGTCGATTCTAATGCTTTCTTAGTACAAAACAGACTCGACGCCGTGTCTTGCGGGGTAGGAAGGTATTGTTTCTATTTGTGTGATGACATGGAAAACAAATAACGATCAAATTACTACTGCTTGTTTCTGTTAAGACAAAAGTTTTGGCAGTACTGCAGCTCTGCAGAACTTAAGGGCCAGCCGCCCCCGCATTAAGATATTTTCCATTTTAAAAAATGCATGCTTGGCTCACCAAGTTATGAATCACCCTGAGCATACTGTTAGCTACAATTTTTGTTATTAACTGTTTACCTGTATATTTTTGTTGCAATCAGGTATCGACCTCGAGGATATCCAGTACATAAAGAAATCCTACGAAGAGATGCTTTCCACGGACTCGATGGGCTATTGGCTGAACGACACTCATTGGGTGGACCATTGCATCACGGATCTGTACTCGAGTCCGCCTAAAAGGCGGAAAAAGGACGAAAGACAGCATTCGACGGGCAGCGCTAGGACGGAAGGGTATTACAAGCTGTCTGCGCACGAAAAATCCCGTTACAAGTACCATCACGCCAAGTCGCACGCCATTTCCACTGCTAGTGTACCTGCAGCTACTAAACAAGGTATGTTTTTCGAGTGGTTGTTAACTTCTAATTCTGTAAGACTGTAAGTTGTTTTTTGTTTTCTTAATTACCTTTGTTTTCAATTTTAAAGAAAAGTCTTTTTACTATTATTATTTTTATGCTTCACAACGATTGAAGATAGGTATAAACTTTTTTATACAAAAGTTACCAACAACTTTATTTAAAACCTAAAAAGAAGGGTTTCCATTTAAAAATCAAAAGTGCAAAGCAATATCTTATTTTTGGAAACCCTGTATGTTGCGTTTCTAGAAAAAACTGCTCATTTTTCCAAGATGTGTACGTTGTGTAAAAGAAAGTCCCAACTTTGTGGACACTCTGTATGTGTTATTAGAAGTATTTACAGCTCTTCAAGTGTAGGAAAGAGAAATTATTATTATTGGTGAATCAATGTTTAGTACATGGTGAATTCCCATCAAAATTAAAGTGTTCCTGTGCCAAAAGTTCAAAATTCTCAGCTGTATACAAATATGCGACTGATTAATGTCTTGCCCGATGTCGAGAAGCTGTTCGAAGGGATAATATAAGAACAAATCAGAATTTATTGAAGAAACCGAAATTTTGATAAAAAAATCAAACTGGATTTAGAAAAAAAAGTTCCACAGAAACGGCAATCCAAATGGTGGTGGAAGACTGGAGAAGAAGTATAGATGAGAAAGAATATATTGTAACAATATTTTTAGACTTCAAAAGGGCGTCACTATGACTTTAAAGGATCAGTATTACACATTTTACAAAATTATTTAGTAAATAGAAGTTAAAAAACTAATGTTGGAAATATTATGTCAACTGTTCAAAATATATCAGTAGTGGTGCCACAGGGGAGTAAATTAGCGCCGTTACTATTTATTATTTATATAAATGATATCTCAGACATGTTAGAACACTGCAAAATTCAAATATTTGCGGACGATACACTTATATATATATATATATATATATATATATATATATATATATATATAGCACATAAGCATTTGGACACTGCTTTAGAACTGTTAAATAGTATTCAAAAATTATGAATTGGTTGAATGTCAATAAACTTAAATTAAACACTCATAAAACAAAATGTATGTCAACAGGAAAACATTTAGTTGACAATACAATTAGGCTCATGATTAACGATGAAAAAATTGAAGTAATCGAGTCATTTAAATATCTTGGTATATATGTAGATAGTAAGCTACTGTTTCACGAACATTATGAATACATTATTCAAAAAATATCGAAAATGATAAATTACTTCTACAGAGTTTCCCATAATGTTAGTATGTATTCCAAAAAAATTGTGTATAACCCTATAATTCTTCTCCATTTTTTATATTGTTCAACCATCTTGTTCACAGCAAATGAAAACATATTTTCAAAATTACAAATTCTGCAAAATAAAGCTATGAGAAGCATTTTAAATAAAAACAAATATGCTAGGATTAAGTCTATGTTAAAAGAACAGCAGTGGTTGGATGTTAAAAAAAACTTGCCGAGCTGTAATTACTATTACGAAAACTAAAAGTCGCGCCATGTAAGTAAAGGTCCCAACTTTAAGAACACCCTGTATGTCTACCTCCTGGAAAGATTGGCAGCACCGATTAAAAGTCCAAACTTGAAAAGATTTTATATCTCTTGAATCTGTAATCTTTCTTTCCAGGCTTGTCTAGAGAGGCGCGATCGAACCAGCGAAGATTGCTCACTGCATTCGGAAGTGACACTGATTCCGATTTGCTGAAATTCAATCAGCTTAAATTTAGAAACAAACAACTCAAATTCGCAAAGTCCGCGATTCACGACTGGGGCTTGTTCGCTATGGAACCTATTGCAGCTGACGAAATGGTTAGTATCCAGTACAACTTTATAGCATTTTACTAAATTCGATATATTTTCAAACCGTATTCTTTATAGGTGATCGAGTACGTTGGTCAAATGGTACGTCACAGTGTAGCTGACCTCAGGGAACAAAAATATGAAGCTACCGGTATCGGAAGCTCTTACCTCTTCCGTATAGATTTAGAGAACATTATTGACGCCACAAAGTGCGGAAATCTAGCGAGATTCATCAACCATAGCTGTAATGTAAGTATACGTGTGCAGATACCTAATCATATAGCAAGATATTTGATGAGTTGGTCTGCCGTCATACTAACCAATTCATACACGGTGCGGCAGCATAACTTCCTTTTTTATTTCCATTCAGTCAGTGACAATAAAGTTTTGTTCCGACACAGTTCAGTCGCCACTTGCGTTGGAACCGTGAGAAACGTGGTTGAGGCCCACTTTTATTTCTTTAATTTAACCCCAACCACGGCACTCAGCGCGCAAACATGCATCCGCCCTTGGACTTTCCGATTGTTCTGTGAGGAGAATTCTTCATGATCTTCATTTCCATCCTTCCAAGATTGCGAAGGAACTTTCTGCACGCCTCATCTCATTTAGGGGCGATTTGGAGTCGCCGGCCTGTTCTCCCGATTTGACCCTTTGTGATTTTTTTTATAGTTTTTTTTTACAAGACGTGTATACCAATATCCTGGAGGAAAGATAACGCCTGTTATGCTGGCAAGACTCATGAAAACGCCAGAATTCGGTTTACTCGGTGTTAAACAAAACTTCATCATAAAAAACAAATAAAACGGTTCAGATTCAGAATAAACGGAAATTATGTTGTATTGAGCCTTATCAGTGATAGTTGAGTTGCTAATAAAATATATATTTTAATAAAATTTTGTATAAGTACTTAATGAAGCATAATAAGTAAATGATAAAAATTTCAAAATGATTGCACTGCTTTAAAGCCCTTTGACCTTTAATAATGTGTGGATGCACCCTGATGTGCTACGCATTCTCCAACGCGCCTAGGCATGCTTCTGATCAGGTGGTCAATGTCCTCCTGTGGTATCTCATTCCAGGCAACCACCAACTCCTCTCGAAGTGCTTCTAGAGTCTGAGGAGGACGTTGCAAATTGAGCAATCTCCTACCCATCATATCCCACACGTGCTCAATTGGGGATAAGTCGGGAGATCTTGGTGGCCATGGTAACAATGTGACGACATCATTATGTTGAAAGAAGTCTATTGTGACTCTTGCAACATGTGGTCGGGCATTATCTTGTTACCTCTGATGAAGATTAAAGGTGACCTGGAACCATAAGCTATAGCACCCCAAACCATAACTCCAACAGTGTGATGAACATGTCTTTCAACAAAAAACTGTGGATTCCTTCTTTCACCCCGTCGCCTTCTAACCCTGGCACGACCATCGTGCATGCCTAAACAAAATCGAGACTCGTCACTAAAGACAATACTGTTCCATTCCTGATCCCAGAGTGACCGTTGTCTGCACCACTCAAGGCGATTACGTCGGTGTTCTCGAGTTAAAGGGAGGACCCAGTGTGGCCGGTATGAAAACAAGCCAAAACTTCTCATTCGTCGGTAAACACTTCGCATGCCAATAGGTCTTCCGTGTTCTGCAAACCATTCATTTGCAATGGACCTGGTAGTGGAGAAACGGTCCCTTAAGGCCAATAATCTTAGGCGGCGATCTTCACGGTCTGTTGTTCTACGGCGGCGTCCAGTGCTCTTTGCGTACGGCCTTCTCGAAGCCATGCCTGACAACACCTAACCACAGTGTCTACACTTCTTTGCACTCTAACTGCAATTGCCCGAAAAGAAAGTACAGCTTCCCGAAGTCCCACTATACGGGCCCTATCAAACTCACTAAGTTGACGAAATCGTACAGGTCTCCGTACTCTAGGCATCGTAACCGATCATAAAGGATGTCAAGAACCAAAATCCGCCAACGTTGATTCTTTACTGCGGCTGAAATATTCATTTTTAGAGCGTTAGTGAATTAAAAAAAAGCAGTATAAAAACCGGAATGTCCAACTGATAAGGCTGAAAATTTTTTCACTTATTATTTACAGTAAGATAAATACATTCACCAACTTTTATTAAAATAAAACCATTTAAACTGTGTGTTCGGATTTATATGTCACTTAGTATAAAACCATTTAAACTGGGTGTTCGGATTTATATGTCACTTAGTATAACAATGTAACATTTAAAACTTGTTCTGCGGTTGTCTCGATGATGAATCTCCATATTTAACGAGCCATTAAAATTCAATAGATGGAAAATTCAAAGATTTATCCACGTTCCGGCCACCTGTACTTTGAAAAGAGCCACCAAGGTGGCCTAATCGTCGGGAAATATTTCAATTCTGCATCTGTAGTTTCATCTGTTGGTTGGTGAAATATAGAGGTTCCTCATTAGAACTTACGAGGTCTGTCAATTAAGTGATGAGACTGATTCTTTGATTCAAATATAATTACAATTTTTTGTCACCCTCAAAATGACTTGCTTCTGAAGCTGCACAACGCTAAAGAGGGTTCTTCCACTCCTCATAGCAGTACTGGAACCCCGATACTGGAATCGCCTTGTTTCCGACTGTCCCAAAATGAGTTCCCTTGACAAGGAGCGTTATCGTGATCTGATAACGGTGGTGTGGGTTAACTCTTTCCCGATCATTCTGAATGTCAACCGACGAACTGAACGCAGAAGATCCCGGATTCTGACTATGGTTTCATCGGTTCTTGAAGATGAAGGCCTTCCGCTTCGTGGTTTAGTCAACTTCAACCGACTCTTTCCCTTCTGAAAAGTTTCCGCTGCACTGTACCCACGTCTGCAGCAAAACCGTTGCTTAAAATTGTCACTCATTTTAAGAACACAATAAAGCAAACCGTTTCACAAAAAAAAGCTACGGATAAGCAAATGTCTCGAGCGAGTTCAAACTTGTACTAAATGCGGATCACATGTTCCCCTGTTTCTTCTCCAAGCCCGGCGTCTCCAGTGTTGCCAGTTCGAACGCTACGTCTCATCACTTAATGTATACACCTTAGGAAAAACCATTGTTTTACATGGGAAATCATTTCTTGGCAACAGCGCATCGGCTCGTCTACTTTCATCGCTATTCGTACATATTTCCTACCGTTAACCGCAGACCTGTATCACGAATGAGAATAATAGACAGATACGCTGTGTTGCCAATTTGAGTAGAGCTTCCCGAATTGTGGGGAATTTAGAGTTAAGTGTTGATTCATTCAAGCTTTTAATCAGCATGGCCTAGACGTTAGAACTTCATAAAGATAACATTGATGCTGAATGCTGCTGGAGTATAGTGTTTCGAATATTAAAAGCGGAGCGGGACACTATACTCGTTCAATGGGTCATCAAGCGACAGTCTTTTCAACAAAGAAATTATTTTACGAAAATGCGTTATATTTTTACGATTTTGTCGTCACCATATCTCTGTTTCTCAAAATGTACGTCTATTGTAGAATTTTCAGCAAACTAAGCAAGAAACGTGATCTAGTATTTACGGATTTCTCGAAATACATTAAAAAATGTGACCTAGATACCTAACTGCCCCAAGCTCTTTAAATATAACACCTTAAACCAGGGTTACCAGGTGCTCAGACATGTTGATTGACATGTTGTACTGGGCAAGTCAGAAAACAATCTGGCGTAATAAACGTTAGGAATCATCAGGTATTGCCAGATTCCCGAATACCGGGCACCATAGTAACCGTTATAGTTGTCCTTCAAAGTTGTCAAATCGCCCCTATGGCGCAAATTCGCCACACCAGGCAACTGTGCTATAAACAAACCCTGTTTATCACTACTATTTGATAGTCATATGGTAGTTGTAGCCCTATCTAGCGGTCCATGATTTCTCTCAATACTGTTGTATCTCTACTGGCAACAAGAATAGGGATTACAAAATCATTTATACAACAATATACAAACATGAAAAATATGATTTGAACCATGAAACATTAATACAATTTTAATAGTTTGAACTTTTTTCATTTTTTTAATACTCTTATGTGGAATCCGCAGCTATTTTTCCCGAAATTTGGGTAGACTTAGATTTTTTAGAAATATGACATATTGGTATCGGCAACTCTGCGAATGGGAGAAACAAATCGCATTTGTTGAGCGCATCCGTCTAAGCGGTAGGCGCCAGCGCCCGTTCTGCCATCTCTCTCTTTTATCACTCTTCTACTTTACCCCGTTGTCCGTCACACTCCGACGCTGCCACATAGGATCCTACAATCGAGTGTCTTTCACGCACCTACATACTTTTGTATATTTCCATCTCTCTTCCTCATCATAATGTATAATAATGTTTTTTCCCAAGGTGTATACCTCGGAACATTTGTATTAAGTCAGTTATTCTTTTTTAGCCCAATTGTTACGCAAAAGTGATAACAATAGAGTCGCAGAAGAAAATTGTGATATACTCAAAACAAAGCATAGGTGTAAATGAAGAAATAACGTATGATTACAAATTCCCGATAGAAGACGAAAAAATCCCTTGCCTTTGTGGGGCGGCTACTTGCCGTGGAACATTGAATTAAGCCGGTATTTCTGGCTTGCATTATAAATGTACGCTCTGTGATCGGTTACAGAAATTTTGTATTTCCGTCTTTTACATATGCTATGTCTTTAATATGGAAATTAATAATTCAGCCAAGTCGTTCAGACTGTCAAAAGGAAATCAAGAAGATTTTATAACAATGTAGTTAAAAGCAGCAAAAGAAATCTTATTGTACCACACACACTGCTGAACATAACTGAAAGACGTGACTAATGTTTGCAAAATTTCATGTAACAAAATGGTACTTCAACAGCTAGATATAACATAAATATTCTCAAAAAAGTATTCCAAAAGGTCGCTCCGGATAATGCTAAATTTTAAACTTTTTAAAATCTAATATAATATTTTTCTCGCAATCGAGCCATATAGAAAACACACGTTCTTGTGAATAATATTCCCAGATCAATAACGGTGTATGAAAATAAACATTTTCTGTGAAATTCAGCTACAATTGCATGCATTTATTTTATAAGATTAGCCATAAGCGAATTTTCAATCCATCATATTTTATTTAAATCACAAAAGAAATTTCTGAAGCTTGTCATACGAGTATTTTCGCTTTTCTGATCCAATCGGTGAAAAAGGAGGTACGGATAATGGATAATTGATTTCATTAATATTGGCATTTGGTATCAAATGAAATATTGGTCATGTTGGCACCGTGGATTAATTAATTATTAAAATAAAATTTGAGTTGACATAGTTGACATCTATTTGCCGCCTTGTAAATCTAGTTTTCAACTTTATTTACTTAGCATGGCTTGTATTTACATTTCATTTTAATGCTGCGTTTTGATAATTTTTGATAGATTTGGCGTTTGGAATGAAGTGGTTTTAATCTGACATTTTAGACACCACTAGAAAGCAGCACTTATGCCCATCCTGTGATAATCTTGTTTTGACATATGCCAATGCATTTCCAGTTTAAGTCAGGTTATCTCAGAAGCTGAAAATGCAAATCTGAATCTGGGTCAAACTTTTTTCGAATTAGTATAATCCGTTCATCATCAGTGGAGTTATTTATTGGCTACAGTAAGAGAATTGGAACGGCGAACGGCTATAAAACTTTTATGAAATACTTTTTTGAGGGAGTAAAGCATTATGTGGTTTTGTGTATTTGGTTTTTTGTTCCACAGTCTTTTTTGTATACTCATAACCATAGCTTCCAACATGTGTTATGTATATAGTTATATTTTTTACAATATTTTTAAGATCAATTGTCGGCTATCATATTTATTTTGATTCATATTTATTAAAAAATTCGATGTGAAAGGTAATTTCAAGAATCTAATATTTGAACGTTTATAGAAGCACTGGTTTTCTACACACTTAAACGCAAAAACCCATAATCACAGAAAATATGTACATTTTGTATAGACTTGTTCATTTCTGGAATATTGTGGATTTTAGAACAATGCGGATGAGTGTTGTATTATAGTGAGAATGTAATAATTTTTAAATTATATGTTTTTTATATGTATATAAATGTTGTAAATATTAGTTAATATAGTTATCGTGTTTTTAATTCGAACACTCTGTAATAAAATGAGAAAACTGTTTCAGCATTTTATTTTCATTCCTCTATTTCCAGAAACTCATTTTTTTATCACCTGGCAGCCTGCATGATAAGCCTGTCATTAAAAAAGTCGCAGGTATTAGGATCTAAAGAATTACGAGAGGTACGATTCCCCTATAGGAATGAAAACAAATCCTCACCCCTCCAGTTTAGAATATTTGTAGGAAACATCGACATTTTCGGACATACGAGGTATTGATTTGAGATCGTCGATGTCAGTTACCAATACAAAGTAAGTTATTTCTGATCGCCCACACCTATCAAGCATCTCAGAAAAAAATCGTCAAGACAAAAGTTGCAGGATTAAATTTTGTGTGGCCTGTGATAACACTATAAAGAACCTCCGTGTATGGAGGCACAGAATTAGTTTCAAATCGTTTAAGAAAGACGTACGTAGGGATGAATATATTTTACATTCGGCTACTCTCTAATAGATGGCGCTGCATATCGGTAGCTACCATAAGGTCCACCATTTTGAATGACTACCTTGAGCTGCTGAAATCCGTTCAGTAAGTCCCAATGCGTGTAAGGAGGAGGACGCTTTGTTTTTCAACAAAGCCAAATCCAATACGTAATATTAGAATATAATAAACTAATCCAACCAAAAAATGGGGGATTTTTAACCCCCTCACGGAAATTGAAGTTTCTTGATCATTGAAGATGCGTTTCCATAGAAAACCGCCCAATCCCCGACCAACCGCCCCTAAAGAATCTTTTAGACTAGTTAAATTTTGTGAGGTCTGTCATAACACTTTACAAAGAGGCGCCATCTATGGGATGGTAGCTCAACTGAACGAATTTTTTTTGGTGGCGGCTACTCCCCAATAGATGGCGCTGCATATCGGTAGCTACCATCAGGTCCATCGTTTTGAATGACTACCTTGGGCTGCCGATAATCCGTTCAGTAAACTCCAGTGCAAAGGAGAGAAACGTTTACTCATAAAAACGATAAGAGACCAACCATGGAAAGTCTACTCTACCCTAATGTGCAAATTTCTGTGATTGAAATTTCTGCATCAGGAATGCAGGGAAATAGTTCATAACTCATAACTGTTAGACCATAGAGTACTTTCTCCATACTTCCTTCATGTTTGTTATTCTGATATTTGCATCAGTGGTTCAAAGCTGGGTGATATCAGGATAACAGACATGGGAGAAGGTAAGAGGGGGGATCCTCTACCTATGTGGTGTAGGGGAAAGAATAAAACTTATAACACGTGTAAAATTATAATTATCGTTTACAAATACACAAACATAAAAAGTATACATAAAATAACATTTCTAAGTAAAAATTAATATACGCTTTAGGAGTAGAAAAATACATTAATTTATCCATAAACTTGCACTAACTGCACGTTCTGTATAAACCTAGGGTATAAATAAAAACATCTTATAATGTACATACATGAACACTTTCACCAACATTTAAGCATACTTTTAACACGAGTCAAAAATGTGTTAAAACAAATTTCGCAAGCATTTGTGCACGTAAATTATTTGGAATTCAGCGTCTAAGTTTGAATGCTCCTTAAGCTCATCATGCAGATAGCTGAGACATATAGATTGCTTTCAAAGACTGGTTTTACACTTGTGGCAGAAAGAAGTGCAACCATAATCTTAGAATATTAGTCAGTAGATTACTTCTGAAGAACCAAGGGAGAATTTTGAATTTCGATTTTTCCACAACATAAGAACATATGATCTTCAACGGCTTTGTTTATTTTTTCTGCACAAATTAATACTTCCAAATATCTAAACCAACTTTATACTTGCAAAATTTGTTGGGTAAAGAACATTTTTAACCCAGCAGAAATGCAGAAATACTTTGAAGACTTTGTAAACCTGCTTCCACAGGTTTCAAAAGATAAAAAAAAAATATATAAAATTACGTTACATTTAATAGGTGAAAAAAATTACAATTCTCAACAAACAGGATATCGATAGATACTGAACTGAAACGAAATAAGAAATTCTGCCAAGTTAGAAATTTTACCATAAAGCTAAATTGCAACTATATTTCTGAAATATTTACTTCAGCTAATCAATGCGTGGTCCACGATTTTAGAAAAAAACAAGTTTTTCATTGATGGAATTATTGCCTAAAGTGGGAGACGTCCATGGGTGTCCTTAGCACGATTGGGCGTGCAATTTTTGGATTGGGCCGGAAATTTGCTACCTCCCGCACTTGCAAAGTTTTTGGTGAAGGTACACTTTCTCGAAAAGTGCTCGATGATACCTCCCTCCCTGCGACAAATTCCTGCGGGCACTCGTGGAGACGTCAATAGAGAAATACTAAAAAGATGGATCTACTTTAAGACACACATCAATAGGGAAGTAAGCTCAGTTCGAAATAACTTCATTATTCAATCTTTTCAAATATTTATAAAGGAAGCTGTAATATTTGACCGTTATATTGAATATTTATTTTTAATACTGGAAGAATACTTCTGGGTTCGTGGTTCTGAAGAAAAATGATAAGCAAAATCCTCATCATTCCAATTTTTCGGATCCAAGTATAAGATGGTTTCAGAGAAAGAAATGCAAATTAATGCAATAGTTGGTATGTTTCGCTCTTTTATAGCCTCGACGAAAAGTAAGCAGTTTACTTGAAAATTTATCTGCTCTTGAAATGACTTGAAGGTCATGTCCGCAATGTGCATCCCGGGAATTAAAAATGGATGTTTCCCGTTAGGATAACCATTTGACCTTCAAATGACCTTGATTGTCATGATTATATTCGAACATAAAGTTTCTTGCTCTTTTTATTGCAGGTGTCAAAAAAGGGGACAATTGTCTTGACCGTCGTCAAGGTCAAGTTAATCTTTCCAAACCTTATCACTCTATTACACATTTCTGTTTATGAAATGTATCTTTCGAGATATTTTATATTTTTCCCACTGTCTGGACACCCTCAAATACCTATGGAGATCATGGTCAAGGTCATAGGCAAAGACATAATTTAACGTACTGGTGTCAAAAATACGGGTTTCATTTAAGAACACTGTCTTGTCCTTCAAATCACACTGCAGGTGGTAGCCAAGGTCACCAATGCTATCTAAGATCTATCCATATTTTTTGAACACTCTGTATATTTTTGCGGATAAATCCATGGATATAACACATTTTTGTTTGTTTGACTTTATTTGAATGCAGCAACAAAACGTAGTCAAATCATGTCTTAGTTTTTCTTAAGTGCATGACATACATGACTCTCGGCTAATTGAGAGATAAGCGCTTTGTTTTTTTTTCAGCTCACTGCTCGAATCCATAATTAATCTTCCATCATAATTCATTTTAAAAATGAATACATAATTGTAACAAAAATAAGGTACCCTTAAGGTAATATTAAGCTAAGTATTTTCCAATGGGTAACATAAGTTTCTGTGATATGACTGGACCTAGAAATGGTTGAGTGACAAAACATGAAATTTTAGCACCGGTCAATTTTAAAGAAAATTCATATAGTGATAGTTTTTGTTGTTTCAATGGGTGCAAAGTCCAGAAATACTTTCACTGGAGATACAGGGTGTTAAAGTTTGATGCCTTTGGCTCTGTGGGTTCGCCTTTCTGCACCATTTTACGAAAACTCGTTAATGTACTCAGAACTTGACGATATAATGAAAATCACGTGAAAACTTATAATATATACAGGGCGGCCCAACGAAAATGTTTGATGGAAAAGCTAAGTAAGATATTCGATATTCTTATAGGTGTATATCTCTAAATGAGTTGGAAATATATAGGGCGTTGCCCAATACACAATAAACATGTTTTATTATTTTAGATATTTGGAAAGGCATTTCAGAAATAAGAAGATTGATATAATACATTGCAGGATTTTGATTATTATTCGTCTGGAAAAATGCCTGTCCTTGAAGGCTTTGACTTTTGTCATTTTGCGTGTTTTTTGAAAAGAAGATGGAAGAAGTACGATAACTTTATCAGAATGCTGCAAAACGTAAAACGTTTTAAAAATGTTAGACGGAACATCCCGTATATTCAACACCATCAATTGTGTTTTTGTGAGTTTCATCGGATATCAGGTAAGAAAATATGTCACACTAAAAAAAAAAAAACGTTTGTTTGGTACGGATATGCTCAACACTCCAAACAATTTAGAAATATAATCATATAATAGTTTTTCTATTAAACAGCTTTCCATTTTCGTTAGGACACCCTGCATATAACGCATGATTTGAGCCCATCGGATATGAATGAGCTATTACTATACGAATTTTCATTAAAATTGACTGGTGGTGAACTTCCATATGTTTTGTGCCTGATAGTCTAATCATATTAGCAAATTTCCCCGAAATAATTGTAAAGTCTGGTTTTATTGATGCAAGTTGTTCAAGGGGGTATTTAAAACATGGACGCATAAAATGGGTACACCAATTTTTGTGGGAAAACTTTATTTGACAACAAAGAATGAGAAAACATGTTTTTGGGGATTCAATCGAAAGTGTTGGCAGGAATGAAAAAACTCTTTAAATAAGATTTTTAGGTATTTATGAGACCACACGTAAAAAGATCCGACTAATAGCAAAAATGAACCTCCTCGAACAGCTTAAAATAATAAAACCAGACTTTACAATTATTTCATAACATTCATTTTTAGGCACATAGAATTGTGCCCGGTTTCAAGTGAGTAACTCTAGCTTGGAAGTTAAATCAGTTGCCTGTAACTGTAACTCTTAATGTGACAACATTGCATCAACGGTTTTAGCAGTCAATTACCATCGTTGTCAAGCAAAATAGGTTCTACTTTCTAGATAACCGCTAGATAGTTAAAGCAAGCATTAAACTTAACTGCCTTTTACGACAAATCTCATACTGAACAATGCTTTTTGAGAGTTCTCAGTAAAGTGGCAATCAATGTTAAAAACTGAACCCTAACATGTTATACACCAAGAGTATACACCCTATAATGTGCAAAATGATTTTTCAAGTTAGATATTGGCAAACAGGTAAAACATTCGAAAATTCCACATCCGAATGTAAATAAATAATGTGAGTCTTACTACTAATATCAATACACGTTGCATCAAATATCAAGGTCACGCGTGTTGTAGAATGTGAATATCATAAAAACTGCTGATTTGAACACATGTGAACATTTAGACTTTTAAAAAGTGATAATGTGCTACGACCTCATTTTGACTGAGGCACTTTTTGTATGTCATATCACAGAAACCGAATAAGAAGAGATATCCCATTATAAAGATAGCGTCTATATCATGGATAAATTATTTAACAGAGGCGGGTTTGGGAGCTGTTTGTGCACCAGGTACTCTTCCCAGGACCTTCGAGAGGTCCACTCCAGTTAAGGCATTCACGGCGGGAGGTATTTGTCCGACCAATCGGGTGACGTCCGACGTCAAGCCGTCGGAACCGCCTATCAGGACGATCTCTTCCGTTTTCGCCAACGGGGCGGACACCTCCGCGGCAATCTGAAAATTGAACAGTTATTGTTAATAACGGGTGATTTTTTAACACTTTGGCTGCCCCCATAAGGGGTCATTTTCATTTATTAGAGGCCAAAGCCAAATTATCACAAAAGCATGGTTACGAAAGCTTTATTGGCATAAAAAACGTATAAACAACTCAAAAAAGATGTTTTTTTCTGCAAAAAATTAAAATCACCGGTGATACACCTGGCATACAGGTTAATCGGTATTTCTCCAGTGCCATCAGTATCACCGGTGATCACAGAAGAAATAGAAAATAAAACTAATGTTTTTCAGTGAAACAAGTAAAACATAAATGAATATTGCATTGCCCGCACTTGGTAGAGACCAGTTTAGCTTGTTTCATTCCCACAACTCGTCCTCCTTCTCTGGCTTTTTTCTCATAACATGAAATGCATCTCTTCCTTTTCTTTCTCCCGTCTGCTGTTCTTTCTTCTGTACTGATCAGACTATGTTTATCTTCATGTACTGGGACACTTGGGACTTGAGTAAGGCTCTCAATGAACATCTCTCTAAAAGCACCAATTTGTATGTTTTGTTTTTTGAAGTGCTTGCAAATATTAAGAGAATTGATGACAGCCGTATTCAGGAGAATTTCGAACATTAGTTTATGATACCATCTAATTGTTTTCCGGAGTGGCGAAAAGTAGCTAGCCATTTGATCAGAAACATCTATACCATCTTTACCAGCATTATATTCTAATATGGCAGAAAGTTTCTTTACCTCCTCGCTCTTTCTGTGTTTCTTCCCAGTGGCCTTTATATCCAGCGTGTGCTTAGTACTCAAGAACGGAACATCCCTTTTGTCTTTCCATTTACCTATAACGAGTCCTGTAGTGTTTTCCTTCCCCACAATTTCCCCTCTTTTTAGCTGTGCACTCATAACCCATAAACCGCAAAATCTGTATAAGAACCAACCCGAATATAGTAAAAGTGCAGTCGTAAATTTACCCTACAAAGGTAGGCAACCAGTGATTTGATATATCTCAATGAGTTGTCTATATTATCAGTATGCCACAGTATAAGTAGTTAAACCTAATTCACAAGCCAAGCGGATATATCTCTAATTTAGAAGTATGCTGCATGTGAAACACATGTGAGTCACGTGGCCTCTGAGTTAAACATGCCTGTGTATCACCGGTGTTTCACATGGCAGCCAATGTGTTAAGAGGTATAGGATTTGATTTAAAAAAAACAAAAAATCTGAAAAAACAATTAAATCTTTATTTGAGTCGATAGAACGGTCGATATAATTTAATGTTTAAAGATTATTTCATGTAAATGTTGGCCGCGGCTCCGCTTTAGATGGCCCATGCGCAAGGTCCAATGTTGGTACACTCTCTCCAACATATCGGCCGGTATCTCACGAATAAATGCTTCAATATTGGCTTCCAGTGCGTCAATCGTTGCTGGTTTATCCCTGTAGACATTAGCCTTAACATGGCCTCACAAGAAATGGTCCAACGGCGTTAAATCACACGATCTAGGCAGCCAATTGACGGGCCCCAAACGTGAGATAAACTATTCACCGAACTCGCCTCTCAATAGGGCCATTGTTTCGTGTTCGGTGTGGCATGTGGCACCGTCTTGTTGAAACCACATGTCAGCCAAGTCTAGCTCTTCCATTTTGGGCAAAAAAAAGTTTGTTATCATCGCACGGTAGCGCTCGCCATTCACAGTTACGTTCCGGCCATTGTCGACTTTGAAGAAGTACGGCCCGATGATGCCACCGGCCCATAATCCACACCAAACAGTGATTTTTTCGGGATGCATTGGTAGCTCTTGCAATGCTTCTGGCTGGTCTTCACTCCAGATGCGGCAATTTTGCTTGTTAACGTACCCATTCAACCAGAAATGAGCTTCGTCACTGAACACAATTTTTCGATAAAAATGTGGATCTTCCTCCAACTTTGCCAGCGCCCATTCACCAAATTGAAAACGTTGTGGGAGGTCGTGTGGCTTCAATTCTTGCACCAGCTGTATCTTATAAGGTTTTACACCCAAATCCTGTCGCAAAATGTTCCACGTAGTGGAGTAACAGAGGCCCAATTGCTGCGAACGGCGGCGAATCGACATCACTAACACTGGCGGATACAGCCGCAATATTTTCTTCAGTCCTCACTCTACGTCTGCGTGTTGGTGGTTTAATGTCCAATAATGTTAACTGGGTTCGAAATTTAGTCACAAGCTTCCGAATAGCTCCCTCAGTAGGCCGACCAAATTGCCCATAAATTGGAAGCAGTGCTCGATGCACTCTCTTAACCGAGCATGAATTTTGATAGTAAAATTCAATAATTTGCAAGCGTTGTTCGTTCGTAAGTCGATTCATGGTTAAATTATAGACCAAACTGAACAAGTTTGACAATGACACAAGGCACGATTCACGCGTCATCTGTCAAAAACAGTGTTGCCAAAAAGATACTAGCAAATAAATCACCCATTATACACAACATTGGTACACTAATCAAAAAATTTAAAAAATCATTCACTGTCCAACTTCTACGATTTTTTGAAGGTGCAATATGTTAAGGTTGTTGTTGTTGAAGATTTATTTAGCATTAATGCTACAATGTCAATTTTGTATAATGATTCGGTTACATATTTTTCTTCAATCCATTTTCTGTAATTTTACATTCTTGTTTATTTAAATTGAAATTACGTCACTATGTATTTAGATTATTCATAGTGATTTTTTAATTTCACCTTAAACATTTTTAAATTCGAACTTTGTTTAATATCGATATTCAAATTATTAAATTCAAATGCTCCCTTGTGAAATATAGATTTACTAGTTATGCTACAATTACAATTTTGCAGATGAAAATCTATACTGCCTCTAGTTTCGTAGTTATGATAATGACTATTTAATTTTGTGAAGTTGGTGGTAATAAATGATTTTTTAATAGGAATATGAAAACGAGAACTAAATAATATATATATATATATATATATATATATATATATATATATACAGGGTGTCTGCAAAGTTGGGGTTTTCCTTTACACGACGTGTAGATCTTGAAAACATAAGCAATTTTACTTAGTATCATATACACCAATGTCTTAAGGGAACCGAGATAAAGTGCTCTGCAACATCAAAAATATCTGAATACCGTTCTGTAGCCGCGACTCCCCGAACTAGCTCAACCCGACGACAGAACTGGGTCGGGGTCAGTGTATCAGGTCAGTATGCAACCTTCAACCGACGGTTACGGTCACGCGTGTAGAGGTAAACGAACCCGTATAATCGATTGGGTTTCAAAAAACAATAAGCACTAGAGACGTGGCTAGAGAAGTGCAAGTATCAAAAACTAAAGTGTGGCAAACGCTGCGTGAAGAAGGGCTGTATCCGTTTCATGTCCAACGTGTACAAGCCCTTCAACCTTACGATTTTCCAGCAAGAGTGCGGTTTTGTGAGTGGTTGTTGCATCAACATGACAATAATCCGGACTTTTAGAAGTGCATATTGGTGACAGACGAATCTACGTTCACGCGTAATGGGGTGAATAACTTTCGCAACACTCATGTTTGGTCAGTAGAAAATCCGCACGCTGTCCGTTGGGCACATTTTCAACAAACATTTTCGGTGAATGTTTGGGCTGGCATGGTGAACGGTATGCTCATTGGACCATTTATTCTCCCAAATCGATTAGACGGGATGCAATACCTAGACTTTTTACGCAACATTTTGCCTTCCATGTTACAAGATGTGACATTAAGTGTAAGACAATCAATGTGGTTTCTGCACGATGGTCATATTTGTTACCTCTGTTCGTGGTCTGCACCACCGCCGGCGTCTGCTCGGTAGCGCATCAGCTGATTTCATTTTCTGTTGGAGCGGTATGATTTCGGGCAGAGACGTACTTAGCCCTTCTCGTCAACTGGATAGTGAGTACTTTTTCCTTTATTTTTTTTACTTGGTCGCCCTCGTTTCACTACACATTATCTTTGTTATTTCAAGGGTAGTTGTTTCTGAAAAGGAAAACCCCAACTTTGCGGACACCCTGTATATATATATGAAATTTTTCACATCCAACCGCTGCAGTTCTTCTAACATAGACTTAATCCTAGCAGATTTGTTTTTATTTAAGGTAAGGTAGTATTTATATTCATAAATAAGAGGTCTGCAAATCAAGTGATGAGACTAATTTTTTTAATGTTTTCATTCCGAATTTACTAATTTTGGATGGACCGAAGGTCGAACGCTCCCGCACCTTAAAATTTCAAAGCCGATGTGCGCAAAAATCCGCCATTTTGATTCTACAAAATCCATCAAGCCATTTGACTGCAGCCAGTGAAATACAATTTCTCGTATACATACATACAGTAGCGGACAACAGTTTGGAAACATTTTTAGGAATTTTTAAAAAGTGCGCTAATTTTTTATTCCTTATTATTAAGGACTATTTTTTATAGTTTGTTTACAGTCTTGAGGATACAAGTGACAATTTGTGTTTGCTCTGGTACTACAGACTAGCATTAAAATACCTTCATATTTGACCAAAAATGAGACGACAAAAATATGGAAACGTATTTTTTATTACAAAATTAAATACAATAACTCTACAAAAAGATTTAAAAAATACATATTTGGTAGCATAGCCTTTAGCATTCAACACAGCCTGACATCTGCAGCTCATAGAAGACACCAATTTTTTACAGACGTCTGTTGGGATATTTTGCCAAATATTTTTTACGTAATCAAATAAATCGTCAATATTTTTAAAAGTTTTTCTTGTCAGTTGTTTTTTAACATGCTCCCAGAGATGTTCTACAGGGTCTGGGTCCGGAGATTGCGAAGGCCATGTCAGAACATTTTTAAGTCTTAACCAGTCCTTGATGAATTTTGGGGTATGCTTGGGGTCATTATCTCGCTGGAATGTCCATCGTAAAGACATTTTTTCTTCAGCAAAAGGGAGAATGTGTTCACTTAGAATATCTTTGTACATTTTTTGATCGATTTTCCCAACAATTTTAACAATTGGACCCGTTCTAGAACTAGAAAAACAGCCCCAAACCATAATGTCGACTATTTAACTGTTGGCAACTGATACTTTTTGTCTAATCTTTTCCGTATTGGACATCTCTACTAAATAATTCAATTACTTTGTCTCTCAAATCTTTTGAAAATTCTTTTACTTTTGCCATTCCCACTGATGTTAATATTTACCTCACGCAATATCAGAGTATCGCAGAACGAATAAATACGGCGAAACTGAAATGTGTCCATACTTTTGTCGTTACAAAAACTGTGTTTTTATTTTCAGAGAATTTGAATATTGATAAGATAAACCTGTATTAGTACGTGAGCCAAATGTTGACTTTAATATTCATATTATCTGTTCCGTCACAATTTTAATTTAGGTATACAGTTCATAGTAATGTTATTATTTGTTTCCAAACTTTTGTACGCTACTGTAGATACACACCCGAGTAGAACGTACAGACTTTTTAACGTGAGGTACTTATCGTAGCACGATGACATTTTGAGGGCTGTTTCTATATGAGTTGAAGTCACTTTTACAGTAAAATTATAACAATTATACAAAATTGACATTGTAGCATTAATGCTAAATAAATCTTCAACAACAACAACCTTAACATATTGCACCTTCAAAAAATCGTAGAAGTTGGACAGTGAATGAATTTTTAAATTTTTTGATTAGTGTACCAATGTTGTGTATAATGGGTGATTTTTTTGCTAGTATCTTTTTGGCAACACTGTTTTTGACAGATGACGCGTGAATCGTGTCTTGTGTCATTGTCAAACTTGTTCAGTTTGGTCTATAATTTAACCATGAATCGACTTACGAACGAACAACGCTTGCAAATTATTGAATTTTACTATCAAAATTCATGCTCGGTTAAGAGAGTGCATCTGCTTTTGTACGCTACTGTAGATACCTACCCGAGTAGAACGTACAGACTTTTTAACGTGAGGTACTTATCGTAGCACGATGACATTTTGAGGGCTGTTTCTATATGAGTTGAAGTCACTTTTACAGTGAAATGCCTCCCTCTAAAATTGAGGGATGAACACGCCTACATTTGAGTGAGGCCAACGCTGTTCCACTTTTTGTCCATCTCGTGCCTAACGATCGATTTAAGCCCCCCCCACTATGCACTCCGCTCCCGGCGAAATACTATCATCGAAAAGGGTAGTCTTACCTTCGGTAAGGCCTCAAGAACAAGGGACATAATGGCAGCATCTCCATACTGTTTATAAACGGCAGCTTTTTGCTTCATCCGTTCTGCTTCCGCTTTACCGATGCCGGAAATCGCTGAAGCCTCTGCGGTACCCAACAGTTTGGTTTTTTCACCTTCTGCTTGGGCAGATTTCACCGTTTGAGTTCTGAAAAGATATGGAATAAGTTATAGCTGAAACCACAGCAATGCGTTTAGACAGCAATATGAAAAAAAGGGCGTAGCTCGCTCGTGGGTGCCCATTGGGGAGGGGGGGGGGGGGGGTAGGGGTCCCTCTCCTGACGTTTGCTTCGAACTGAAATATTCTTAAAAGATACCCAATCCTTGGGTAAGGAGTGGTGTGTTAGTTTTTTTGATATTCAGAATCCCAACAGTCAACTTAAGCCTAAAAATTTGCCAATTTCCCAATTAACAATTAATTGCATATATATATATATATAACTTGAGACGTGGTCATTGTCGTCTAGACCAGTTAGGTGAAAAATTAAAGCTTCCGCCTTTTGTTGGGTACTTCGACAAAATTTAAGCAAAGAGGACTCTTTATACTTTTTTAATTCTCTCTAGCTTTCAATGGACTTTGCCATCATCATCAGGAGCTGCAATTACAATGATAACAGTAGCAACAAAAGTGTAAAATGAATTTAAATTGACTCAACTTACAGTAGTATGTGAGGATGTTGCTAATTGTTGTTTACGTATAGGATGAGGGAAACGTCCAGTAACATGGTGAGAGCTGGATAGATGGTACAATGGTCAAAATTATATAAAATATGACAAGAACAAGTTAAAAACAGATTAAAAATTATTTAAAAAACATTAGAGCATTACATCGTGAAGCCACATGCTCTAATGTTTTTTAAATAATTTTTAATCTGTTTTTAACTTGTTCTTGTCATATTTTATATAATTTTGACCATTGTACCATCTATCCAGCTCTCACCATGTTACTGGACGTTTCCCTCATCCTATACGTAAACAACAATTAGCAACATCCTCACATACTACTGTAAGTTGAGTCAATTTAAATTCATTTTACACTTTTGTTGCTACTGTTATCATTGTAATTGCAGCTCCTGATGATGATGGCAAAGTCCATTGAAAGCTAGAGAGAATTAAAAAAGTATAAAGAGTCCTCTTTGCTTAAATTTTGTCGAAGTACCCAACAAAAGGCGGAAGCTTTAATTTTTCACCTATATATATATATATATATATATATATATGTATATATTTGCCTTAACTGTTAGGAGAACATATCCTTGAATTTCTTTGGATTGAAGGCAATGTATTGCAAAAGTACACTCTTATAACTTGAACCCAAGCTTTCGAAGATCTATGTCTTCATCGTCTGGAGCTGGAAACAATTATTGACAATAGCAGCAATTAACAATTATTAGGAAAATAGTTACTTACTAAGTCGGCGAGATTGTTGCTGAAATTGTTTTTAAACAACAGTGAAGGGAACACATAGTCGACGAATAAAAAACTGGACCGATGAGGTTCGATTAGGACGGAATTATTTTATTATTAAATGGCAAATCGTAGCTAAATATTTAAGTGATTCGACATTTTCAATTATTCCTCCATTTATCCTAACTGTGATAGTATTTTCATTTAGATATTTCCCTATTATTTTGTTTTAGAAGTATTCAATTTTAGTTGATTTACATTTAACCAATTTACGATTTTTGCAAAGTCAGAATTTAGCATTTTTAAGCAGTGAAGTTTACAATAATCTAAAATATTACAAATGTCATTAATGTATAAAATAAATAGTAGTGGGCCTAGTTAACTACCTTGTGGTATACCATATATTTCACTAATAAAACATAAGCAACTATTAAATGTTGTACCTTCTTCCCTCAGCGAGAACTTCAACTTTGTAACTTTCAGCTTCAGCGGGCAACCTAACCATAGCGTTCAACTCTCGCTCTTTTCTCATAACTTCTTGCGCTTCGATTTCTATCTGCTTCTTCCTCTCGACTACTTCTATCTGTATCTCTTCGTTTCGTATCTTCTGTCGGATTTTTGCTGCTTGCAATTCATAAGCTAGCTGCGCTTGTGCTTTCTGTAACAAAATAAAAAAATAATAGTCTGTGAAGTTGGAAGTGTGAAAAATTATACAGGGTGGTCCATAACTCCTTTGAAATTTCAAATTTGAATAAAATTTAACGGGTGAGTGTGAGCGGCGCGGGCGAGGTGGGGGCAGTATCTTCAGTGTCTGGGAATTCAGTCGCCATGGAGTGTTTCACTGGAGCGGATCGTGCTTTTTGTGTGCGCGCGTTTTATCAAAATAATGATTCGGCAACCATTGCGCGGCGTAAATATCGAGAATACCACAATTTACACAATTTTACAAAGTGTCCAACAGCTCAAACGATTAAGAACTGGGTTGCTAAGTTCGAAGAGACTGGTTCGACGTTAGATAAACAGCGGTGGGGTCGACCAAGGACAACTCGTATTGAAGAAAACATCAACATTGTGGCACAGTCTGTTCGTCAAAATCCTACCCAGTCTACTCGTAAGCGTTCCAGTGCACTAAACGTACCCAGAACATCTTTACAGCGGATTTTAAGGAAAGATTTACGTCTGCACGCTTACAGAATTCAGTTAGTGCAGGAATTAAAAGATAATGACGCTATTCAGAGACTAAACTTTGCGAATGAAATGTTGAATCGATTTTCTTCGCTCAATAATGTGTTGTTCTCGGACGAGGCTCACTTCCATTTAAACGGGCATGTAAATAAACAAAATTGCCGTTATTGGAGCCCCGAAAATCCAAGGCGTAAGCATCAGAAGCCCTTACACAGCCCTAAAGTTACAGTTTGGGCTGCTATGTCAGCGCATGGCATCGTAGGCCCTTATTTTTTTGAGGACGACAGAGGTCGCGCATTAACTGTTACTTCGGCGCGGTATATAGCAATGATAGAAGAGTTTTTGACACCAGCGTTGCAGAATTTTCCAGGCTATAATACGCAGACCTGGTTTCAGCAGGACGGAGCAACTGCCCACACCTCCAACACTTCTATGCCCGTCGTCTGTCAACTTTTTCCCAGCAAAGTCATTTCTCGAAGAGGAGACATTTCCTGGCCACCACGTAGTCCAGATTTGACCCCAATGGACTTCTTTTTATGGGGCTACCTCAAGAGTAAAGTGTACGACACCACTCCGCGATCAGTTGATGTCCTGAAAGAAAATATCCGAAGAGAAATGGCAAGCATTACAGTGTTGACTTGCCGCGCAGTCATCGACAATTTTAGACGTCGTTTATATGAGTGCCGTGATCGTAATGGATTGCATTTAGACGATGTGATTTTTAAAACATAATTCCCATTCAATAAAGATGATAACAAAATATAATAATTCTTCATAATGTAACTAGTTTGGTTTTATTCCTTTTTTTCCAGCTCAAAGGACTTATGGGCCACCCTGTATGATAAAAAAGTATATAATATTATTACTTACGGCAGTGTTAATTTCCTGATCAAAGTTAGCCTTCTGTAATTTGAACATCCTCGAGTTATCTTCGATTTTCGTATCTGTGGCGTATTTCACATCCATCGCAGACTTTTGACATTCGGCTTCCTATAAAAATGGAGTGTCAGTTTAAGAGTATGTGAACACGAATATCATTAATCCTCCATGCTGATCTGTTTTATTGGCCACACAAGCATGGGGGATTATCGATGTGTAAATAAGGGGTACGTTTCAGATGTTACATTGAGAATAATTTTCTCGGACAATAGAACGGTTTTTATTTTTTTACTCAAAAATGGCTCATCGAAGGAAAACAATTCAAAAGAGATAATTTGTTTTAAATTGAACGGGAATCATTTTATTTAGCAAAAAATCAGTGGCGTACCATTTTTTTCTTAAAAAATATCGAAGTCAATACCCGCACGCACGCTACTGTTAAAGCTTAAACTTATTTTTACATTGAAAAATATGCAACTTTATTAAATTTCACTAAGTACTGAATATCAGTGAAATATCTGAAGCGGTTCTGAAAATATTAATTAATTTCCATTTTTTTTCCTTTTTTTTTTTATATCGAAACAGCCGCGCAGGCAGAAGCCTAAATGCCGGAACACCGCGGCTGCTATGATGATCCCAAAGAAATTTTGTTAATACGATTTTTGAACTGCCTAAGGTTAGTAGAACTGGGAAAAGCTTCCTCCCGTAGATTGTTCCACAATCTAGACACCCTCGGGACAAAGGAGCGGTCGTATCGGCCAGTTCTGGATGTACGAAGTTTGACACGGTTAGGATGGGACGCCGAAGTCAGGCGGGTCTGTCTGGCAGGCACATCGCGCGGCGGCATCATGGAAGAGAGCTCTGAGGAGCAAAGCCCGTTGGTGTAGCGATAGAAAAGAGCTAGGTCGCCGACGGCCCGCCCGTGCGAAAGAGTCCCGAGACTGTCTGTTAGGGAAGAGTCATCGATCAGTCGGACCGCCCTCCTCTGGACAGCATCGAGCATGGACAATGTAGTCGGGGCGGCAGCACCCCAAATGTGTGAGCAATACTCGAGGCTAGGCCTTATCTGGGCCTTGTATAGAGTGAGAAGGTCATGCGGAGAAAAGTACTTCTTAGCCCTAAACAAATAGCCTAGCTTTTTCCCAGCAGCTGCAGCTATTGAAGAGATGTGTTCGTGCCAGATCAGGTCCTCGGTGATCTGGACTCCGACCAGCCGAAATGAATGGCTCTTTGGTAGAACTCGACCGTCCATCAAAACTGTATGAGCGCTAGGACGCTTTTTGTTCGTCAAAGTACAGTACTGTGTTTTGGAAGCATTGAACTGTACAAGATTGTTGCGTCCCCAAGCAGTGATAGCCTCCAGGTCTCTTGTCAGAGAAGAAGTCGTCGCTAGTCTTCTTTTTTCCAGCTCAGCGGCAGAGATCGGCTTGTCACTCTGAATTCCTGCATGTAGAGTGCTGTCATCAGCGAAGCTGTGGATTGGGTTGATCGTGCAGGAAAGGAGGTTGTTGATATGTAAGAGAAACAGTGTTGGAGCCAAGACCGATCCCTGGGGAACACCCGCGTTAACGTTGTGGGATGAAGAGGAGAATCCGTCAATTACGACGGATATCTTGCGGCCAGAGATAAAGTCAGCCACCCATCTGCAAAGCTTTTCTGGGAGGCCGTAGGATGGAAGTTTGCTTAAGAGGGCAGCGTGCCACAGCTGATCGAACGCTTTCGTGATGTCAAGAGCAACGACATGAGCCTCACCATTAGACTGGATGAGTTTACTCCACAGTTGCGTGACGTAAGCTAGGAGGTCCCCTGTGGATCGTTGGTGCCGGAAACCGTACTGCCTCTCGCTAATCAAGCTGTGACGTTCGAGGTAGTCCAGAAGCTCGCGATTTATGCACCTCTCCATCACTTTACTTATAACAGAAAGCAGAGCTATAGGCCTGTAGTTGTAAGGGTCGGTTTTAGATCCTTTGGGATGGGCTGTACATGAGCAAATTTCCAGTTTTCGGGGAAGGTGCCGGATTCATAAGATATCTGGAAGAGACGCGAAAGAACTGGAGCAAGCTCCGCTGCACATCTCTTCAGTACAATGGCAGGAATCAAGTCCGGACCAGAAGCTTTGTTGATGTCGAGCGACAAGAGCACTCGTCTTACGGTCTTATGCCTGAATGTTACCTCCCGCATAGTGTGGGGAACCCTTTGAATTGACGGCACTTGGGCGTTGGTGGGGACGTCCATGGTGGAGTTGGCAGAAAAGATCTTGGCTAGCACTTCCGCCTGGGCCTTTGAGTCGAATACAATAGTTCCATCCTGACACGTAAGTGGTGGAAGGCTACTGTGTGAGAAGTTCTTTTCAATCTGCTTGGCCAGCGTCCAGAAATACCGACTGCCATTGCGCTGCGACATTACCCTGTGCCTAACTTTTATATCATGCTGGTTTTTGGCATTGCGAACCGCTTCGTTATATTTGTTTCTGGACTCGACGTCGGCTTGTCTGTTCTCTACAGTGGGGTTTTGTAAGTAGGTTCTGTGGGCTTTGATCTTCTGCTGGCGAGCAGTGTCACACGATTTGTTGAACCAGCCGTTGGACCCTGGTTCAGGAACTTTCACTGTGTGAGGGATGTATTCCTCCATTCCGACGTGGATAATTTCGGTTATTGAAGAACAGACAGTCGATGCATCCGCGTCAGTGAAACAGACATCTCTCCAAGGAAAGCTAGAGAAGAAGTCTCTGAGCCCCTCCCAGTCGGCATGTCCGTAATGCCAAGTTTTGCGGCCTGTGCGAGTTTCTGCTACCACAGCGGCTTCTGACCGAAACCTAACCTCCACAACACCGTGATCTGAGTTACCCAGGGGGGACAGGACAGCAGTGCTGTAAGGGGCAGGATGCGTGGTCAGAAAGAGATCCAGCAGGCTACTCGCGTGTGACGAGACGCGGGGGAAAAAAGTAGGGCTCGTCACTAGCTGGGTCAGCCCTTGAGTAATAGCGAACGCTTCGACTGCACGACCTGCTGCATCGGTCTTATTTGAGCCCAACCAAAGCTCATTATGAGCATTGAAATCACCGAGAAGAACTACCTCTGAAGCGGGGTGATTGATGTTCAGGAAGTCGATCTGGACGGCGAGGTATTCGAGTAGGTCATCCCAGTTATGGTTCGATGGAGAGCGATAAAGGCAGCAAATAAATTTGGGTGATGTTTTGGAGTTGAGGCGAAGCCACAGAATGTCCTTCCGGTCTGATTAAAAAGAAAGATCCCTGGAGCAGGAAAGACTGCTGCGGACAAAAGCCACAACTCCCCCGTTCTTTCTCAGATTGGAGTGCACCTCGTAGTTTGGGAAGTTGAGATGGTTAATCGGTGCAGTCTCTGCAGTCCTAAAACAACATCCCGAGTTTTTGTATGGAAACATTTTTGGACCATAGTTTATAAAGCAAACTAACATTAATTTTTCAGGTAGATTCACTTAAGCGTGTTAAAGAAACGTTACCCTGATCCCAGCGTCTCTATTGGCCTCCGCCACGCCCGCATCGGCATCTCTCTTCACCATAGCCGTCTGAGCTTTTCCGAGAGATGTTAAATACTGCACGTCATCAAATACGTCCTTGATCGTGAAAGAGAGAATCTCGATGCCCATTCTACCGACGTCCGGGGCTGCCACTTCGCGAACCAAAGCTGCAAATTGGTCGCGGTCGCGATACACTTCCTCCACGGTCAAAGTGCCTGCAAAGGAAATAATCACTCCAGTTGAGAAAATGGTATCAAGTATACTGACTCTACACCTCACACGCCGTCGTTCAAAATCGCAAATTTCAAAGTGAAACTCGACTACGTATACTGCGTGTGAAATTGCAAGAAATTTGGAATATATTTACACAGGCAAACTGCCAAGCATTAGTTAATGAGTTAAACACAGAATTTTGTGAAATGACAATTTTTGGGTGCATCTTATGTATTTTGAGATACTTAAATCAAATCTAAAAACAGAATTTTTCTATCACCCACAGATACTTTTATGAATTACAATACGTAACATCTCATATTGCTGCATTTCTCGCCGTTTATGCGATGACGCACATATATAATATTAAGACCTGTCTATTCCTGTTTATTATATGCGAGCTCTATGTTTAGAGAGCGTTTATGAGTAGACTAATAGCAGTCGAGTCAGTTACGTTTTCTGTGTTGAAGAGTACTGAGATGTTCTGAGTACTGTTAATTTTTTTTTAAAAGGGTGTATTGTTTTTAGTTTATTGTGGTTGAGACTAGCTTTATGGACAATGCCTAGAAAGTTTGTAAATAGTGCGCACAGTTTTTGTTATGTGTGCGGAGAGCTAACTTTTAAATCCCAAAAATGCACTTTTAATCCCCTTGTGTTGAAAGCATACGAACTTTCTTTTGGAATTAAAGTTGGCGACCAAGATCAACTATGAGCCCCTCATATGTTGTAAGACTTGTGTAACGTTATTAACAGGTTGGTTAAGAGGCGACAATCGTAAAATGTCCTTTGCAGTACCAATGGTTTGGAGAGAACAGTACAGTGTGAGAAATATTGTTAGAAGATATAACGTAATTTTTTCAGTTAATATTAAGCCACGATATGTGAAAAAAAGTAATATCACAAATGCCGACCGAAGAGCATTAAGAAGAATAATCGTGAAAAACAGGCGTGCCAATTATTTACTATTAAGTGCTCTGTGGAGTGACACTGTTGGAAAGAGAAATTCGAGGTCCACAACTCATAGAGAGGCCCACAAATTGGGATTTAGCACTTGCAAGGTAAGTTTTCTTATAAAAAAAAGTGAAGTAAAAACCCTAAAGTTGCACAAGTTGTTTATAGGCCAAACAAAAGCCACTATTAACTCCACTGCAAAAGAAAAATCGACTTATATGGGCTAAAGAACATAGACAATGGACACCTCAACAATGGTGTGCAATACAACGGAGTGATGAGGCCCGATTCGAAGTTTGTATTGGTGACAGTCGCAGTAGTTATTCGCAACAAAATGAAGCATTCCATGTTCACTGTCTGAAGAGAAAAGTGAAATTTCCAGCATCCATTATGGTCTGTGGCAGTATGTCATCAAAAGGAGTAGGAAAACTTCATTTTATTGATGGAAATGTGGATACAAACAAATATTTGGCAATTTTAGAAGAATCGCTTTTACCAGTGATGGAAGAATGTTTGACATCCGGCCAAGATTTTGTGCTTCAGCAAGATGGTACAGCGTGCCATACCTCAAAAAAGGCTATAAAATGGATGGAAGAAAATAATGTACCACTTTTGAAATGGGTTTCTAGCAGTCCAGATCTGTCACCTATTGAAACTTTGTGGCACGAGATGAAAAAGGTTCTACGACAACATCCTGCTCGTACAATCACCGAACTGAGACAAAAGCTTTAAGAAATATGGGATTGTTTTACACCAAATTTTTGCTAAAACTTGGTTAACACTATGGCCCCAAAGAATTTCAGCCGTAATAAAAAATAAAGGTGATGTTACCCAATGGTAATCTTTCAATTGTTGCTTTGTTAACTTCGCGCATTTATTCGCACATTGTTTACTTGTTCAGATGTTCTATTAGTTATAGGTCTAAGTGATTTCAAATATGTATTTTTTACGACTAGAGTGTCTCTAAAATGTTTTTGAGAAAATAAATTGTTTTAGAAGTAAATAGTTTCGTCATGTTGAGTATATAAAGGCTTATTTTGGTACAAATCTTGAAGTGGGCCAACTGAAGTGGGAAGGGGCTCGTATAAGCAAGACAACTACTGATGCTGGAAATGATACAAATCTCTGGTCACAATATTTGTATGCAAATTAAATTAGAATATCATTAATTCTTTACCTAATATTGCCCTGAGATGTCCTTCCAAAGTCTGCAATACCGTAGCCTTGATCTCCTTGACGCTCTTCCCCAAAAATTGCTCACTGGCCGTGTGCAACAACTCGTGAGCTTTCATGATCTTGCACTGCGCCACTCCATTCACGGTCAACGGCACTCCCTGGGCCGTTTCGACGCTGTCACATTGCGGCGTTAGTGTCATCACCTCCAAGGAGAGCCTCTGGACATCGGTGACCAACCACCAGGCCCACGCCCAACCGCCGACGATTGTTACGCGTTTCGTTGAACCACAGCATCCGCCTGGAATAAAAAGTACATTAAAAAAATGCGTGAAATGGGTTGACTCTTCACTTCTCCAGTTCATAAACGATCAAGTTCAGCGCAATTTAAATCCTCCGAGAAAAAAGTCAGTTACGGACATGTACAACAGAGAAATTAAACGTCAAACAGGCTAGTACAATAATTTCTATCTTCAATAATACAATAAGATCATAAAAATACCTTTTAATTTAAAATTAACAACAAATCAAATGGTAATTATACAGGGTTACTTCGAAGTTGAGTCATTTATTTTAACAGTGAGTAGATCTGATCAAAAGAAACGTTTTTTTCCTTTACCATTTTTCTGGTAAAATTAAAGTAACAAAGTTATAGCACTTTGGAAGTTTGAGTACCGCCCTGTTTCAATAATAATATTACTCGTATGACTCGTGTTTGGCAACAACGGATATAATCCACCTTATCGGTTCATCGCATCGGAAACGAAAAAGCGAAAGAATTTGGAACGATGTTTTTACAATTATTTTATTCAGTTGTATACAATACAGTCAGTGTCAGTCGGTAACGCGTGAGTGTCCAATAATGTAAACTGGGTTCGAAATTTAGTCACAAGCTTCCCAATAGCTCCCTCAGTAGGCCGACCAAATTGCCCATAAATTGGAAGCAGTGCTCGATGCACTCTCTTAACCGAGCATGAATTTTGATAGAAAAATTGAGTAATTTGCAAGCGTTGTTCGTTCGTAAGTCGATTCATGTTTAAATTATAGACCAAACTGAACAAGTTTGACAATGACACAAGACACGATACACACGTCATCTGTCAAAAACAATGTTGCCAAAAAGATACTAGCAAAAAAATCACCCATTACAAACAAATGGTTGGTTATGTGATTACTGATAGATGCATATTACACATTACTTAACGATATAGTGTATAATGCTTAACCTAGTGATATTCAGAATAATGAATACATTTTTAACATTACAGTGGAATCCACTTATAATGAACTTGCTGATAATGGAAACCCGTATATAATGGACATAATTTAAGGTCCTATAAATAATTGCATGTAAAATCCTCGGATATTACAGATTCGCTTAAAATAGACTAGCGGACTATTTTAATCCATTAAATGGGAGCTATTCTGGTAGTACCCCCGAAGCAGATTTAGCTGATTCAATTCACTGTTATGATTTGTGCTAATGCTTCTGTACTGAAAAACGGAAGATAGTGGTATAGGTAAGTGAATGAATAGAAATTCATGTTCTAATTTTTTTGATATTCAATGGCAGTGCTTCAAGGAATTTATGACCTTTTTTTATTTCCGGGGAATTTAAGAGTCCCAGGTGTTTCAAAATGTTAAAACAATTTCAGTCGATTATGTTGAAAATAATAAAGCTTGGATGACAACATCAATTTTTGAAGAATATTTAAAAGAGTGGAACGCTGAACTTGTTAAGAAAAATCGTAAAATTTTGCTCTTGGTCATCAATCTTCAATTTTTTCCACCCAATGTGACATTAGTTCTGCAACCGATGAACCAGGTTGTCATTTGGAGTCTTAAACAAATGTATCGGAAACATATGTTGATGAAAATTATGGAGCTTCAAGAAGATGTCAACATTACCAAAGCTGTCACCATTTTAGATGTTGGTTCAGTGAAAAACATAACTGAAATAGTCAACGATTTTAATCCAGAAGATGAAATTCCATTAAGGGGCCGTTCAAGTATTACGTAAGCAGATTTATTACAATTATTTACCCCCCCCATCCCCCATGTCAGCAAAAGTAAACAAAGCTCTTACTCCCTCCCCCCATGCTTACGTAAACATTTGTCAATTAATGTATTGTTTGTTTTTAATTATAACGTTATAATTATTATTTAAAGAATAAGAAAATAGATTTAGGATAGAGATTATATTTTACGCCATGTTCATGCAAATGAGACCCAAAATGGTCATGAGGCAATGTTAAACCAGCCAGTTCCCGACTAAGAGGAGCCATTCTGCGCTCTACTCTGTTATACGCACTTCTTCCAGGAGCATAGGTAGCTAAAAACAATGCATCGAGATCATTTGATTCTATATTCCATATGCATTAGAAGAGGTGCTCGCTTATTTGCCGCAGTTATACTTTATCTGAAGTCACTTGAAACACTGTGAAATACCGGGTGCGTTTTATATATCTATATTTAACACGCTCTGTTGCTGCAAAAATCGCCAATTTCGCAGCAAATATCCCCCGTATAAGATCAAAGGCAGTTTCACCGGTCCACGTGGAGTAAAGCACGCCTATGCGTGGACATAGCCAATGAGAAAGCGTGTATTTCAGAGCTCCGAACAAGTGCAGGTGGCTAATGAAAATTGAAACAGTTTAGCCAGTGCCGTGTAACGGTGAATAAACGTGTTGTTTTCTTTAGTCTGTCCGTGTTTTTTCATAGATTTTATTAGTTTGTGTGTTTTTGACTTTTGAATACTCAGTTTACTTGTTGATTTAATTGTTGTGTTGATTGTTCTTGTGTGTCCTAAATATGGCTCTTTGGAGACCTTGGGAAAATGCTCCAAGCCACGAGGAGATGGTTGATTAACCTGTGCAGGCAGAATTCTTTCATAAAGATTTAGATGAACAGACCCAAAGAGTAATCCTAAATATGTATGATTGTCTGAAAAACGAAAATCCAGATTCCTCGCAAAATTAAATTTTCAATCAGAATTTGTATCCTGACAAAAATCAGTCGGTCTACCATTTATCGGGTTATAAAAAGGGGAGATGTAGTCAACCATTCCTTCCACAGAAAGCGCATAGGGCAAAAATTAAAAAGTATAGACGTGGGTTTTCAGGAAGATATTCGTCGTATAATATACGGATTTTATAAAGAAAATTTGGTGCCGACGTTGGAAATGATACGGGATAAATTAAAAGATTATCCTGAAGATTTTTATAATTACAAATGCTTAGACTCACTGCACTGTATTGTAAAACTGTGTGGTTTTCAATACAAAAAATTAGATAAAAGAATGGTGATTATGGAGTCGGCTCGAATCGTTGAATTGCGCCAAGAATTTTTGCACAAAGTTAAAATCTATAGAGAGCAGAAAAGAAATCTGATTTACCTGGATGAAACGTGGTATGATACCCATGATGTTGTGCAGTACGGCTGGGTTGACGACAGCAACAAGTGCATTTTAAATGCACCATGCAACCGTGGAAAACGAATCATTATTCTCCATGCTGGCAGTGAAAATGGATTTATACCTAATGCCTTGCTGTTATCTGCCAAAAATATCAAAGAATCATGTGCCGACTATCATGAGGACATGACCTCCGACTTATTTGAAAAGTGGATAGAGCAGCAGTTAATACCAAACATTTCCCCAAATTCAGTGATTATTATGGACAATACGCCATACCATTCCCGACAGAAAAACAAAATTCCGAATACAGGCACAAAAAAACAAGACATTATTGATTTTATGAAGGATGAGGGAATGGAAATACCACAAAAATCAACCAAAGCCATATTATTGGATCTTATTAAAAGACAAAAATTTGAAAAAGAGTATGTTGTTGACAATCTGCTTCAGCAAAATGGCCATGAAGTATTACGTCTACCTCCCTATTACTGCATTTTTAACCCGATTTAGTTGGTCTGAGCTGCTTTAAAAAAAAAGTAAGAAAACATAATCAGACCCCTCAATTAAGTGAATCGCTATTGGCCACAATAAGAGATGCAGTATCTCATATTGCTGCCACAGACCTATGGAAGCAGTGTTCTAGGCATATTATTGAAAAAGAAAATGAATATTGTGTTTGCCTCCTGTAAATCCCGTTGTAATTCCTCTACAAGATGACTCTAGCGACAGCTCCGAAGGCGAGGATGATATATAAATACCTATAATGTAAGTCTTTATATACCTTTTTATATACCTACCTGCTATGTAAATATTTGCCTATGTCAAACGTTGGAATTCTGTAATTTTTCCATTTTTTAACTTTCAGTCAACATAAATTAAACTCCCAATATAAGTATTTTTTATTCCAAATCAAAAAAATAAGAAGATAGTAAAATCCATTTATTGTGATATAAAAACTTTATTATCGTTCTAAATAAATGACCGCACGCCTATGATACGTCATGAAATTACAAAGGACGCGCCGACCAAAGGTTTTTATGCTATTTCAAGTGACTTCAGATAAAGTATACGCCAATAGGGACTCGAGCTTTATCATCTTGAGATATGAAAAATACTTGATCTGGTCCAAGTATGGATGCTATGTTCTCTAAATAATAGATTGATGTTTCAGTGAACTTGCTATCTAAGTCGCTCCTGTGGTGATCAGTTTGAGCCCGAATGAGCTTAACAGGAACTGTCGATACATGTCTTTGTCCCTCTGCAGAATTAGATTTTCTGGGAATCAAACGAAGATATGTCCCACTGCGACAAATGCCAAATACTATTTTACGTAATTCTTGTGTGAGTTTGTCAATAGTTTTTACGCTGCGAATTGATTCCGTTCGTCTTCTATCATCTGCTGCACTCCCAAATAAAGCTATATCCGCGATTGTTTTCAATAGTGAATGTTGATTGCTTTCAAGATTAAGACGTCCCACTGAATCCCTCAGAGATAGTATTTTTTTTATTTCTGGATTTTCATGACAAATATCTTCTTACTTTCTTTTCATACCATCCCTGTGTTTCTTCTGGGCGACTGCGTTTGAACCTTCCTGTTTAAAGACTGTTTTGCTGTTTTTATTTCCTCGCGCAACTTAATGATCTGTTTATCAACTTCAGCACGGCTTGGTATAGTATCTCTTGCAGAATACAAAGCATTCAGATTTTTTTCGAGTAGAGCAATCTTATTTTTCATAGCTTCCTGAGAAGGTTTTGCTCTCTGTTTATCTGTATTTTCATTAATTTCGCATTGCTGTTGTGATTCATTACTGGGTTTCATTTTATCTTCTTCTTCTTTTTTAATATTTGAAGGTGTCTGTATAATTTGTGTTTTTTCTGCAGGTTTACAGGTTGCCTAAAAATAAAAACTTTCTATGGCTTCTGCTAAAGATTCTCTTATTAAGCTACATA